GGTACATACTCTTATTATAACAATTTTAAATTTAATTAGCCACAGTCGATTTTTATATGAAGATACAGGTATATTTTTAGTCAAGGTTTATACTTACCTACTCGTATTTATCTAAACATTTCTAAATATATATTAAACAAAAAACTATATGCAAATTGAACTCGCTAGCTGGTTGTTCCGTGTCAAAGTAAAAATAATATCTAATATTATATTTGTCAAAAATTCGATAGCACGATATTTAATAATTGTCAAATAAGTTATTAATATAATTTATTAATTAATGTAAAATTTTAATGTAAAAATTTATTATTAATTAAAATTTATAATTTATTAACGGTAATTATTAATAATAAGTTATTAATAATTACCGATTATTTAAGAACCCTATTTTCTTTTAAATTACGGCAATCTAACTCAAGTCAATTCACCTTCAGTTTACCCGTTTAGTTCCTACGGACGTTATAGAAACTCCTTGCTTATTGGACAATTTTGACTCTCTAATCCCAGCGATTTAAGCTGGTCGTTTCCAATCAATCAGTCAAATCAGTAGCAATAGATTTGACTCTATTCTATAATTTATTTATTTTATGATCGAATCAGTACGTTTTTTCTTATAAAAACCTTTTTATATTATAATAGTAACTTGACCTGCGTAATTCGTCTATGTTACCAGAATAAAAGTAGTTTACGTCCTATACTAAGATAACAAGGCAAACATGATGATTAATATTGAGCCAAGACACAACAAACACATTAATTTTCTCATCTATACTCTATACTAATATTATAAAGAGATTAAAATTTTATATGTTTGTTTGTAGTGGATAGTCTCAAAAATTACTCAATCCATATTAAACATTCTTTTAGCTGGAGAAACCTACTACGTCCTTAAGTTATGAAAATACATTTAATTAATTTAGATAAATAATACAAATTTACTCCCCCCCCCCCCTCAGCAGTACTTTTCAATGGGTGAAATTGGCATAGTAACCTCGCCTGCGCTATCGGTATACACTGGCGGGGTACCAGTGAGGAATGATAGGTAAGAATGAAAAGATCAGTTAGCCCATCGTGGCGAATACACTAGGAATTCAGCAGAATGGTTTCAATGGGGAGGACGTGGAGGTCGACCTGGATGGGTAAATTCCTAGCAATGAGGACTAACCTCCCCATTACTAACAATTCCTTCCCCCCCCCCCCTTCACCGCAGTACTAGTAATGTGATTAAAACTACGGCAAATATATTACTCTATGTTTATGGAAATAATAAAAATTCGTAAGGCGTGGGTTGTCGGGAAATCATACTAACGTTTAATGGAACCTGTGGGTAGCACCTATAAGGTCAGCCTTGCACCCACACGTGCCTTTTAAGTTTAACTTACCACTGTACTCGGTGCCAAAGAGATAATAAAGGAGCACAAGTGACTACATAGAAATAAGTTACAATGTACCATACAACATTAAACATAAAAATCAGTATTGTATAACAGTAACTGATCATTTTTAGTTATATATTTGTTAGAAACTCCGTTTGCAACATTCACCTTTTCCTAAACAGGCAAGCGGATTTTAGAACGGCAAGTAGTGGGCGACAGCTGAGCGAAGTAGAAAACAGATATTTATTTTATAGATTTAACACATATTAAAGTAATTAATTAGTTATAACTATTATTGTAAATACCCAGGAGGTAAGATGGACGTTTGATCTAGGTCGTATAGAAGTGATGCCCAAGGGGAGGAAAAAAAACAATCATCATATCAGCCTTTAACTGTCTACTGTTGAAGATAAGCCTCCCCCTTGGGGGGGTTTTGCCAGTAATTTCCACCGTTAGCAGGTGATGTTTTAACAGGAACGCTGCTGCCCATTCCTCACCCTCTCTTAGTCGCCTCTTACGACACCCACGGAAAAGGAAGAAGTGACCTATTCTATGCCGAGACCGACACGGCGAAAAAGAACAATAGGTAGACTGTAAACCCGATGTTAAAGGAGAGGGGAAAGATTATTACCAATGAGGACACCAATTCTCGTCACTACCCTATAAGACCAACCTCCGCGCGGTCCCCTTTAAAAAATATCGTGGTTAATTCTTACTAAATTTGCCACAACAGACCAACTGATCTGACTTCATTCTCGTCGTTTCACCCTCTACTGGTGAGTGTACCATTACATCTCACAAAGCGTTACAAATGTCTGAGAAAGCTCTTAAGATTTTTTAAACAAACTTTTGGTAGTAAGTGCTCTTATAGGGGATGCCGGGTATATGTCTCCTGCCTCCCTTTCTCGGTTTCGCACAGTACTTGTCGACGTACCTTTGGCAATGCAAAAAATTACAGTAAAGTAGCGTTTCAAACAAAGTAAGATAATAATAATGTTTATTACCTTTTATCATCATCATCATCTCAACCATTATCTGTCCACTGCTGAACATAGGCCTCCTCCATAGAACACCGTTAGGAACGTTCTGAGCCACCTGCACCCACTGACTCCCTGCAATGCACTTGAGGTCATAACTCCATCTAGATTTCCATCCTCCATCTAGATCCGTGAGGATTGTTTTACACTACATAGCCCTCTACATAATCCGCTGAGTAATTTTAAGCTTTTACATACGTGCAAACTTGTTTTACCATGTTTCGGTTACTTAGGTTATCACTGGCAACGCACTGGTTAAAGACCTTCGTCTTCAAACTTTGAGGTATTTTGAATGAAAAGATGTGGCGTAGTTTTCCAAACTCTGCCCAGCCGAGTTGGATTTGTCGGTTGACCTCTCAGTCGAAGTCGAACTTACCTGGTCAATAATTTATACCAAATGTACATACTAGTCGACAATTTCGAGCGTAGTGTTTTCAATCATAACCGGTATAGATGTGACATTAATGTTTGATATGATTTCAGTCTTGTCCCTTTCTTTTAGTCTTTCATCCCAAAACCAACCTATTGAAAAGCACTATTGAAGTCATTGAGTATAATAGTATTCAAACCCTTCAGATATTCTACCACGTTTACTATATCATCGGCAAATCGAAGGTGAGTAATGTATTCGTCATTGGTGTTTATACCATATCATTTCCAATCAAAAAGTTTGAAAGCATCTCCCAACGCAGCTATGACGAGTTTTGGGAATATAACGTTACCCTGTCTTACATCTTCCTCTACTGGGATGCGTTTCGTACTTTAGTTTTATACTCAGATAAAAAACGTAGCCTTACTGTATATATACTTCAACACTAGTTTACAACTCATAGTCAATCTATCGCCGCTGGAGGGATTGTAATACCGCCCATGTCTCGAATGAATCAAAGGCTTTTTCATAGTCCACAAATGCCAGACATAGCAGCGGATTATACGCTTCGGTCTTCTGTATAATCTGCCGTAGCGAATGTATATGGTTTATAAAGCCCTTTCGAGAGCCAGCTTGTTCAGGTGGCTGGAAGACGTTGAATTTTTGCATAAGATGATTAGCCAAGGCTCTTGAAAACAGTACGTAGATGCGATTCAGAATGGATATCAGTGTATAGTTCTTCAATAGGGTATTATATAAAGGTGTCCACTCTGGACAGGACAGGACTATTGCACTTCTATTCTACGCCTCGGGCGTAACCGTTATTAATAACGAAATTAAATAGCCTCTGAAGGACTACAAGTACCTGTTTTCCATTCGCTCTCAGAAGCTCTTCTGTAATTCGGTCTTTCCGCGTTACGTTGCCGTTTTTAAGCAGTTTGAGAACAACTTCGATCTCCTGCAAACTTACGTCCGGGATATCATCGGTATTAACACAGATATTGTCCGCTGTTTCGCAATTCACCAAACACTGAAAGTGATTTGACACTGAAAGTGAGTTGAAAACTCGCGGAGTTGTCGATAAGGGCATACAAAGATCGGAGCGTTGACTTCATCAGACGAAAAATTTCAACCTAATATTAGGGTTCAATGTGTCTTTTACTATTCAATGATCATTTCCGGTTTTCAACCTATTGATAACTGAGACATCATTGAAAAAGTGGCGATTAGTCGTCATGACGAAGTTTCTAATTTTTTTGCGTATCTATCGAGGGCTAGCCCAGATCTATTTTCTATGTGGTCGCTTTTGATAAAAGGAATTAATCATAAAGAATCCCTCCGTCTCCATAAAATCTTAGAGGAAAGCAATTGGCAATTGCTTTCCTCTAAGATTTCGTTGCCCGACACCAAAGTTCCTCATTCTCGTCTCATCGTCAACCTTATTTTTTATATATAATGATAGATATAGAATGATATAAAATACCCTTATCCTAGAAACTTAGAAAGCTACTAAGAAAATAAATAAGAGAAATTCAGATATATATCTTGACGGTATTGTGAAGCCTTCATTTAAAAAGTGTTTATGTTCAGTCACTAATTAGCGTATTGCGTGTTTATAAAAGGGATTATAAAGTCACAGACGCAATTTTAATTCCTAAATCTCTCTATAGAGGCAGCACCAACTATAATAATTGTTAATCGGTCACTAAATTCGTAAAATAAAGATATAAGATGTAAACGAAGAACAAATATCTATACAAAAAATTTAACAATAATAACTTCATTTTTTATTATTAAAAATTGATTGCAGTATTGCCGTTGACCAAATCAACTTAATTCAAACAATATCTTTTGCCCCTTATGAATTAAAGAAAACGGTTAGCTTCGTCTTTATATTACGAGGACTCATACTGTTTAACAGTCTACGAAATTAATTACATTTACATACACTTGTACATTTAGTACTGATATTATTGATTGATTTATATATTTCGCAAAATTACAGTAGGCAAAGATGACGCGTTATATACCATAACGCGTATATTATTCATATTGCGCATCATCAATCTTCTTTTTATAAACGTTTTATATTATTTAAAAGAATTTCACGAGAAAATATTGATTCTACGAGTTTTTTTAAATGTTCACAATTTATCAAAACCAAAATCAATAAAAAATAAATATTGGCACATCACTCGCAGTTTCTCTAGAATCTCTACAATTGTCTATAGTTAAGATGGCAGGTGATGAAAGTGACAGGTTTGTAAATAAATAGGCAATTCTAAATTTATTCTGATTTTTTCATCATTTTTCGACATTCACGGTATTTAAATTCACCATAATAAAATGTAACGTATCAAATTCATTTAATTCATACTACTATTAGTCATTAGTTTAACAATTGTGCCCCAATTATTTATAATTATTGGTTCATTTACAGTGATCTAAAGCCATCAAGTGTCGTAATAATAAGAGAAGTTTACGACAGCGAAAATGCTCACATTAAATTTGAAATGGAATTGGAAAGAGCACTTGAGGCCGGCGTGAGTGTGATAGTTATAGAACCAGAGCCCCTTGGAGAAGAAACAGCTCGATGGATTTATGTAGGAAATCTTTTACATAAAGTTTCCGTCTACAGCGGACTTTGTAGTATCGCTTCAGGTACTTTATTAGTTCAGTTGTCATAAATTTAATATAATACTATACAATACGTGCAACTTTTTATTTTACAGTAGTGAAAATAAAACTTAGAGTTCATATTATTATAGGACACTGAAACCCTTCTAAATAATATTATAAATACGAAAGTTTATTCTTTTAAGAAAAAAACTACTGAACAAGTTTGAATAAAATTTGGAAGGATATCCTAACTTAACACAAGATACTTGTCTGTTTCACACTAGTTTATGGTAGCTATTATTATGATGACTATAGTATTATACCTCAGTTCTTGGATGGATTCTAGGTCTGTTGCATACATACAATAAATGCATTACTTTATTTAAGGTTATTTTTCAGGGAAGTCTGGTACCCTAAATTCACCCAAAAATACATACACAGATAATTCTTGAGGAAAAGCTGACTGACCTAATTTCATCCTCACCTCTTACCACTAACTGGTGCCCTACCAACATATATCAATATCACAGGCAAGGTTACCATTCCATTATTATCCACTAGATAATTCTGGGGTACACATATCTTCCTCCCACTCTTAAATAGAACTATGAGCAAAAGAATCAGTGACACATTTGACAAGTTTTAACATATATATTTGGTAGTATATGAAATCAGACTAGGAAATTTAATTCATTTTCTGAATTTAAAATTTCAGGTTTAGCATGGAGTTCACTGGCATGTGCTCCATTTGGAATTGTCTCAGTCCTTTGTGCGGGATGCTACACATTATCATGGCAATGGGACCCGTGCTGCAAATATCAAGAAGAGAAAAATCGTCGTCATTTATCTACTCTGCCATTATTAAGTGAACTTACATCAGCATCTCCTGTTGTACTTGTTCATACTGACAATAAAAGAAAAATCTTATTACATAGTACTGTATCCGTAACAGCTGCAGCCATTTGCCTATGGAGATTATATAATATATTTAAATGAATGAATTAGTCTAGTAGCATAATTTTAGCACCATGCTTTAAATGCCATCAAATGCATTGGTCTAGATTGTGTATTTGATTTACTTCTACTAATATTTTAGTGCTTACTAATGGGATTTCTGTAAGCAATGAGGTGTACTGTAAGTAGGCTATTGTAGGATGCAGTGTAAAAATATATATAAATATGAATAGTAGAATTAGATGAACAAGCCTGTACAAAAAGATATTTTCTCTATTAATAATAATTGCTTTTAGTCAATCAATTATAATACTTTGTTGAAAGGTTATATTACAATATAATGTTAACAGTGATTTTAACTGTTGTCACTGTTATCAAACAATAAAATATTTAAAACAAGAATATTTTATTTACAATTCCTGTCATTAAATCCTTCACAATTAGGTACAGAGCTCCTATAAATTTTGTAAAAGCAAACATTATTGTGATTATCCACTGTATTCTGTATAAAAAAAAAATAACATGCTTCATTTTTTTTATTTTAGTAACGTTCATCTTGTTATTGGTAAATATATTGAACATTCATGTTAATATTTTGAGCAAAATGTAGAGAGTAATGTAATGAGAAGTCATAATAAATTTTCTTTAGACTTTTTTCAAGATTGTTGTCATATATGTACTGTAGTTTGATCTTTATTTGTAGTGCACACATAATGCAGCATTTATATATTTAATATTTTAATAAAAAAAAATACAAGATAGTAATTACTAATATTATAATTCCCACTAAATAGGTCATAGGATAATGAACAACCATGATAATACTTTTTTCTCAGACAAACTGGAGCATGTAGACAACAGCAAATGTAAGAAATTGACAAGAAACTACAAAACAAGTCTTGTTTACCAGAAGCAAAAGTAATATAAGCAGGTGCATATACAGCAGCCATAATTTTTGTAGTCTAGGATTAATAGAATATATTTTCACGGTTTTATGAAAGATAAAAAAAAAAATTATAATTCACAAATACTATAACTAAATATTGACTTGTTAAAACTCGAGCTAAAGCTAAGACCGTAGTACAATACTCGATGAATTCTTCAAGATTATTAACCCTTTACACTGCACACTAGTAACTCATGGAAGATACCAATAACTATAATGTAAACATATCATAAACACTATAAGATAGACGATTTCGCTTACCTAAGTGTTAAGGGCGTTGAGTAAGTAAAACGTAGCCACGACAGTGAATTTAATATTAGCATTTTAATGTCGTAAATACGGCGACAACTGAGTGCAAAGGGTGAAATTAAAATATTTACGCCGCCGCCTCAACTTTCGTAGGTATAAACTAAATATATAATTTATATTTTATATTTTCACATTTAAAAATTATTAATATATAATAATTTTTAAATGTGAAAATGGTAGACATGATACATTGGTTTAGACAAAGCCGGTCTTACTTAGCGTCCCTAAGTAATTTTTTGATGGCACCCTCTGAGACAAAAACAAGTTGCCGAAGTGCAGAATGATACTTTCTCCCAATGGCACCACAATCCACCTGTTTCATCGAAACTACTAACAATTATCGCAATTTTTTGTTGAATTCGTCAGGATGGGCTGTTTCTTCCTTCATAATGAATCTGGTAGGTGGCAATAGGGGGTAAAATAACGTTTGTAGAGTTAGCTAGTAGGTTTTTGAGCACAAAGAATAAGCAATTTTGTTGAAATTATCACAGAAACACTGAATGGTATTAGTAACAAATTGAACCATTCAATATATTTTTTATTTGTACTTACAACAATTGGCATAAGCAAACTGTATTTTGATCGGATCAATTATTCATTTATTTAACCGAGTTTCTATTAAAACAGTCTATTGAGGAAACTTGCTAACAAAAGATCTTTAGCTTTCAAGACATTTATTTTATATATGTATTAAAGCTTTATATTATCACTAAAAACAAATATTACATGATTAGATACAGGTCATACGTATTACCTACCATTTTTTAATATATGATAATGTAATGTAATGTAGCCCTGCTTACACTAACTGTAAATGCTGACAGAGCACCGTATATATATATATATATATATATATATATATATATATATATATATATATATATATATATATATATATATATATATACTTCATTCCTAGCAATATATTAAGTCGACCTCCAGCAGTTCCCCTAAAAACCGTTGTCGTAAATTATAGTTTAATTCATCATAATGAACTAACTGACCTGCTTCACCCTCACCTATGATCCCTCACTGGTGACCCGCCAATGTAGGTACAAATAAAAAAAAAACAGGTGGAGACTCCATTTCATTTTCACCCATAAAAATTCCTGTTAAAGTTTTAACACTACTGGGTATGGGCATATTATTATGATGTTCTTAAAATATCTACTAAATATTGAATGATTGCGAAAATTAGCAGTGCATGTTCGTACGTGATTTGACATTCATTTACAGTGCAAATCTAAATAATCTCAGTTATATCTTAATATATATCACCTTCCACAACAAATAATTATATAAATGTTGGTATTACAAAATATTAAAAAATTTGTCAATGTTACCAGTAATATTTGATAACAGCAGAATACTGAATAAAACAGAAATAAATTTTAATAAATACAAAAGAATTAAAGAATTTTTAATAAGAAACTTAGCTGTTGCTTCACAAAAACATTTTAAATACCATTTTTAAGATTATCTTTTTTATAAAATCACCAATTAATTAAGTGGTCAGAAGTTTTTAGACAAACTAACCAGTTTATATTCAATTTGTTTTGCTTGTTGCTCTTTTAGCCATAATTTGGAAATATAATGATGGGAAACATTGTCTTAAGTATATTGCTATATGTGGCATCAGTTGACTCAATACCCGTTCATTTTCTTTATTTACAATCATGTCTAAGAACTTCTCTGCAGCATATTCTGATGTGAAACCAGCAGCAGTCTCAGAGTCCATGACTAAAAATAAAAAATTTATTAAAATTACACTGCTATTTTTCATCATAGCAAAAATAACCATACTTACCCTATTTTTTTTATTTTTAACATATTAATTTGTAATATATTTTATACATTTCAAAAAGTTTATCTTTAAAATGAATTAATAATAAAAGAAATTAAAAAAAATAAAAATATGGAAATAAACCAGCAAAACTTAGTTATACTATTTGTAATTTATTTTTAGTAGAATTTATAAAACTAATAGTACAATAAAAAGTGTTACATTCAGTTTTATAATTAAAAAAAAAAAAGAGTTATAAAGAATAAAACAGATAATTGAGAGAGTAAAAAATAATAAACACTTACCTCCATGAAAACTACCACTACCAGTCAGAGCATTCAATGACACAGCAGTTTTCACATATCCTGGACTTATAACTGTTACATTAATATTGTGTTGATGCATTTCAGCACGAAGAGAATCTCCAAATGCCTGGATAGCATGTTTAGATGCAGCATATGCTGAACGATTTGGGATAGCAATGAGTCCTTGCACTGAACTTATAAACACAATATGACCGCTTTTTCTCTCCACCATTTTTGGAAGAGCAGCTAAAAAAAAGAGCCATATATTTTTCCTAATATACCCCAATCAGACAGTTGAATACCAATGAATAAATACAAGCACATTGCTTCAACTTTAGGAAACATTATTAATTACCTACCTTTAGTCAATGCCACAGAACCAAAATAATTCACATCCATTATCTGTTTATAAACTTTAATTTCTGTATTCAAAATAGAGGCACGGTGAGATACTCCACCATTGTTAATCAAAATATCAATATGCCCACAAGAGTCATATATTTTTTTTACAAATGAATCCATACTATCAAGGTTAGAAAGATCCAACTCCAACACAACAGGTTCTGGAACTTGGATGGGCTGAAAGTAAAAATGATCATTGCAGATTTAAGTTCATATATTCATTGTATATAATTATAAATTTTTGTTTTACTTTTTAGTTTTACTTATTAACGTTCAATTACATGGTTCCAATAAGCCCTAATAGTGAAATAGGTCAGGTCTCTTCATGCAGTCCTCACTAGAATGTAGATTCCTCCATAATTAAATTTTAGTAAATTGGTCCTAATGGGCCAAAGGACATCAGGTTTTGGCCCATCAACTTCCACTCAAAATGATACACCATTTGCATAGGTAAGTAGATATATTATTCCATCTTCATTCAATAAAAAAATCATGTATAAACATAATTAAGTACTGGAAATAAAACTTAACAAACTTTTATTTTTATAGTACCAAACCAATACTAAGTCACTCATTTTATTTAATTAAATTGTTAAAATAAATTTTACCATTTTTCTTGACATTAATTCTTTTTTTACTCTATCAAGTTCTGTTCTTCGTCGTGCTGCTAAAACCACTGTACTTCCTTGAGCATAAAAGGAATGTGCTAATGCCTCTCCTATACCAGAACTGGCACCAGTTATTACAACAACCTGCAATGTAGAAAATATCTAATGTAGTAAAATGTGGGAGGGATGAGATTATCAATAATGTGGACTAAAAACCCCATTGCTAAAAATATCAGGACAACTTCCAAATGGTTGTCCCTGGGAATCATCATGGTTAATTCTTGTTGAATATGTAATGAGGGAATCTGTGTGGTTCCAACATAAAATAAGTCACCCCTTCCTTTTCCATGGATGTTGTAAGAGGCAACTAAAGGAGAGCAAGGGATGTGCAGTAGCATTCATCTTAAAACATCTCTAAAGCCTAACTGCGGTTGCCAATCCGCCTCCAAGCGTAACAACTACTGGCAAAACCCCCCAAGGGGAGGCTTATGTACAGCAATGGACAATTAAAGGCTGAAATGATGATTTCATGAGGTGAAAACAAATCTAATTTCATCCTCACTTATCATCCTTCAAATGATAGCGCAGCCCATTATCATCCAATAAGAATGTAGTAAAATGTGCAAAGGTCGTATTGCGATCTTTGGACTGTTGGAATAAAAGAATAGTTTTCAATAAAAAATTTGGTTCTTGAAATTACAAATAAAAAATGTTTACTTTTTATATTTGATTTACCTTTTTTTGTAAAGCAGATCTACGCTTTTTGTTAGATACACGGGAAATTAAACAATGTATACTAAAACAAAGCGTTAGCGGTAATCCTACATATTTTAAATACCACACAATAGAATTTATGTTGGAATAATACAAATTCATTTTGCAATATTACGATAGAAGAAATTAAAATTAAGATACAAAAAAGAGTAATTAAAGAAATTAATAAATCACTTTTATGTAGTTATTTTATTAGATATAAAAAAATCAGGACACAAACAGCTAAAAGTATATAACGAAGGGATAAGAGTGCGCACTTCATATAAGCCATGTAAAAAACTTGGTCAGAATTATCTCACCAATCTACACAAAAAATCTTCCTTTTCTCATTATATGATTATATATCTAATATATAAAATTTTCGTGTCGCGGTGTTTGTTACCAAACTCCTCCGAAACGGCTTTACCGATTTTTGAGAAATTTTGTGTGCATATTGGGTAGGTCTGAGAATCGGCCAACATCTATTTTTCATACCCCTCATTGATAAGGGTGACCTACCCTAAATATAGTTTTTTAATTTTTAGACAAAATTTTTTATTATTATTTTATTTTGATTTGATATTAAAAATACGCACAACTTCAAATTTTCATCCTTTAAGATCAACCCCTGTTTTTTAATCGCGATTTATATATTTCGCAATAGGGTTGCAAGATAGCAATGGAATATTGTAATACAAGAAATTTTCATGTACAGTCTATAATTACAATTTCTTTTGTCTCTTTTCTCAATTTGAATTAAACTTCAACCCTCACCGGTCGATAACTGATCAACTACCAATCGATCAGTTACATCACGTTACATAACAAACTATAATATAATTATAACCTATTCGTTTCTATTTTAAATATCAGGCTGACCAATATAACAAAAAAAGAAGGATTTTGTGTAGATTAGTGAGATATTCCTGACCAAGTCGTTTTACTTAGCTTGTACAAAGTGCGGTCTCTTTTCCAATGTTTATATACTCTTCGAGTAACACTATGTCACTGTCTAAATCTAAGAACAAGAATTACATAGAAGGAATGATAAAATTAAAACTGTAAATCATGTGGTTGCCTCCTTTCTTCTTATGCAATTATAATAAGTAAAAAGAGGACGAAAGATACATCAACATTTGCTATTTTTCTCAATTCATAGCAGGCTAGTGTATAGAAAATGTTTGTAATATCAATTATTTATCGACGACAAATTTTACATTACTAGATTATATATTCGACACATTTTATGTAGAAAGTATGCAACCAGATTGTATCTTAATTTGATAGGGTTATACGGCCGTATAACATTTTCTATAAAAAACTATAGTCACCCTTATCAATGCTATGAGATGTTGGCCGATTCTCAGAATTTTATGCACACAAAATTTCTCAAAAATCGGTAAAGCCGTTTCGGAGGAGTTTGGTAACAAACACCGCGACACGAAAATTTTATCATATAATGAGAAAAGGAAGATTTTTTGTGTAGATTGGTGAGATAATTCTGACCAAGTTTTTTACATCTATATAGTTCCGTTATATACTTTTAGCTGTTTGTGTCCGATTTTTTTATATCTAATAAAATAACTACATAAAAGTGATTTATTAATTTCTTTAATTACTCTTTTTTGTATCTTAATTTTAATTTCTTCTATCCATCAACAAATCGACAATTTTAACTCCTTCTAATGGGGCCGATTGTGCAGTGCCATTTCTCTAAACTTATCTCTTGTTCTAATATTTTAATTTGATGATTTCAAACATTACTGTTTTACGGATAATCATAAAATAAATTTCTAATAATTTTGACTTAAATCTATTAAAAAATTAGTTCATATTAGTCCACATAATAAAGATTTCGCTGTAATATGAAATAAAAAATTAAATTTTGGATATAAATTTAGAGAAATAGCACCTCAGAATCAGCGCCAATGTCGAGTTATTGGAATTGATTCAGAGGTGCCAATTTATAAACTTATTTGTTACATCTTAATTTTATAGTTTCACGATTTTACTATTTTATGTACCATCATAGATTAAAGTTATATTCATTTTTATTTAAATGTATTAGAAATTTATTTTTTACATATTAATTTTATACAATTTTCGGCTGTCGCTTCGCAAAAATGATTGTGTGAAAAAAGTAAACATTATATTCTATATATTGTTTTTAAAAATAATAGTCTTTTTAATCTGTTTATAAGATTATCAGACGCTTCATCTGGTGTTGTAAGTCTATCTACAAGTTAGAAAAACCTCGAGTTATTGTATCTTACTCTTTATCTGTAGGTTAGATTAGGTTTAGTAGTTTTTCAATATTTCCATAACTCGTGATAGGAAGATAAAAACGATGTTTACATATCGGTGCAAAGTTCACTCTGTTATATTTCTATACTACACTATTTAATTCTATATTACACTATCTCGTAAATAAGTACTGCACTTTATACTTTTCACTTCCATTTTTCTACATTTGAAAATGTGTTTAATATAATTTAAACAAGAATCTTATACAGCTTATTAATATGGCGAATCGTGTCATAATTCGATGGAGTATTATTACACGTGACAGAAAAAGAATGTAACATTTATTATACTGTAGCAAAAAAACTATCTTACTTATGTTTTCGACTTATGCTTTTTATGCTTCATTATTATATGTTCTTGGGAGATATACTATTGCAGAATGAGACTGCAAGATAATGAGGTTTTATTCTTAATTCATGCGCTTAGGACACAACAACCATGAGTTTTTATTTTTTATTGTTAAATGGCAACACAAATTGTTTCCAAAGCCGTAATAAAACTATTAAGTATACCAAAAAAAAACAGAATTCTTGATTGCATAGATGTTGAGATTATGTTTGATTTGCCCTGAATAAATAAATTAGAAATAGCATAATGTTTTAGCGAGAAGCTATCCGAAAATTTAATGTAAATGAAAATTTATTTTGTTCGTGAAAATTTTTTATATTGTTTTTTCGTTGGGAGTGTCACAGATGCGCTGACCTTCGTTTTGATGCACAACGCACAACAAAGCATCAAATTGACGGCTGCCCCATTTTCACAACAATCTCGATATTTGTTGTTAGTTATTTATTTGTCAATTTAATATAATATGGTAAATCGTCAACAGTTTATTCTTCTTTATCGCTGTGTTATGTGTTACGTATGTCGAAAATAAAATGAAAATGGAATCGACGACTACGCAAACAACTTTAAACGATTCGGAATACTGTACACCACCAAAGACTTTCTTTTCTTCTAAGAGAGTGATAGAGGACTTGGAGAAATAAAATTTTACTATTTATAACAGATTTACATTCAAAATGAACGAAAGAGATATTCCTAGTGTCCCTGTTACAACATTAGCAGGTGTCGCCAGCTTGACAGACCGTAAGTACGATGTTTTATTTATTGTTCTTAATTACTTATTAATTTGCTTATTTTGTTTTAAATTAGTCACCTACTGACTAATTATAATGTGGCATTAATAAAAAATGTATATCCATCCAAAACTCAATCTCTTTAATACTATTATTTAAGAAACTACAACTTTCCCTAAGGAATTTGGTCTAGATATTTTTTCAAATGAAATAAATAAAATAATACAAACAAATAATTGTCCTGACCATAAGTGAGCCTACTGTTGTACTACTATGTATGAATAATTTCATTGTGAAAGTGATTCTGTGATAATTTCAACAATTTGGTTACCTTTTCATTGCTAAATTCAATTCAGATTCTATTGAAATAGGCTAAAGTTAACATTAAAATGGCTTTTAAATCTTTTGTATGAACAGTGTTAACACACGATATGGGGAAAGTTCAGATATTAATTTTATAATTCATTTATATTTCTAGCAGTAAATTAATAAATTTTTACTTATAACTTTTTATCAATTTTATTCAGTTTTCAAACTGTAGTCTCCTATAATATTCTATAATATACAAAGAATTTATAAGACATTAGTTCTTAGTATATGTACTGCCGAAGCAAGTACTTTCTAAGATATTAGTTATATTTGACACAGTCATAGTATTTTAGATGTAAAACATCATAAGTATTTTTTTTTAAATCAATCATTCAACATAATACTTAGGTTATGAAAATAGCTTCCTGTCGAGGTTTTTCCAAAAGAATACACTATAGGGTTCTTCAAAAAGGGATAAAGGTTTCTTTAGGGTTGGCAACACATGTGTAATGTCCCTGATATTGCATATGTTCATAGGCTACTATAACTGCTTGCCATCTAGTAGGCCATATACTTGTTTGCAACCTCAGTGGTATAAAAAAAACACCTAGTGGAGTGACGGAACTTATAGACATAGCTAATTATAAGTAAGAATACTAATTTTTTAATATAATTTAGAAATTTATTATAGATAACTTTTTAATAGGAAGTATAGATTATAATTGTAGAAAAACATATATCTTAAATAGTATGATACAAATGCTGCAAAATCCTATACTGAGATTTATGGTGATAAACATTAAATTGCCCTGGTTTATTATTAATAATGAATTATACTTATAATTGATTATGATCATCCGAAAATTGACACTCTCAAGAACAAAATGAGGCTCACAACTGAAAGATACAAAAATCAACCAAAGAATCATCTTAAGTAACTTGCTACAAGCTGATTAATATTTTTACCTGTACTATCTATGTTTAAAAGAATATAACAACAAAGACAAGTATAATAGGGCTAAAATAAAGTTATATGAGTAGATACTCTCTTTTAAAGAGAATTTTCTTGTCATTAATATGAAGAACACATCTGCTCTAGTCTTTAACTGGTCGCAGATAATACTAAAGTGATTTTTTCTCTGGAAGGATATTTAATGTGCTAAAAATGGAATCGTTACCTGCTTGCACTATTAGTATATGCTAGCAGTGTACTAGTGACTAACAATAGATGTTGATGATGTCAAGTGATTCGGTTCATTGCTGAGAATTTACTAGGAATTAAACACAATGGTTTCCAAGGAAGGTGAAACAACAAGGAATTTTTTTAATAGATGATAATGGAACGGTAAATCCGCCTGCATTAACAATATATGCCGGTGGGGTACCAGTGAGAATGAAAAGTCAGATCAGTTAGCCCGTCATGATTAATACACCTGGAATTCAGGACGATAGTTTCCAGGGAGGACCACTGGAAGGTCAACCTGACAGAGTATATTCCTAACAATGACAAAAAGAATACTACTCTTCTTATTAAACAGAATTGCATGTGGTAGAAGGCATCATCATCTTCCTACCCTTATCTCAATTATTATTTAAGGTTGGCATGATATGGTTTTATCCATATTACTAAAGGATTTTGCTTATAGTTTTATGACTGGCTACCTGCCTGAAGTGAACTGTGGTAGAAGGCATATTAACAACCATTGATTAAAACAGACTCAGATGACAATATCTATTTTTTAAATATGTAATTTGATAACAACTGCCACTGCATGATAATTTTGACAATATAAATAAAAGAGGACCAATTTTTAAGTATATCTTTCTGATAAAAAATGAATTGTTTTATCAGTTTATAAATGGAGTAATGAAAATAAAAATACAACGAAATACAGAACCTTATTCCTTTTTTTAAATCAGTTGACAATAATATTCCCTTCTGCTTTTGTGATACATTCCTTAAAATTTTATGTTTAAAAATTGTTGTAATAAAAAATTAGAATATGTATGTACATATTCTCACTTTTTATATATATATAATAAAAGTATATAAATATATATTTATATACTTTTTTTCAGTTTTACCAGTGTTACCACTTCCTACACCTTTACCATCTACATTAAACAACAAATCTCAACTATTTCATCCACGTGTTGCTGAAGAAGCAGCAATATTGCTTGCCACCCAAGATGAGAATTTGGTCACATTGTTGTTGCAGTCTCTTATGCAAACTTCAGTCCAACATATGTAAGAGTGTTTTATTTATCACATAGATATATTATATTGCATAATATGGATTGATTTTAAATCACCATTTCTCTAAATCTATCTTAAAATTAAAATTGCAATTTTATATCACAGCAAAATCTTTATTTAAAGGACCAAAGTTATTTAGATTTCTGATAGATTTAAATCAAAATTATTATAAATTTACTTTATGATGGTCCATAAAACAGTAATTTTGTAATGTACATAAATTAATAAGTTTAGAGAAAGAGTGTCATAGAATCAACCCCATTATAACTGTTGTTTTTAGAATAGAATTGATGATAAGATTCTAGAATTACTGCTTATATTACTTATATTTTTTTCAACTAATAATATGATTAGTATTCATTTTAGAAAAAAATCAATTGTTTGTTTTTAGTGATCTTAAGGATGAGACCGTATCTAATGCAGTTAGCCCTGCACCTCAACAAGCTACACCTGAATTATTGAAAGCTATCTTACATGTGAAACCTGATGTATTTGATCAGCAACAAAGAAACCATTGGGGCAATCATCTACATACATCAAAGTTCAATGGGATGTCTCCTTCTGCATCATATAACTCTTATACAGCACACAATACTGTTCATTCAAGTCCATCATCACATGGAACAGCTGTACACTCTGCACCAATTCCAAACCAACAACTGTTAGCACCACCATGTCAATCGTCTCCTCATGTTAATATGGGCTCTCCACCCTCCCAATCAAGGCCAGGCGCCCAAGTCAATATCACCGCTCAAAACAATGTATCTCCATTGTGGAATAATGCTAATTCTTCCAATGTTTATACAAGCCCCTTATCAAATATAGCTGGCACTAATTCACAAAATGGGGGATTCTACAATAGTCTCACTCAAGATAATCAAAATTTTGGCACTAACTTATGTGAAGAGAAAGATCCTCTTTCTATGTCACCAACCAATCAGTCTGATCCTCAAAGAATACATATGCAATCTCAAGATAAAGCATTTGAACAAGGTAAGCTCTATTATTGACATTACTCATTTTAAATTACAAATAAAATATAAAAAAATCGTCAATGAAAAAAATTTTTCACTGTTATAAAGCATTATTATAATTATATAAGAATTTAATAAAAATGTAATATGTTTTTTAAACTTCTGACTAAAAGTGTTATATATATTTTATACAGGTCAATCCCCAGCGCAAGCAAGTGTAGCACCATCGCCTCTACGTTTGGAGCCGCATGTACCACAGCCGTCGATGGGTGCTCCGTACGCTCCGTCATCTGGTATTTTAGACAAACAAGAACCCACCAAAAGTATGAATGTAACAAATAACAGATACCCAGTCGTAAAAATAGGACGATTATCAGTAAGTCATCATAATATTGTATTTATGTATGAATTCTTTAGTCAATATTTTTTTACAAAACTTTTACATTCTGTAGGAGGGAGTATTGAAAAAACATGAATCCCCAAATGAAGAAAGGTCAAGAAAAAATAGTACACTTGAATCTGACTCTGATGATAATATTCCACTCAAAACAAAAGGTAGCAACACTGCACCTCCTGTAGATAAAGAAAGAGAAGCTATAGATATAGCTAGAGAAAAAAACTGGGAGGCAGTTAAAAGGAAACATGAAGAAGCCAGCAAAAAGGAAGAAGCTGAAGCTGCCATTGGTATTTTTTTTTTTATTATTGCAACAATATATGCTATACATCGAATCCTAATTTTAACAATGGTAACTGCTTGCTAAAAACTGTCTTATCATTGGGGGCTTAGATGTCCTACAAATTTCAGTAAGAAAAAAAGTAAAGTGGAAAAATAAGTGTTCGTTGATAGAATTGTAATAAAATATCTATTATTTCTATATAGAAACACTAGTGACTCATCCCGGCTTTGCATGGATGCAATATTTGTTTTTGTAACTTTTAAGCTGTTCAACATATTTTAGTAACGCTGGTATTTTGGCGTGTGTGAAAGTACTGCACTAATCAACAGCCTATTTAGCACTTTAATGTGCGCACGTTTATATAGTTCCTCTTGCGTCCCTCACCTCCGCACCCTGCTTACTATTCTCGCACAGTCAGCGTCTGTCCCAGACGCTAGCTTTGTAAGAATGTAATAATTTTACTTCTAAATCTTTTGACCAATTGTCTCAATTAACATGCTGTGAAATTTTAACACCATGAAATTTCCATTTTGATTTAACTATTTGTTTTTATAAGAATTTGTACTTGAAACCTGTATTCAAACTTTATCTTGTAAAATTATTTACCTTTAACATAAAACTAATTGTTTGGCTGAGATATATAGTGTCACGGACTTTCATGTAAAGCTAAATGGAATGAATATTTTTGCTTTACATTAAAGAATTTCTGCTGACTTCAATTACAGTTATTGTGATTAACTATTGGAAATGTATATACTAAAATAAATAGTTCCTGAGTGCTATAGCACTCAGATATAATATATATTTGTACAATGAATATTTTTCAAAATCATATCAGTAGTACTGGAGATTACCCCGAACATCCAAACTTATAATAACCTCTTTATAATAGATATATATCTACGCCTGTATGTGTCTTCGCCTAGGAAAAATAAAGATCTACCTATGATTTGGCTAATGTCAATTTCTATACCTGATAAGGTTGCTACTGGATCTATGCGACTCGTTATGAATGCAGAAACTTATTGGTGGTAATAAATTAAATTCATTTTACAGTCAGACCTAAACTAAGAAAAGTGGAAAGAAGATTGGTCCCCGTCATAGAGATGTTATCAGTAGACGAACTAATGGAGTCTAATACGTATCAGCGTTTTAACAAGTTAATTGAATCAGTATTTGAAACGATTGATGATGACGTTATAATAACTGATGAAATGGGTAAGCTTCATTTCATAATATAAAATTGTGTATCTCAAACTAGATGATTTTTTTTATTCTAAATTTTATTGAGATTTCAGTACACCTAAGTGACTATGCCTGCCATATAGGGAGCGTCTGAACGTTAGATTAGATTATAAACTTGATGATGATCATAACCATTAATTTATTTATGTTATTTAAACACTAAAGGAATGTCAACACCTTATTTTTTATATACTGATACTCAGACAATAATTTAAATATGTATTCATTGCTTGTAGAAGGAACTGATATTCCTGAAGAACTGTTGCTTTCACGATATCAACTCCAAGAGCTGTGCTCCGAAGCAGCAAAACTAAAAAATCTTAGTGCTATGGAAGCAATACCTTCTGATAGATTGGTGCGATTATTAAACATATTGGAAAAAAATATACGCGCTGCTGAGAAAATGTCTCTTCTGGGAGATCCTGTATGTATAGTTTTTATAATTATTTCCCATTGGTATTCAAAAATATAAACCCTACTTTTCCATGCAAAAGGTACACTAAAAACTGTAAATAAATTGTGTCTAAAAGACAATTTAAAATAAAAAGAAATGTAATCATGATTTCATAATAAATTTTCAGGAGGATAGTGAAGAAATGCGACAAATATGGATTGAATCTGCTTTAGAGAGAGTAATGTGTGCTTCGGATGCGTGTTTAACATCATTGTACATAATGACCTCACCTAGTATGCCGAAGCGCGTGTTTCTCGAAGATGTTATAGATAGAATTATTATGTTCATAAAATTCCAACTCAATAATACAATATATTGTGTATATGATCCTGTGTATAGTATACAAACTACATCTAAAAAGAAAGGTAAGATTTTATTGTGTAAATAATGTCATGTAATGGATGACCTGCCCTGTCTTCACATGTTTATATAGAGGATTTCACTTTTCTTGTCATTTGTTAATATTGTAGCTTTCTATAAGAGAAACAGTTTTTATAATCTGATAAGTTTATAAAAACTGTTTCTCTGATAGATTTTTTGAGTTTATCCATTACAAAAATTCGATTTTTTTCTATCTATAATATTAGTTTAGACATACAAAGGGACAAGTGGAAGTAATTTCTAATTAGAAGCAATTAGTTGTCTGTTGTTATGGCCAAATGTTGACGCATGCATTTTAATCAAGACAAAGGACTCCACTGCCGTCTCTCACGTTAATTGGGTTTGTTAACAGCATTTAAATTTCCATATATATATTGGTCTTATCGTGACGATGAAGACGTATGATAAATTTTTTAACCACCTCAGTTGGATTTATCCTATACAATGGTTTCGGCAGTGGACGGCCGCAAGCGGCGTGGCGGAGGCGCGGGCGGCACGGGCGCTGGCGGGGGGCGCGGGCGCGGCGGCGGCGGCGGCGGCGCGGGCCGCGCGGCGCGCGACCTCTACACGCAGGTGCACGAGTGCGTCACGCTGCTCGCCGAGCTGCTCGCCGCGCATCACCTCACCGACACCACCGTACTGCACGCCTCCACCGTTGGTGTCTCGCCCTTTTTCGTCGAGAACGTCAGCGAGCTCCAGCTCGCCGCTTTGAAACTCGTCACTACGGTTCGTTATTTGTCTATAGATGTATATATCTATGTATATATTTATTATTTTGATTGTTTGTACTTCATCCGGAAGCCTTCGTCAGAGTGCTTACGTCACAGCGTCTCGTCTTGCACGCTGCTGCTGATAGCAGACGATAGTGTTGTTGAACTATCGTCTTAGTTGCTGCTGCTACCACTGCTATCCGTCCCCGCCTACGCCTTCACCAATGTTTTCACTGACTGCTAGCCGCGGCTCGCAGAGCAAGGCGAGATGCTGAGACATCTGCCTCCAGAAGACTTTCGGACGAAGTCGAAACGGTTGTTGGAAACATTAAGTTCATTAAAATCCCGATAGTCAGTATCGTATATTAAAAATTAACATTAATTTTAAATAACATTTGAAAATACACTTTAGATCATAACATAACTTGTACTAATATTTTCACAGATCTTTACAAAATATGAGCAACACCGGCGACTTTTGCTCGAAGACATTTTAGCATCCATAGCGCGCATTCCCAGTTCAAAGCACAATCTGCGGTCCTTTCAACTGAGCTCGGACCAACATATACAAATGTTGACAGCACTTGTACTTCAACTAGTTCAATGTGTAGTCACTTTGCCAGAGACACTTTGCAAATCTTTTGAAAAAGATAAAGATAAAGAACCTAATACTGAGTCTGATTCTAAAAAAGTAAGTATAATTTACACCTATAAGTTTTTCTTCTTTTTTTTTTATTTCTATTTGAACTTTCTATTTTCTTTTTTGTAATCTAAATTAATATTAATATTTGTAGCACGTGGACAAAGATCTATTAATTATATCCAAATACGAAGCAGCAATTAGTGTCGGCGGTACATTCCTAACGTCATTCCTGAATAAGTGCCGGAGCCGCTCGGAGGAAGTGGACTTCAGGCCTTTGTTTGAGAACTTTGTACACGATCTTCTTACCACCGTTAATAAACCAGAGTGGCCTGCCACTGAGCTACTGCTGAGTCTTCTTGGAACGATGCTGGTTAGTGGGCTCCATAATTGTATTGCTCTTTTAATTTTACTGTCAATATAATAACATGCTAAACATTTGATATAGGTGGTTACAATGTGTATCATTTGTACTAGGTGAAATACATGTCAGATAAATCAATGGAGATGCCTGTGAGGGTGGCATCATTAGAGTACTTAGGTTTGGTGGCAGCGCGTTTGAGGAGAGACAGTGTCCATTCACGTACTAAACTTGCTACTATGGATGCTGTAGTAAGAGACATACGCGCAGAAGAAGAAAAGGATGGCAATCAAACACAGGTATGGCCGCGTTAAATTATGAATAATCTACCTCAATTACAATCAAATTGTACAACTAATATTAATTTACAGAGCGTGACATCAGGATTAGATGAAGATGAAGAAAGAACAGAATTTCTTCAACGAGTACTGCTTGATTATTTGGCCATTAATGGACAAAAAGATCAAGCCTGGAATTGTGCTCGACATTTCTACATAACACAATGGTACAGAGATATGGTAGTCCAGCCTAAAAGTTCATCGCCCACTAAAAGACCAAAACATAAAACAAAAAGACGCTACAAAGACGAAACTAGCGAGGAGGAATCTGAGGCAGACGATGACAGCGACAGTGGAGCAAAGGACTCGAAATCAGATAAAAAACACTGTTCCACCGCTCTAATGTCTGCAGAGAAATTCAAAACTGTCGAGAGGCGAAAACATTTTTTTATAGAGAAAATAAGACCATTCCGATACCAGGGGGGCGCACAAGTTCAAGTTATGCAGTCGTATATCGACTATAGTGGGGCAGAACTGATATCGCAGTACTTGGCCTCGAAGAGGTCATTCTCGCAGAGCTTCGACAGGTATTTACGGAAAATACTGGTGATACTGTGCGAGAACACGATAGCGATACGTACAAAGGCAATGAAGTGTCTAGCGATGATCGTGGAGGCGGACCCGGCAGTACTGGCGCGCCCTGACATGCAGATCGGCGTCAACCGCTCCTTCCTCGATCAGTCGACGGCCGTGCGTGAGGCCGCCGTTGATCTCGTTGGCAAGTTCGTACTCAGCCGCCCCGATCTCATCGACAAGTATTACGGGATGCTTTCAAATAGAATATTGGTAAGAATTTCACTTTCTGTTCAAAATTTACAATAGTTTTGTGTCTATAACACAGGTTTTTAGACGTTTTTTTCTGATAGACCATTTTCAAAATTAGCCGATTCCGGTGGAGTCCCTGCAGCTATATTTCTGCCATATTTCCAAAATTCGACAAAAAATGTCAAGATTATAGTTAGATCTACTATGAAAATTTGCTTTGCGGCTGAGTTCCAAGCACGAATTTTAAAAAAGTGAGAATTGATTAAATATTTAACAAATTTTTAACTAAATAATTTTAAAAATAAATTTAATATTTCAGGATACTGGTGTATCAGTGCGGAAGAGGGTAATTAAAATCCTTAAAGACATTTGTATAGAATGTCCTGAATTCCCCAAGATCCCCGAAATTTGCGTAAAAATGATTAGGCGTGTGAATGATGAGGAAGGCATCAGAAAGTTGGTGATGGAAGTATTCCAGAACATGTGGTTCAGTCCGTGCCCAAACTCGATCCGGCCCGGCTCCCTCGACATGACCGCAGCTGCTGCCGATCCACTCACTAGAAAAGTTCTTAATATTACAGATGTTGTAATATCCTCTAGAGACATGGGTCTTGAATGGTTTCAGCAACTTTTGATGAGTGTTAGTATAATATTTATGCAGTTTTTGATTTATTTTTTGCAACACAGAAAGCAAATGAGCATGCGGCTCACCTGATGGTAAGTGAATATCGCCGCCCATGATCACCCACAACACTAACGGCATTGCAGGTGTTCTGCTGGCCTTTTAAAAACGAATATGCTCTTTTCTTGAAGGTTATGATGTCATAATGTTTGTGACCAAATGTATTCGTAACATCGGGCATGTAATCCTATGTGCAATAGATTGAACAATCTTAAAAACTTATCAGATATTTTGATCATTGTTTATTTCGATCTGCTTTCTATCATTTCTGATGTAATCTGTCGATTTTAAAATTAAACTTTGTAACTAGTTTATTAACGTAATTTTTTTATTTGCAGTTATTTAAACCAAAGGAGGACAAAGATGACTCCACTAAAATAATTTATCAGCCGCCTAAATCACTTCTAGTAGCGTGCCAACAAATTGTTGACTGCCTCATAGAAAGTTTACTTCAGCTGGAGGAATCTAGTGCCGAAGGCGAGTTATAACAACTTGCAACTTAATTTAATTTCATATATTTATATGAAATTAAAATAAGTTGATAATAATAACATACACGGTCTTAATATATAAACGGATACATATTATGTTTTATTGATTTACAGGTTCTGGATCTTCACAGCGTATTTTAGCGTGCCTTTCCACTTTACATTTATTTGCGAAAATTAGGCCTCAGTTGCTAGTAAATCATGCTCTAACATTGCAACCGTATCTAAGTTTGAAATGCCAGGTAACATACTTTATTCTAATAATTGTAAAGAAAAAAAGATAACCGCCGAAGCAGTGTTTTTCAGTACTTTATGACTTTTTATGTAATTACAGAATCAGTATGAACAGCAAATTATGTCAACGGTGGCATCAACTTTAGAGCTAGTAGTACCTCTGATGGAACACCCCAGTGAAGTGTTCCTTGCTCAGTTGGAAGAAGATGCTGTAAAGCTGATCTTGCAACGAGGACAACTTGTGATAGCTTCGTGTATAGCTTGCTTAGCGGCCATTGTAAATAATCTCACGCACAACTATAAACTCATTAGGGATGTCTTCAATAAATATCATGGTAAGAAGTTTACCAACAGATATGTATTATCTGCGTAAAAATCTATATAATAATTGATAATACATTTACATATACTTTTGTTTTTTAAGGAATTCTTCTTCAGTGGAAACACAGTTGGCAACGCAACCCAGAAATGACCCGAACGTTAAATACGCGACCGCACTTTCGACGTGCACTTTTCATCGTAGGGTTACTACTGCGGTATTTTGATTTTACAGAAACAAAAGTTATCGAAGGTTTACCGGTAAGTACAAAAGTTTAGACTAACATATCAGTTGCCTGCTCTTTGATTAATAAACCATATTACGCAACAAATATAAAACTATATTAAATTCAATAATCTAGTATGTAATACTTTATATTTTACTGTAGATAAAAATTTTACTTAGACTGTGTACCATTTCACCTATTAGAATCCTTTAAAAAAAAAATTAAGAGCGTTTATAACGAACGAATATAGCAACGTCGCAGTTATCTGTGGATTTTCAGAAATAATTGAAATATTTTCAATGTATTTGATTACCGACACGTGGTTAACACGTCGGTGAGCAAAAGTTATGAACGCGCTTAAAAACATTTGTATAACCTTTACAGTAATCATTATAGTGTTAAAACAATATTATTGACTCATTAGAATAACTATATCAAATAGTTGTGAAATTTGAATCATCAATTTTATTCTTCAATCGACTCCTCAAAGAGTCTTATGAAATGTCATCAAACGTAATTGGCACGAGAAGTACTCTACTCGCCTTTGACCTTGTTAAGTTCAAATATACTCAATAAAGTATGGGCAGTAATACAATTAGTTATTATTATTATTTCAACATTAAACTATATAAATATTTCTTATATTCTATTGTTTGTAGAGTGACATTAAAGAACAAGTATACACAACATTAATGTTCTTCGTGAATCTCGAAGACGAAGATTTTGTGTCACACACATTAAAAGCGCTCGGTTCAGTTGGCGTGCGACATTACGAATTTATGTTAAGGCCAGAATTAAAGGAATTCTATCATCAGTTGTTAACGTCAGACCTGGCACCTGTAGAAATGAAAGCCGACGTCCTTAGAAATATAGAAATGTACTTACAGGAGGAAGAACAAAGAATGATTAGACAAGATAAAGAATGTAAGTTCATTACCAGGAGTCGTATATAATTCTCTTATTTTATTAATTCTAACATATGTAACCAAGCATTTATAGTTTTATCAAATGTAGGATGTTTTGATATTTCATACATAAAATTTTATCTTTTATTCAGTTCGACTTAATTAAAATGATCTAAACATTACCGTACTCAAATTCTTGCGTACATAATCCCTATACTTGGGCTAGAAATTGATATATAAAGGGAATTTGTCCTTTTATGATTTTTCAAAATCAGCATTTACAAAAATAGTGCATTTTAAAATTGATAATGTCGTTCATCTTTAATCAATCCATACATTATAGGGTCAAAACGTTCGAAACACGAAAACCTCAAGGAGATGGGTGATGTATCGTCTGGCATGGCGTCGACGGTGATTCAACTGTACCTGAAACAAATCCTGGGCTCATTCCTGCACAGCAGCACAGTGGTGCGCTCCAGCGCCATGAAGGTCGTGCAGTTGGTGTTAGCGCAGGGTCTCGTGCATCCCGTGCAGGTGTGTATAAGAGACTTATTTCATGGCACAAAATGGCATATAATAGTTTTGTTAGATTGTTTTATTAAGAGTTTTCAAAAACAAAATATCTAGTTATTAATTTTTTTTAAATGATATGTTTACGTGTTATTATATAATTAAATAAATATCACAGGAAATGAAGGGATGGTCTATTCTATGCCGGGACTACTCGGCTCAAACTAAGTAGAGCCTGTATATGCCTACTATAAAATAATACTGGAAGAAATATTATTTCTCCTAAATACTTACATATTAATATAAAAAAAAAAAGCTCACAAACATACCAATGAAATAATAAGTATTTAAATTTAGAATTATGAATTTTTGAAAATTAATAAGAAGTGCAAAGATTGTCAAATTTATGTAGCAATTCTTCTTTATGTATGTATAAATAATATTTTTGTTCTCAGATTGTTCCCTATTTAATATGTATGAGTACAGACACTGAGGTGACAGTGTCACACACGGCAGATAAACACCTCCAAGAAATAGATAAAAAGTACCCAGGTTTTATTCACATGAAGGCTCAACTTGGTATCAGACTATCATATCAGTTGCAAAAAATATTGCAAACAAGCACAAAGAATGATGTTATACGAGGGTTCAGGTAAGTCCTTTAAACCTTTAATTTTATGGAGTTTGTATTTGTACATTTACTAGGCATAATTGAAGCTAATGAACCTTTAAAGTATTTAATTATTTACTTAACCTTTTAATTATTTATGTAACTGATTATAATGGAATATTATAATCAGTTACATAAATAATTAAACAACATACCTTTACATTATTGCAAATGTTTACATACAGGATTTGAAGAAATAAGTTACAAATATTTTTTTTTTTTAGGAAAAAGGAACAAGACGATTTACCAACAGCACTCAATGGGTTTCTATATTCCTTGCTGCGTAACACGCGGCCGCAACGGCGAGCATTGGTTCTGTCTCTATTGAAACAATTCGATGATGTTTCTGTTAGTATTACAATTTATGCTAATCATACAGAAAAAAAAAACTTTAATAATATAACAAATTATTAATTCCTTCTACAGACTGCACCCTTGGATCAAATGTTGTATCTGGCAGACAACTTAAGTTATTTCCCATACCAAGTTCAAGATGAACCATTGTTTATAATACACCACATTGATATTATAATTTCGACATCGGGATCAAATTTACTGCAGCTTTTTCGCGAGGTAATGTATATAAAGGTTTTAAATAAACAAATTGTCCTATTCTGTGATAGCTACTGACAGTAAGTTTTAGAATTATGACAAATATACTGTCAAAAACTTACAAAATTGTTTTCGTTCTGATGTAAATCTTTTGGCTTTGTTATATCGATTACATTTTTCAATTGTTGATTTGATAGATTTTAAAATATATGTATAATGTGAAGGGATTAATAAAAACGACCACGGAGGAAAAGGAGCAGTTGGACGAGGAGGAGGATGACGAGGAGGCAGAGGCGCTGGTGGCGCGACTACCGGTGTGCACGCGGCCACTTCGTGACGCCATGCGGCAGGCACGCGGTTGCCTCTTGCTGCTCGTACTCAAACAGCACCTCAAGCAACTCTACGGCTTCACTGATGCGTTAGTATTACCCTTATACGTGATCTTATATCTTACATGTGATTATATATCAAGTTTTTATATACAAAGGAAAAAAGTGGTGACTTAAAAAGTTACTGTACATAAATATCAGAACGCTTTTAATTTTTAATAATATATACATAAAATTCTATTGTTGTCCCACTGTTACGTCAAAGTTTCTCTTATAACAGGAAGTTATAACCTATTATTACTGGGTTACTTAAATTGCCTGGTAAAGAGAATTAATTCGAGTTTCCTTCTCTTGCATTGACATATTCTGCTTTGTTCCTTTAGTCGCCTTTTACAACATTGAATGATGAAAAGAATGGACATGAAAAGGAATAATAACATCATATTATGTATACTCGATTATTATACGTCCATATTTGATTGGATGGTAGTCTCTTGCTTAGTTTTCTTCCAGACTGGAAGACGTATGCTCGCAGCCACTTACTCCTCCCCGCTATGCAATTCACATCCTAGCTACCTGACTACATAAATTTATATTTTACAGAAAAATCAACCAATACTCCCCTTCAGAGAGTGTAAAAGTATACGAGAAAGCAATTTCGCGACGGCACGCTCCTATATTCGAGCCTAAGGCTACCATCGCGCAGCTTAATGACGTCGAAGATGAAGAGGAGCTCGATGAGCGCGGTTGTCGGCGGCTCGTCGACGACTATCTAGAGGTAAGTACGCTGCCTATTATCTCATTTTAATTTATAACCAATACTACTTCTCCACAGGTTAATATTATTGATTGTAATACGGCATTGCCGTGCAGTACTCGTATCGCGTTCAATCGCAAACAATGCAGTACATTGTTACAGATACATCACTCGATCTTATTAAAGTTAAATATATGATTTTTTAATGTAATTTATTCCTATAACATAATTATTCATATTTATCGTTAGAAATATAAATACACATTGTATGTCAACTGTAAATTAACCGGATTGATTTATAAAATGAGCGCAATATTGGAATGTTATTTACACGTATTCACATAACTGATGATCTTTGATGTCCGCCAAAAATTCGCCTGTGGCACGATCATAGGAAGTGGTAGAAGACAAAATGATGTCAGCGCGAATGATGTATTTTCATTACACGCGTGGGCAACGCGTGTAATATTCAAGTAAATAATCTATATTTTGTGTCTAACTCGTGTTTCTGCCACTGTGAAATTATAACATGAGAGTTACCATGGGCATCGCAAAGTATTTTTGTGAAGTTCATAGTGTCGTTTGTATATAGGCATGTTATCACTTTTCATCAGGTGACCCGTCAGTTTGTTTGCAATACTGAGTTTCATAAAAAAAAAATCTTACTGCTCAAAATCGATTCTAAATCGTTTATTTTTTTCAGTTCAAGCAACTAATGCTGAAATTCGATCCGGAAGAAGAAGATGACGACGATACTGCGGCCACGAACACAACGGGCACGGCGGCGACGGCGACATCGGGCGCGACGGCGGCAGCGGGGACGACAGCAACGGCGAGCAGTGGCGATACGACGCCGGCGCCCGCGCCGCCCGCCGGCACGTAGCGCCCGCACTAGGGCGCCGCCGCCGCCGCCGCCGCCGCTGTACATTACCGCCGCCCGCCGGCACGAGCCGCGCCGCCGTCCGCGCCGTTTGTCTAAGTGAATTATATTTGAGAAGCTCGATTTTGTTTTTATATTAAAGTCTTGTGTGTAGATAATTTTTATGAGGAATATAAAGTATATGTACCTACTATGGCTTGAGTTTTTCGAGAAGGCGCTCTCTTTATCGGCCCGTTATGTCTGTTGAGATATGCGTGGCGTACTCCACTCCGAAAGACCATGTATGACATTCGGGAACTAGCTTTTTGTCGCACGGCATGGAGCGCTATCGTGTTGAAGTTACTCGTGACTTTTGTACATTCGAACTTAAATATATAATGTAATATTATTATTAAATAAAAAATTATGTTAATATTTGAGGGTACTGCAATAAACTGCATTTCTTATGATAAGAAAACATTAAAGTTAAAAGGCTAGATTTTTACAAAATTATCTTTTGTATTTACAACCCTGTTCATATCACTTCATTTTACGAAAATTTTATCATAACAATTTACAACATTCTATAATTTTCAAACGATTTAATATAAAGCAATCAAACAGATATTTTATCCTGTCGTTCTTCAGAAACGGCAAACTTATTGCATAGGAAAAAGATCAGCGTCTCTGAAGTAGGGTTCACTTTGCCCTCAGCTATGAGTCTGCGAAGATTGCGGATGCGCTGCTTGTGCGGATACTCATGCGATACAGGTTGTTGCTGGAACAGACCAAGCACATATGAGAATGTTTTCGTACCAGTGTCGTGGAACTCGTGTACAACAATTGTAATAATACAAAATACCTACATGAAAGATAACAGATGTACAGTATCTCAATACGTGGGGAAAAATAGGAGAATTACTAGAAAAATATAATTCCTTTACTAAGTATCTGAGTGGTACCTATCTATCTATTCTATGTAAGAGCTGCGCTCTTATCGATGGAGCTCTTGCAACTCACTACGATTTTCTACGAGTCTCTTCACCTCTTAATACGACACGACACAATTTTTTTCCTTGATGCCTTGATCTCCCTCTTCCCCTTCTATTATAATATTCATAAGTTCGTCGTGTCGTATCAAGTGTCCTAACATTTTTTTCCCTTCTGACCTCAATAGTTTTTATAATTTGTCTCTTTTACTTAACTCCTTAGTGGTACAAGAAGTACAATTACAGTATATATTAAAAATATAATGTATAAGATATTCTGAATATTGAGCTCTTTTATATTAAAATCCCAGAAGATATCAAACAAAAACTTTTGTTTAACTTTTAACACTTCTGCATTCCTCCTAATTTATTACATATTATTTTTGTAAGTTACTACCACAGGTTATAACTACATATAGCTCTATTTGTTATTTGACTAAATATCAAATTTATAACACGAAATGCTGACAGATACCACATACAAACAGTTTTCAGAATCGAATTGAATGTGCCACAGTTGGATTTACAATTAGGATCTACCTATGAATTCAGAGATTTCTTTTTCATTTTGATTCCACTTTTATACAACTTAGAATGGCAAACAAGCTGACAGCCCACCTGATGGAAAGTGGTAACCGTCGCCTATAGACATGAACAGTACCATGCACATAACAGAGTATACTGTTTCGCCCATGATACCCCCCATGCGTTGCCATTCCTGAGGACTCAGATGTTATTCCTCTGTACCCAGTAAATTTACGCCATATCCCACCCTTCAAACCAAAACAACTGTTTCACGGTTGAAACACGAATGGGACAGAGGTACTCAAGCAATCGACTTTTGTACAAAGTCTCCCTCTGGTGTGAATAAAAGATATTTTTTTTTTCTTTTTAATTCATAAATCAATCAATGGATATTTTTCTTTAGTATTTTATAAAATGTATGTTAAGAACAATAATAATGGTGATAATTCTTGCAATTTTAACAGTGAGTCGATTATAAGAAAGAAATTTCCGTATAATTTATTGTAGAGATAATTAAAGAAATAAATCACCATTTAATATGATAACCTACATGCGTTGTATAAATGAAAGTATTATAATTGTTTTAAAGCACAAATATAACAAACATGAATACACCAAAACTGTTGTATATAATCTAACAATAAATCCAAAAGTTGGACATTTACATAGACTGGCCTCGCAGCAAGACAAAAACATAAACACTTTCGCCTTTGCCAAATCCGAAAGAGGAGATTGACGTCAATGCATTTATGATATTGATTTACAATTTATGTAGTTTGCTATTTCCTTATTACATATTGCTATAGTAGATATGTTTGACGTTATTTAGATAATTAAAAAAATCGTGCAAGATTTTATAATTATATACCTCTCTGATTACTAACTACCTAATACGAGTATACTATGTTGGCTAACATTTGTTTAATATAATAAATCAAGTTTATAACTAATCACCACATTAGGATTAAAAAAGATATAATTTTGGAATACACTTGAGCAAGCCAAGTCTCACTGACGACTAGTTGATTGTTTATATTTTCTTGGAGTTAGTCCAAAACATGTCTACGTGTATAAAAAGCTTTTCACGCTTAAACAATATGTTTCCGCCGACATATAAAATAATTAAAAAAAAAAACATTAATAGTTATTATTGAAATGGCAAACAAGCTTACCGTCTTAATAGAATGTCGCATATAGCGAATGTTGACATAAACTATGCTCATTAAGAAAAGATGTTTCATAATGTATGAAGCCTAGGCCCGTACTCCAATATATACGGTTTTTCTAACAGAAAACAAAGCGAAATTCGCTTTAATTTCCGGCACAAATATTTCGAATTCAATATTTGTCGATATAAATTCTGAGGAGTTAATTCTAACGCAATTCTACTAAAAATTTAGTTTATACTTGTAATGGTATGCAATTTATTGGATTGATTGCAATTATGTTTTAACACAGATAAAGGGTAAGAAGGAAGTACCTGTCTACGTTTTAACTTTTTTTTTCTTTTGTTGAATCCTCAATATACAATTTTTGTAATGTTTCATATGTTTACCATGTTAGTGTTGCAGCTGAATACCTACCTTGTTAGGAGTACATATACATGGAAAGATGACCAGCATGAAAGTAGTAGTAGCACTTGTATTGAACACAATAGATTTAGTTCTTAGTCCAAGAAACTTGACACACTAAATACACGAAATACTATATCGCAGTATTATTATATTAAAATATTATCTAATTTGTAAAGACAGTTTTTCAGACAAAAATCAATTTATAGAACATGACAAATATTAAGGTTATTAGGCAATAACGTTTTTCTTTTTCTATTTTCAAATTTTACTGAAGAGTTTATTAATACCTAGTTTGCACTTTAACATGACGTTATAATTTTGATTTTAACATGGTAAGTACCTACTTACATGACGTAAAACTACAATCATAAAAAAATAATCAAAAACATTTTTATGTCATAAAACTATTTAATAAATTAATAATTTTCTATTTTTCCTATAATTCTCTTATTGAGATACTGTACAGTAAAATACTACGTATGATCCTGTACTGTACTCAAAATGAAACTTCCTTTGTTTACTTTTGTTAACATTATCACTAGGTGTTATTTTGTATTTATTACAACTGTACAGGTTGGTACATGTATGGTATAGGATATGATAGTTTCGTTATCATTTGGTGTGAGTAATCCGAATAATATATAAATAAAATAAAATAAAATTAGATAACGATAAGAAAAACAATAGCGTATATATATTGTCATTGACAAAAAATAATAATAAAAAATACAAAGAGGTTTCACAACATACACCCCACCTTGCGCATACGCATTACTACAGCGCAATAACAAAATACAAAATTATATGTCAAGTCGATGAGGAAGTTTCACAGGACGACCAGAACGTGTAATCTTGGCTGGACAATTTTCAACCTCAACTTTAGAATCAATAACTTTATCATTTGATCCCGATGGCCGTGGAAACTGAATATCCTCTAATTGTGACACCTCTAGAGGGTATAAACGTTGCAAAGGTCGAAGACGTTCGCCTTTAGCCGTTTTAATACGAGCTACCCTACCAATGTTATCAACACCAGGACATATCTGTAAAATGAGACCCAAGGGCCAATTTACGCGTTTTAAATCATCTGAACCAATAAGTACAATATCTCCAGGTTTCAGATTGTTCTTATTTTTGCCATACTTTTGCGTTAATAACGATAAATATTCTGATCTAAATCTTTGTTTTAAATCCCTATTGATTTTTTCAATATAACGATAACGAGTAGCAAGATTAGATGAATAAGCTTGGTCTAAATCACTTGTATAAGTACTGCCTACCTTAAGAAACATTGCAGGAGTAAGAGCTGTAAAATTTTCAGTGCTGTCTGCTATGTAAGTTAAAGGACGTGAATTAATAAGTGCTTCTGTTTCGCACAGTACAGTCATCAATTCTTTTTCTAATAGAGCAGCTTTACCTAAAACTCTTCTCAGAATTTCTTTAATAGTACGAATCATTCGCTCCCACCATCCACCCCACCATGGCGCTTGTGGTGGAATAAAGTGCCATGATATCTTTTGAACTGAGGTTTTGAAAGAAACGTCGTCCCAATTAATTGAATTTAAGACATTATTCGCTCCTCGAAAATTAGTAGCGTTATCGCTGTATATAATCCTAGGCCTACCTCTTCGTGCAATAAAACGTCTTAACGTCAACAGGAACTCTTCAGTACTAAGTGAAGAGCATATTTCCAGATGTAAGGCTCTGTAAGTAGCACAAGTAAAGACTACTATCCAGCACTTCTGATTAGATTTGAGATATACTGGTCCTGCTAGATCTATACCCGTTACTTCAAATGGTACTCCACAAGTTACACGTTCTGCAGGTAATGGAGCGAAAGGTACAGTACTAGCCTTAGCATTATATCGTTTACATATAATACAATCTCGTACAACATTTTTTGCTAACCTTCTGACACCAACTATCCAATACTCTTCTCGTAAGTTATTTATAAGAGTTTGTGTTCCAGCGTGAAGACTATGAACATGTTTATATCGAACGAGTCGCCTCACTATTACATTTGTGCTAGGCAGTAATATCGGAGTTATAAAACTCTCAGTGTCACCACTTAGTGTCAATCTAGTTTTTACAAATAACATCTTGACTATCTTGAAAAATATCCATTTTGAGTCTTAATTTTATCTCATCAAAACTTTCATAAGACTCCTTTTGTATTATTGACATCAATCGAGTTTCTGCTCTTTCATACTCTTCAGCAGTAATATCTTTATAACTTCTATACTGTCGATAGAACTTGGAAAATCTCAAGCACCATGCAACGGTTCTAACAATTTTTGAATACTTCCCAAAATGAAGAAGTCTGTCAGAAAATTTGGTACCTTCTTGCACAGTTAAACAGCTTTTCTTTACTTCCTTGTTGACTTCATTTTCATCTGGAGCAACATCAGAATTGGGCCACGCTGATTGTGAATATATCCTCCCACCATCGACTTTTCAATAAATTTTGAGCATTGCATCCTCTTGATGGAAGATCAGCTGGGTTAAGTTCACCAGGTACATGACGCCAAGCATCTCTGTTACTTCTTTCTGTAATCTCTTTCACTCTATTGTGAACAAAAACATTTAGACCTGATTGCCGTCTTATCCATGCTAACACAATTCAGTCCAGTAGTATTCTTTGCAATTCAGCTGCAATGAAAATTTGGCTTCTGTAGCCAATCGTGTGGCTAACAAAGCTGCAATTAATTCAAGTCTCGGCATTGTAACTGGTTTCAATGGAGTAACTCTACTTTTAGCAAGAACAAGTTGTACTGTTACCATATTATCATGTTCCGATCGCAGAAAGACGCATCCAGAATAAGCGTATTGGCTTGCATCACTAAAAACATGAATGGTGTTATTGCTCAGATAAATTTGATACACTCAATCTTCTTGGAATACGACATTTTTCGATAGCATTTACATGATGAAGCCATTCTCCTGATTTTCCCAATTCTAAGGTAAGTTCTTTGTCCCAGTCCATAGACTTTTCCCAGCACTTTTGTATTAATAGTTTCGGTATCAGTGTGGTAGGACAGAGAAACCCGATTGGATCGAAAATACTTTGCGCCATTGATAACAATGTCCTTTTTGTAAGCTTATCTGTAACTTGTTTGAAAAAAGGAACTTTACAATAGAGTTCATCATTTTGAGCATCCCAAGTAACTCCTAATACAGAGGTATCTGCTTGATTTTTATCTAAAGTAGGGCCAGTCACCCGACATCTTAATTCAAACTTACCTTCGTTCATTATGTGCAAAGCTTCATTCATGAATTTTTTCATTTCAGCTTCATTGTTAACACTGACTACACAATTATCAACATAAAAGCTCTTTCTCAATTGACTGGCAGTATCGCCTACATATTTCTCGAGGTGGTATAGAATAGTAGCTGATAGAAGGTATGGACTCGTTTTAACACCAAACACTACACGACGGTGTCTAAAAATTTTTAATTTTCTATCTCCTAGGGTTGTCCCACCATAAAAATCGATCATTTGGATGGATAGATATTTGTCTTTTTTATATCGGCGATAATACCTATCTTGCCTTTTCTAAATTGAATAAGTAATTTTGGTATTAATTCTATAAGATTGCTTCCTTTTTCTAGACAAGAATTAAGACTGACACCTTCTTTAGTCGTAGCAGATGCATCAAACACAGGGCGAATTTTAGTCGTAAGGCTAGATTCTTTAACAACAGCGTGATGAGGCAAATAATGTCCGGTTTGAATATTATCACCCATAACCTCCTCAATTATGTTACTATTTAACCATTCGTTGAACACCTCATCATAAGCGTTCAATAAGCCTAATTTTGTAAGCTTATTAGTAGTTGAGTGAAGACGTTTTATTGCTAAATTAAAGTTAGAAAATAAAATGTCTGCTGTATCCTTCCATGGTAAACTAATTTCATACCTATTCTCACCATTTATGGCTTCCGAGAACTTTTAACCTGCGCCTCATCTTTTATACCTATTGATTCAAGTTTCCACAGGTCATCAATATCAAATGAACAAGCGTGTATTGAAGTAAAATTACAATACGTACCAGAAGTAGGTCCCTGAATTACCCAACCAAATTTTGTCTCGATCGCCACCAAATTGTCACTTACATGTTCTGATCGCCCAGTGTACAACGAACCTAAAACATCAGAACCAATTAGTAAAGAAATCTCTGTCACTTCATTAATACAATCAGTGATGTCAATACCTTTATCCTGTAGTTGTGACAAAAGTGAGCCTGACTTTATCTTTGGCAAATTATCGCATATTTTCCTCTGCTCAAGTGCCTCTATTTGAATTTCATACTTACTATTGAGGCTTTTGCAATTTAATATAAATAATCTATGATTTTTTAATTTAGTCACTACTCCGCCGAACAAATTGTGCCTTAAGTGTTCATTACCTGTAGGTTTAATATTCAATTTCTCGATTGCATCTGACCTTATAAAAGAGCGTTGAGCACCTGAATCCAAAAGGGCTCTCACTGTAATGGTTTTCTCTTTGTATACTAAATTTAGTTTGACAGTTTGCAATAAAACTGTACTCGGTTTTATAGACTGTTTAAGTACTTGATCTTCTGCCTTCTTTGAAATCTTAGGTAATTCGGCACACATAATGGGATAATGTCTTTTTTCACAAACAATGCATTTGGGATATTTTCTACATTTTTTTGCATGATGTCCAATTTTTAGACATATCAAACATGTATTCTTCTTTTTCAGAAAATCTTTCTTTTCTTCTAAATCCCATTTAATAGGCCTTTTACATTCAGAACTATTATGCGTGGGTTTATCGCACCATACACATTCTCTTATTTCATTTTTAGTATGCACGACATTTTTCTCTTTGTTTCTGACAGCTGTACTTAAAAAACTTGCTGACGGAATTACAGGATTTGGATCCACGCTAGAAAAACCTCCTCGTGATAAATTAATTTTTTCTTCAGATTCAACTTCCTTACGAACAAAATGTAAAATTGTGTCAGCTGACTCTTTTCTTTATCGTTAGTCGCGACGTTCGCCTGACATCTGTTCCATGCGCGTAATATGTCTTCCGGCAGTGCAGATTCCACCATTGGAAATAAAAAGGCGGCATACTTATCTTTCACGCCGAGAGATTCTAAAGCAAGAATCTGAGTCATTAGTTTATCATATAGGATACGAGTGGCCATCTTAGAATTATCGTTCCTTTGGACGATTGTTAACTTTAAGAGTTCTCTAACGTAATATTCTATTATAAGTTCATCTTTTCCATACCTTTGTTTGAGCTGTTGCATTACCTTTGGGTAGTTTTCTGCTGAGGGTGGAAAACTTTCCACTATTGAATACTTTGTAGGAGATATTGAAATTTATCTTCATCATCTATGTCGCTGTCGCAGTCAATCTTCTTGAACTGTGTCCAGAATGGAATCCAACTTTTTATCTCTTCGTTCAATAAAGTAAGCTGTAACTTCGGAAGACGAAAGTGGCGACGATGCCTTTGGGAAGTCTCTCCACTCTCTCTATCTGCTTTAATTACAGTATCAGAGGCCGAAGAGCGGGCTGGCTGCAGTTCTCGCTGACTTTGTGTTTCAACAAATAGAATTTACTGGTGTAAGCCTCGGACAGTTCTAAATCATCATCGAAAAAATTTTCGTCCCGTTCCTCCATGTTCAACCACAAATCCATTAATTTGTTTTGGAGGAATGTTAATTCGTCGAAAATTTTGGTGATATTTAATATTTCCGCGCTCATACCTGTTTTATCATTCTTCTCTAGAAAATCTTCTATACGTTTAGCACACATAGTAAAACGACGACGTACTACTTTTCTTTGTAATAATGCCTGTTCCATTTTTACGCTGATCACGGTTATTCCGAATAATATATATAAAATAAAATAAAATTAGATAACGATGGAAGCAGGCGAAGAAAAACAATAGCGTATATATATTGTCATTGACAAAAAATAATAATAAAAAATACAAAGAGGTTTCACAACAATTTGGTATATAAGTTCACAAATCAGGGAATTCTTAATAGCGTAGACAGAGGCTTTTTTTTAATGGGTGATAATGGTATGGTAACCCCCGCCTGCGCTATCGGTATACACTGGTGGGGCACCAGTGAGACGACAGTTGAGGACGAAAGCAGGTCAGTTAGCTAATCCTGACGAATTCAACTAGAATTAAACACGATGGTTTTCAGGGGAACCACGTGGAGGTCGACCTGATAGGGTATATTGCTAGTAATGGGGCTATTTAACCCCATTACTAACAATCCCTTTCCCCTCGCAGTACCCCAGAGGCAGTACCGCCCGCATGGCGTGGGGGAAGGGGGTGCGGTTGGCATACGCCTGGGACACCAGGGATAAAAATTTGCCTAAACCGTTAGGTAGACTAAGCCCGAACCTGAACAGGAAAGAACGGTTTGTTAAAGTCATAACTGGAACTAATACCCTCATTGCTAGTAATATATCCTATCAAGTCGATTTCCATGTGGTTCCACGTGAAAACCATCGTGGTTGATTTTTATCGAATTCATCACGAGGGCCTAACTGATATGCTTTCATCCTCATACTTATCATCTCTCACTAGTGCCCCCCCCCCCCCAGCGTATACCGATAGTACAAGCGGGGATGTCATTCTATCTTCACCCATTAAAAAAAAGTTTACTTCCACTTGGTTCTCTCTGGAAACTATCATCATTAATTCCTGGAGAATTCGTCACGATTAGCCAACTGACCTAACTTAATCCTCACCTATCATCATCATGGCCCCCAAATGGTCCATAACCTTTCGATTTAAATCCTATAAAAATATGCATCTTAACACTAAGCGTATTTTTTTTTAATAGGTGATAATGGAATGGTACCCTAGCCTGCGCTTTCGGTACCAGTGAGAATGAAGCAGGTCAATTAGCCCATCCTGACAAATTCAACAAGAATGTTTCAGGATGGTGTCCAGGGATCCACGTGGAGATTTACCTAATAGGGTATATTACTAGCAATAGGGCTGTCAAACTCCATTGCTAACAATCCCTTTCCCCCCACTAAGCGTATTTAGGAGTAGTACTTGGGTAGTACCCATCACAAAATTGTTTGGTGCCCACCGCAAAACCAGGCGTGAAGTTTTTAGTTATGAGAAAAAGAATGTTTAGACATTAGTACATACACCCCTTTTTAAATAGACAATTGAAATATTTGTTACTAACCTGTTCTGCTTGTAACTGCTCAGTTGTATTAGGCTTCCCTGCTATTGAATCATCCCACATAACTGGGTGCCAGGGGCGGCGTGACGGCCTTTCAGGCAGAAGCGCTGGCTGCGGCGGTTTCAGAGGTAGGCTCCGTACATCAACGTACTCTTCATCTTCAAATTCAATAGACTTTCGACTCATCGTTATCTAGATATATAAAATATTTATGTTAAACTTTATCCACGTACATTAAAAACTAATATTATTTAGAATTAAAGTAAGATTTTTTTCTTAATTTTTAACGATATTGGTAATAACTATATCGCTTGTATATCGTTTTTATGCACCTGTTTAGCTACAAAAAACAATAATAAAAAAAGAAACATTCTTTATATAATTCGTTATTTTTTTTTATTATATAAACAATAATACAATCAGAAACTAAAATACAATATTCATATTAGAATCGCATATCTAACGAGCAACAATATCATTACGTTTATTTGACTACAAAACAGTCAAATAAACGTAATGAAATTGGCGACTTTCATAGTTTAGTGATAGACACATCCCGATAATTGCGAGATTGTTTCAATTCCTATGTTTGTATTGACCTGCGTGTATTCTGCGCAACAATATCTTACTATATATAAAAAATCCGTGTTACGATGTTCATTCACGCTGATCTCCAAAACCGCTTGTTTAATTTTTAAGATTTTTTTAATATGTTGTGTTCGTACTATTTGCTCCAACTTGAAAGATGGGATAGTTTTTATTCGTTATTTTAATATATTAATATATATAATATATATATATATATATATATATATATATATATATATATATATATATATATATATAACAGATACGTACATACAGCATAAAATAGCTTCATGAACACCTATTTATAAAGAAAAAAGTGACATATATAATACTAGCATTTACTTGCGACTTCGTCCACATGACAGGTATATTTTTATTAACAGAGATAAAAATTAAAGGAATGAGATATATAAAAACCTGATAGTTGCCTGTACATGTGAAACAAATTGCATTTTGTTAATTCTAAAATATAGATATTGAGAAAAATAAATATTTTACTGCAATTAATTTGTTATGTTTCATAGAAAAATTACTGCTGCGCAGTTACCGTATTTTTATGTGATTAGTAACTTGGCAAAGAGACAAGAAAGAATTTTTCGAAGTCGTATGATCATAGAGACTATACAAGTCGTCGCTTGGGTACCGCTGTCCCACTCGTGCTATTGCCACGAAGCATCTATGTTCGCACGACTGGGATATGTACAATAACACCATATTTTCCAAGAATCAGAAGTGGTTTCATGGGAATCACTATGCATATGTAATGTCCATAGTTAGGTTCATGTCTCTAAGCTACATTTTCACTTCAATCCTCTATTTTATCCATTAATTTGAGCCCACTTGAGCTCAAAATCAGATGGAATTTGAAATAAAATTTGTGTTAGCAATATCTGTAACTGATACTTGGTTACCTCATTTCTTTTTGTTCCTGCAATTGCACATTGATTATAAGTAAATATAGATATTTTCGATACATTTGAAATAATAGCAACAATAAATTCACTATTTAAGTACTTACCTATGTTTACGAAAATATTTGCTTAGAAAATGAATAAATCAATTATAAAGAAAAGACATTTGTAATCGACTCACCGAAAAGAGGTATGTGAAACAATACCAACAATAAATTCACTAAAAACTATGTTTAACAAAATACTCACTTGTTTCTAAGATGAACAAAAGACTGTATTGAAGTACAATTTCTTTCCACTAAGACGTGGAACACGTTTGCGAACCAGATAACCGTCTAATAACACTATCTATTTGTTACTGGCCACCAATTTCATACAGTTTTATTTATAATCACAGCGCAGCGTACCATTGTATGTGTTGAATACGACTGAAATTAATTACTTTCTCAGTCTACGATTCAAGCAAGGCGCTCTTTCCTGACATGTGAGTCTTGGACAATTCCCAGCAAAAATAGGAACATTAAAAACAGTATTGACATGTAGGACACTGACCGTATTCTATGCCAACTGATGATTCGGTAATGTCGAACAGTATTACAACTACTCATTTTGTGATTGGTACCTACAATAGTCAACAGTATGTATTTATAGACATCGCTAAACGATAAAGGTGGTACTTCATTTAGTTTCCATCTGTGCAAAATTATTGATGACGTCACAGACATGCCTATATTTCGTCCTAAATAATTCAGTAAATCCGTGATCGGGCATGTTTAAAAAGCAATAAATAAGACACCGAAAGGGTTACCTTCATAGTGTAGTGGTTGACACCTCACTCTAATGGCTGCAGGTTCGTTTTATTTCCCACAATACAAACAATTCTATTCATTCGTAGGTATACACGTTTGTTTTGATCTGGGTATTTTCTGCGTAACATCTTGATGTATAAAAATACCATGTCACGATGTTCATTCATGCTAGTTTCTGAAACAGCTCAACTGAATTTAATGAAATTTTATGAATGTGTATTGTTTACTCCAACTTAGTATAGTTTTTATCTTGACAATTATCACCATTTCGTGAGCTAGTGCTTGCACCAAAATTTAATTATGATATTCTTTTTATCTACCTTTATTATCTGGATAGATTTTGATAACTAGTCGCCTAGTATTAAACTAACTAGAATGAACATTGTATAGTACTCGTAATGACCCCAACCACATCTGTCATGGTCATTATTTTAATTTTTAGTCGTGGGGTCAATGGCTAATGATTAGAGCACACTTTCACTAATTTGGTGAAACCACCTTGACTTTGACGACCTTGTGGTGTAGCGATTTATCGCATTGTCTCATCTACTGATGGTTCGGGTTTGATTCCTGCACAAAACAAACATTCTGTTTTTATTGTTATGAGTGTATGTACGAGTATGTATGTCTTAATGTATATATTTAGAGGGAAAGGAATTAGTGATGGGGTTTGAAGTTCCCAATGCTAGCAATATACCCCTATTAGGTCGACCTCCGTGGTTCCCCTTGGAAACCATCGCGGCTAATTATGTTTAAATTCGTCACAATGAGCTAACTGACCTATTTCATACTCACCTATCATCACTCACTGGTGCCCCGCCAGTGTATACCGATAGCGCAGGCAGGGTTATCATTCCATAATCACCCATTAACAAAATTATATATTTACAAAATAATATATTCAAATATGTCTATCAGTTGTCTCGGGACTAGATGACGCTGTGATGATGGGATAAGAGGGATAGTTTAATCCATTGTGTTTTATTATAAGAATAGAATGGTAAGTGTGAAAAATACCGGCCATACAAAGTTCAAGGGGCGCTAGGGTTTATTGAAGGCGCTAAGAGTCATAACCACGCATTAATCAACGTTAATATTTTTAACTGGACAATAGGACTGTGCCGTCAAGAGAATCTGTCCTTGTCAGCTTACCCAACGCAACCCGTGGTGCTCTAGGTTTTTTTACAGCCCGGACGTCTTGAAAAAACCCGACAGACACAAATTTGTATGGAAATCTAAGTTTACCAGAACTGACAAACTTTTGTGCTCTTCAAGTCTCTATAGTAAAAAAGTAACAGTCAAATTAGTAAGCCACTGTAACAATTTTTTTTCTAATATTGATCAGGCTGCTTATAGCTAATTAAAATAATTGTATACCAAGAAGGGTGATGATTTTTAATATTGAAGTTTAGTTGCCCAATATACCATGTTTGCTCGAGATCAACACAGTCCTCATTGTAAACCATAGAACATAGAGCCTCAAAAACGAGCTCACTCTTTGTTAGCTAATTATTAAATTAGAGGACTCATTTTTTAAGTGTTCTATATACTTACGCATAAAATGTATCTTGACGTATTATTTAATAAATAAATGTTTACACGTTAAAAAGATGCAGAAATTATAAGACAAATATAGAAGTTATAAAGGTATCACTCATAACTATTTATCACGCTAAATTGTATGGAAAAGTTGACCCGTATTTTTCAAAGCATTTCTATGGAAACACTCTATCTATATAATCTAAGAATTTATCATAGATTTCCCAGAGACTGATATTATTGCGAAGTCCTTTGCATTTTCATGGAGACTCCTGTCCCACTCATGTTTTTACCCGCCGAGCGGCTCTGCTTGCATTTCTGTGTTTTGGTTTGAGAGATTAGTAAAGAAATTGCTGATACTGATTTATAATACTTACTCCTTGGAAATGGCAATAGTACATATGCGTATGTAAGCCCAAAAATAAGGTACATACGTAAAACTTTTGCACAAAGTATGCTTACGCGCTATAGGAACAAGAAGATATCAATAGAGGCAAGAAATAAAAACAATAGCTGATAAAAATATCCAATTTAATATTGAATCTAAAACTAGTTAACAAATATCAAATAATATTGGCAGTCCATGTACAAAATTCAACAACATAATTAAGTATTTATTATATTGCATCAATATCACATAATGTCGCCTGCTGTATTACAGTCAACAACCATAACATAACGTTAACAACTTTCTACTTATTTTTTTTAGTTCCAATTCTTTCCGACTTGTTTTGAAACTTCATGCTTATTAGCGGCACGTCTATCTGTGAAATCTTATTTAGTTACGTAACAAATATCTATTACCCGTACCTTCTGTTTCGATTTTAAATGATTTTACAATCGACACGCTCTATTAATACTGTTCTGGAATTGCCTAAACAAGTAGTCTTAATCTCTACACGCCAGCGACAAGTTCGTCAAATGAAGCTTCGTGTTCTGACCTTGAAAGCATGTACTCAGGCAAAGTTACTCCTAAAGTTGCACTATATCGAGGCATAGTTTCTGCCCAGAAAGCACCCTTGGAGCTATCACCTGCAAATTCTTCAGGTGCGGCTATGTTAGTTTCATCAACAATAATTGCCCTAGCTTCGCCTTCTGATGCTACACTTCTCTTTGAACGTTGCGCTGTCGTTATTTGTTGGGTGGATCTAGCATTATGAGCAGCAGAACTAACTACAGGATTGGATGCAGCGACAGTTAAAACGGCTTGAGGAGTTTTCTTGCGTTTTAACTTCTTACCGTAACCGGTATTAGCTACAACATAAGCAGCGGATTTTTGTTGGCCTGGCGGTGCACTTGTAGTAACTGTTTGGCTCTCGGCACCTTCACTACCTCCGTCAATAGTCGCAGGTTTGGATGTAAATTCTTTGAGTTCTTGATAAGCAAGGTGGCTCCGTTTTGGTGCAGATTCAGACACAAACATACATTCTTCGTGTTTCAAACCAGATTTGTCAAGACATTGGAAGCATGTCATTCCATTTTTCTGCACTTTTTTGCAAGCAGATCTATCTTTTTTTTTAAATTCAGCTAATACATGCTCTACATCCTTCTTGGGTTCATTATCAGAGTAGAACCCTGGTAAAGCCTGTTTGTAATTGTATGGTTTAGCTAACGAATCAGTATGTTCCTCTGAACTCTCCTTTTCGGTTGACGCTCGCAACGCTTCACTCGGCTTTGGTTTAGATGTATGCACATAATAAGCTTTATAGTTGTCTTTGGGATTATCTTCATCCTTATTTTCGTTTTTGTAATGACTATATGGTTTTTCGGGGTCTGTGCCGTGATCCTCGTGACTATCTTTAGCTACTTCGTATTTTGCCGACTTTGATGGCTGCTCCTGTTTTTGATCACTCTCTGGTTCGTCAGGTTCATCATTGCTGTCAAACTTTTTTTCTTTCGAATATGCATATTTATTGTTTTTAGGTTCCGCGACATAAGAACAGGATTCATAGTTTCCTCCAGTTTTGGGATCTTTACATATCATACAAGTCATGTCATCTTTCTTAACTTCTTTACAGTTACCAGGATTTCTTTTTATTTCTGCAGCTTGTTGCTCAGATAACTCCTTTATTCTCTCATATTCTTTGTGATCATATCCGGAGTCATAGTCGTAAGGATACTCATAATCTTTTTTAGGATTTTTTTCTTCTTTATAGGCGCTGCTATAAAGTTCACTATCAAAAGCCTTGGGTTTTGAAATATATTCAGCTTTATAATCATATGGATCCTCATCCTCGTGGCTGCTCTTTTTCAAATTTTCTCTCTGCCTTCCACTTGTGTACCGTCGTATACGTGCAGGTCCTGCAATATAAGCATTTGGCTTGTAGTTTTGATCATTTTCAGAACTTTCTACCAATTCTTCTTTACGATAATTCAAGGGATGGGACACTTCAACATTTGTAACTGAGGGTTGAAAATATGCTGCAACTGAAGGATTTTTCTTCAATGCTGCTAAAATTTCTTCACCGTGTTCTTTTTCTTCGGGTTTGTATACCTTGTAATCGGCATCGTGTACAGTTCTAATATCATATCGTAAAGGGCCAAGTTGTTGCCCGATGGGAACTAAATGTTGTTGCTGTTTTTGATTTTGTTTTGAACGTTCAACTAATTTCGCTGAATTCACTTGTGGATAAAAAGTTTTGCTAGCAATGGGATTGAAACCGAAATGTTCAGCAGAAAAGCCGCTCTCTACCGGAGCGAGACGAGTTTGCAACGAATCAATAGAACTACTGACTACAGTGTCGAATAATTGTGGATATTTGCTCTTATCTATATTAAGTATCGCCGCGGCAACAGGTTTCGAAGCCAGCGATGTACCGCCTGAAAATGATAAATTATATGAATTTTCATATATTTAACATTCCACGAGGTATTAAATATAATATATAAGTATCTCAAGAATTATACACGAAGAATACAATAAAACTAAATATTTAAATAATACCCACCAGAATCACTAGATTCAAATAAGGAAGAAAAATCCAAAGGTTGAACGAAACCCTTATCTTCTTGCTGGCTGGAATATACACCGTCACATATCGCCCACACTAATAACTGGAACAAGAATGAAATTAAATCTGAATGTTATTTATATTTTAATTAGGCTAGATTAATAACACTCTATCACTTAATCGTACCAGACATCCGAATCTAAACATTTTTCAGTATGGGTATAAACCCAAATTTAGTTTCTTAAAGCCCACAACTCCTCACGATGTTGAGTTGTATTTCGCGTTTGAGGTGGGATGAAAGTAACGTCACAAAATTGCAATGACAAGGTTTTATAGGCGTCAATATTGCGCAGGTGAAAGATCGGCGCAACAGACCGCGCGCACCACTCAAGCGTGTCTTACCGGACAATGTCCGCTTACTCCATCCGGCGGTCGACTGTGGGGTCACCACCTGGACCATTGGCCCATTGGTAGCTACTTCGACACAGTGGGTGACAGTAACTTTTTATCAGTATTCTCTCGCATGATGGAAACACTAGAAAAATTCGAGAGGTAATTATGTAGTTAGAGAAAAAATATAATTATAAATACGATTCCCGTTATCTACAAACAAACTAAACAAATATGACTAACTACAAAGAAATTTAATATTGTCACTGTTTATAGTATGTAGAATGAATGTAGGTCTAACAGCCCCATTGACACCACGTCGACCTCCACGGGGTCCCCTCTGGAAAGCATCGTGGTTAATTCTTGTGCAATTCGAGATGAGGGACTTAATGACCTGCTTTGCTCTCTAAAATGTTCAGACAGGTGGTAGCGTGGTAAGCTAAGTTATTAAGTTCCCTAAGTGTGGTTCAACACAATGATGGCTAGCTAATACGTTATAAATATGAACAGGTGTTGCCTGTAGGGACTTGTTTGCTCTGGTTACTGCAACTGATTTATTTTAATAAGGTGTTCCAATTATTTATTAATTATATTATTATTATATGCTAATATCTTAAATTTTAGGATCTGATACTACTTAGTAGATTGAATTCACACAAATTTATAGTTTATTCAACTATGAAAAAAGCAAAAGCTGAGTTTTTTGCCCGTTCTTTTTAACTAAAATTACATTCCGAATGGCCGATAAATTCTTTAAAAATTACTATTCAAAAATGCTTAAATTTAAGTTTACTTGAATAACAATTATTTCTTCTTCATCTTTCTTTCACAATAACCTGTTCTAATCTATTTAAATGGATACCTAAGTTTGTTAGTTACCTAATATCGTTTTCATTTACGTCTAAACAATTTCAATTCATTATTATTATATTATTATTACTTCTGTCAGTAAGTTGGTGCGTATTATTTTATTTATTATTTTCATATACTTAATTCTTTTTTACAATGTGTTCAATTCAATCAAAAAAATTCGTCATGAAATGTTCATGTAACGATTTCCTTACATAATGTTATTCTTTTTGCTTAAATAAATTGTTGAGCAGAATGTAAAGTGTGATACTGACTAATAAATAACGAGATCAGCATCAATGTAGTGTGTAAATAAATATACCTAATTCAAGAATACCTATTTTTGCCTACATACATTTTGTAGGCGTTTTGTTCTTAAATAGTAACAACTTTATTACTTATTTTTAAAAGACCACTTTACTCCCGCTTCGGCGAACGTTATGTACCCATAAGCATTTTAAAATATTTATTTATTATTTAGGACTTTGTTGCTTTTGAAAAATGGACGCAATTAAGTGTAATCTTACATTTTGACTCTTCTTTCATTTAAATCAGTTTCATTAAATTACTTTCTTGTTAACCGGGTGCGTGGCCTAAAAGTGATCGTCTGCGTTAGTAATTAAAGAGTATGTTCCACAAAAAATTAAAATTATTCCAGATTTTAGTTCTGAATTATACCTACGTGAATCGTAGAAATAAAAAAAAAATACTATACGGCCGGGCCGGTACCGCCGCATCGCTATGTCGCTGCATTTGAAATCTGTAATATCTTTGGAAATATTTATTTAAATTACATGCTGTAAAGGGCCATATTGATCTATATTAAATGGACAATGTATTTAAGCTACTTAATTTAAAAAATAACAATTTTTTTATGCATCTTAGTATAGCAAATAACCTGACGGCCCACCTGATGAAAAGTAGTAACCGTTGCCTAAAGATATGAGCAATATCATGGGTATACTGTGTCATCCATAATACCCGTCATGTGTTGCCATTCCTGAGGACTAAGGTTAACATCTTCACGCCTAACTCTCTAATCTTTAATTAATAAATGTGTAAAAATTAATCTTTGAAAATATCCTCAACCCTCAATTAGTTGTATCCCGTAGCTTTGTATGAGTCTTATCGGGATGTTTAATTGCATATAACCTTCTTCAAGAAATGAGCTACTAAATGCAAAGAGATTTTTTTCAAATCCGACTAGCAATACAAAAAATTAAAGCGAAAAAGAACAAACATAAAAAATTCATATAATAAATATAAATAGTAGACATTAACAAAATTACTCACATTTTTTTTTCAGGCAATTTTACGATTTTTTCTGTTCATAAGAACCTTCCTCAGACTTCAATGTTTATTTGAAAAATAACTGGCCGAATTGATACAGCTGTTCTCGAGTTTTGTGTTTAGCATTACATTTAACGACTCGATTTCTTTTATTGTTTTGTCTTTCTCACTAGATTACAACGTAAACAATATTACAAGTACGTATATCAATAACAACATGAGCTGTAGATAATAACTATTGAATTGATACGATTTAATTGATTTTACCATAGAGATAGTATCACTTGACGGGACTCATATAGAATTCGTCTTAAAGATCTGCTTTGAATTTGCTCACAATCTCTACCGATTAAAGCAGCAACTGGTAATTTCCTTGTTGATCACCCACAGTCTTAATATCACATTTATTATTTATATATTTTTTTGCTTATAGTAGTTCTTTCTACCTACTGTTCTGGACACTAATGACGTAGAAGACGTAATTACTCTATATTAAATCCAGAGTATCCTTTAATAGATATTCTACTTGTGAACAACTCTTAAACTACATACAACATAACCCCCTTCATTCGTAAAAATGCTCTCTAATAAACTTAGAAATAATGAACTGCTAGTAAGTTATATTTCAAAGTTCACCTAATTCTTATAAACTAAAGCTGATGTTTATTGAAACAATAAATATATATTTTGAAATACCTATATTAGTAATAACAATAAATACTCGTACATATTTTTTTTTATTTTATGATATTTGCATAAATACAGGCATTCTTTACTGACCATTAATTTTATTATTACTTATTAATAATTTAAAAGAAATTTACTTTAAGATGCTTTCGAACTTTCTTCAAGTTTCTGAAGTAAACGTCGGCTTGCTGGCTTAGAGTCATTTTGTAACGCCAATAGCATGGTTTTCTGTAACAAAAAGTAATATTTGTGTTGTTATGTAGAAATAAACAACATAAAAACTGTTCAAGAAAAAATATAAAACTAGAAATTAAACAGAGATACGACACTCACGTTATTTACGAATATATATCAAGAGGCATCAGATAATTACTACATGAATATAGTTGAAACCTGATTCGTAATTTTATGATAATTGTCTGGCAATTAGACACAGACCATCCAATAAAATAGTAACATACTAATTCATAAAAATAATTTATTATTTGCTGATTGACCTAGGCACAAGGCAACATCTTTAGCCTTACATTTAATGTCAAAATGTGAACTAACTGTCGCATTATATGTATTTAATATAAATAAATAAATACATACCAAATTTCATCGTTAATTGAAATTAAATCAAACTCTTGTATACTACGAAAGTGGCAGCCAATATTACCGCCCGCTCTATTCCCTACTCTAATACTAGGCGTATAGTCGTTTTTCGCATAGTCGATGCTTAGGAATGATTATGTTGAGCTATCACTACTATGAAAGCGTTTACTTACAGCAAGTTTGTTGTTGGAGTCCTGTAGTTTTTGTGACAACATCCATAAATTTGCTGCTAAACTTAACATGGGGCCTTGGAGTAAATCACCTCGCCTTATGACTCGCCAAAATAGTTCCAAAGCTAAATTATATTGTTTCTTGGTTTCTTTAACATCGCCGAGCATCTTCAGAACTACTAAAAGTTCTTGACAGATATTTGTTGCATAGTTTTCTATAATCTCTACAAACTCTGTTTCAGATCCATAGAGCACATCATTTGACAGAACTAAAATAAAAAATTGTATTTGCTTACAAATATGCAATTGTATAAAAACTAAATTGGTGGGAAATGATCATGATCCCAGTACGAGTTCTAATTAGTTTGGAACTAGTTGGCGCTGTTTGATTTATTTATTGTTGTCATATGTCATTATTGATTGTTGATTACAAAAAAAATTGTCTGCATAAGTTACAGCTGCGCTTGGATACCTGTATTGCCGATAGGAAAAGTCAAATAGAGGTCTGTCCTCAGAAATGGCAACGGATAAGGGGTGCCATGAGCATCCCATTATATACTGTGATCCCCAAAATACAGTTAGTGTTCTTTCCAATCTCACAAATATATAAGCAAGGCCAACAGCAAGTTCAATACCTGACATTTGTTACTAACCAGAATCCAAATGATAAGCATATTTCTCTTGCGTCATCTCACAAAGTAGATCCAAAATGCGAAGTAAAGTTGAGTAATATAACGGTTCTGTTTTTTTCCAATGTATCCTCTCGATTGTCTTTATTAAACCACTCAATATATATGCTTTGCAGTTACTATCCAAATTGTCCTAAAAAAACAAAAAGACAATTTTTTAAGACTAGTTTCTGTTTATACAATATGTCATATTCTGAAGTTTAAATCTGGCACGCGTAAAATATTAATAATTTATACTAGTCTAAAATCTAGATATATAATAGATATTAGTCTAATATCCCATTAAGGATAATTTCAAACTTACGGGTAATATCAACATTGTAGACAAGAAGTCACTCAGTATTCCAGCGACTTTAGTATGCGTTGGTTTCTTCTGACCGTCTTCCAATATATAGTCTGGAATGTCTGGTATCAACCCAATAAGAGCTTTGAAGTTGGCCTCAGCTATTAAATAAAAAGTTTCACTTACATATTTTATCAATATTATATTACAAAAGTCATTAGCATGTGTACCACTGTTGGCGTTACTCGTATTTTTAATCTATCGCCACGCAGATATTGCATAACTGTGTTGTGATTTGAAATTTAAGGCCAGTGCCATGACCGACGATGATGACGAAACTCACCGACAACTTGCTTTTACCCTCACCTATCGTCTTTCACTGGTCTCCTGCCAGCGTATACCGACAGTATGGGCGAGAATATAATTCCATTATCATTTACTAAAAAACAACCTTGGCCGATGCAGTTGTTAAGCAGCGCGACCTGTCCTGAGAGCAGGTAGAGGTGCAGCTTGGTGATCGCGCAGTGCAGCGAGGGGACGGTGACGAAGCAGTACGCGGCACACGCGCGCTGCAGCCACCCGCCCGACGCCGCGCCCGCACCACCAGCACCCCCGGCGCCGCGCAGCGACAGCGCGTTCACAGCCTGCCGATGATACACAAAGTAAAATCGATCAGGTTTTTTTTCTTTTTTTTATACAACTTAGAATGGGAAACGAGCTAACGGCCCACCTGATGGAAAATGGTAACCGTCGCCTATAGACATGAGCAGTACCATGGACATAACAGAATATACTGTTTCACCCATGATACCCCCCATGCGTTGCCATTCCTGAGGACTCAGGTGTTATTCCTCTGTACCCAGTAAATTCACGCCATATCCCACCCTTCAAACCGAGGTGCGAGTTGAACTCACACGCCGAGGGTACCGTACATACATATGAGATAAAATGGCCTTTTATATAACATAGGGGGCAAACGAGCATGCGGTTCACCTGATGGCAAGTGACTACCGCCGCCCATGATCACCCACAACACCAGAGGCATTGCAGGTGTGCTTCACCTTGCGTATTTATTATGTTTCTCATATAAAATAGGCACTTTTATTAGTTAAAAACTGGACCCCAAAAACCCCAAGTTTGTTTCTGTAGGTTTTTTTTTATAATTTTTCAAAAACTATGCTAGTTAGAAATATCGTTTAATTTTTCCTGTAATATTCACATACTTTAGAAACTGTAATTATTTCAGATTTTTCGCTTTACTAATTTAGGAGTTAAGGTGGTAAGGTAAGTTTCAGAACATACAGTAGCATCATTTCAATATTTTGAGTTTTTGGACGCGTTATTAAAGAAAATAAAAATCGATTATTTCCTATGCAATATGAGCTAATGATATCTAGTATTATGGCAAATTTAAAATCAATAGCATTTGTATTGCAGAGATAAAGCGCGGTGACATACAGACAGACAAAGTCGCGCAATACGGGTTTATATGTACTATTTTAATAAGAAATCGTAAAAACCCAATACTTTTTATACATTTTGATAATCCAAGCTGTACTCCAATTTTCTTCATATAACCACAGAAAAAGTCATCAATAGAAAGATTAAATTCGTCTTGCGATTTACTTATGAGAAAAATATTTATGAATATTTACTTACATGTACCAACGTCACAAGTACTGCATCTAGCTTAATGAAAGCAGATCGAGACTCTACGTAGAAGTTTAGCTGTTGCTCAAAGTCGTCTTGATAACTGACGGCCTGTATGAACTTATTGATGAGGTCAGCATATAATTTACTCTCGTCTTCAACTGTTACAGCACTTGAAAGATAAAAAAATTTAAAATTTGATATTCAAGACCAAAATAAATTGTTTACACAAACGGCCACTCTAAACTAATCGCTAAATGTCATAATAACGATACTCAACAAGTTTCTCCAAAATGGTTTGAAGGTTGGAATATAATTTACTCACAATAGAACTTTATTTCTTTACTAAATTGTAGCAGTGACTTTATTTGCATGTGTGGAAATGTTAAGTAACCAGGATAAAAAAAGGTGCCAGTTCCAAGTGAGGACACATATACTGGTCCCGGTTCGTCCCCAAGTTTGTTGTAATAATTTCATTTGTAAAAACATAATGTCAATATTTAATACCATCATTCCTCATAACTAAGCGCATATACGAGGAGTCAAACTGCAACGCATTATAATAAAACATTAATGAATTTCAAATTTGGAACCTACCTAAATAGAAAATATTGCTGAACATTTGTTCAACCATTTTCTTGTGATAAAGGGACGACTTTACAAAGATACGGACATCAAATTCTAATTTATAATAATCAAATTCTAATTTATAATAATCCAAATTCAGTAATTTTTCATTGCTGAATTTGGACTATATTATTTATTTCTAGCTTCAATAAACTCAATGTACATTCCGTTTATATGTCTCTTTGTCCCTTCTACATCTCTTCAGAGAAATACAATGAGTTCCCAGAAATCCGATCATACGTATATCAACATATTTTAAAATAGAATAAAACTTACTTTATAGAATCGTGTAATATAGTACACAGCCTCATCAAGCTCGAGATGATGATGTGATCCTCTATGCAATTGGAGTCGTAACGTGAGAAAAACATCGACAATACTGTTTTAGCCATCATGGTGCGCGCGTTTGAGGTTTGTACCAACTCCACTAGTGGCATAAATGCGTCCTGAACATTGAACAAGATTATCTATCACTAAATTAAAAACAAGACCCGTAAAAGACTAAAATCAAATTGTGGTCCGCAAAGAAAAATAGCTAATCAATCGAAGAATAATTAATATACAACGAACACTGAAGTAAATTATAAATAATTGTAAAAATATTTATAAAAAGAAAAAACTCGATACCCGGCCAGCATAGTACCTAGCAGTGTAACGTTTATGGTGTTCTTTAAGTTACACAATATAAATATTATTATACTTTTTATGGTAATTAATAAAGTAAATTCCTTAAAATTATAAGTAGCTATTCTATTATCGTCCAATAAAACAAAAAAAAAAACAGCACTACAAAATAATAGGTACGTATTAAGTAGTGGCGTTAGTCTGTACATTTGTAAAGTGTTTTTTTTTTGAGATTTTTTTTTAAATATTAAGTAATATAAAGAAGAAACCCTGTTAATGTATACTAACACTAGTTTAAAAGAATAAATTTCGTTTATTAAAATACTGTAAAAGTAGTTGAATCTCACCATGAGAAATAGTTCTTCAACATCTGGAATAGATTTCAACATCCTCTTCAAGACAAACTGAAAATTCCCAGAAAAATCATCAGCTGGTCTGCCACATTTTACCATATAACGAATAGTTCCTCTCAATATAATATTAACATGTTGTGTCTGTAAAGAAAATATATAATATAATTATCACATAATATGTGAATAATATGTGAAAAGGTAATAATAAAAATAATAATATCTTTATTTCTTATAATAATAATATGTTTATTTTTTATTGGTGATAGTATCTATTGGTTTCATATACAGTTTGGTTATCACAGTCTCACGCTCAGGTATACATATAATGCTAAAATAAGGAATAAATCAAATTTGTTTTATTTATTTATTACTAACGTTTTGTCTACTATTTTGTACCCATAAATTTGTAATGCTGAAACACACATACAGACAAACAAAATTACTAAAAAATATTGTTTTAGCTTCTATTGCTCTTATTAAGGCCCTTCATTACAATTTGTCTTAAATATTGCCCACGTGTAGACATCGTACGTACAGATATAACTGCATTATATTAATAAGATTTAATATGTGTACAAATTCTCTCCCAGTAAACCACCAAGACGTGATGAAGAGCATGAACGCGGTAACTAATGTATCATCATCATATCAGCCATTAACTAGCCACTATTGAATATAGGCCTCTCCCATAAGGGGAATTTTGCCAATAGTTTTCAATCTTGGCAGGCAGATCGTCAACCGCAGTTAGACTTTTGGTGATGTTTTAAGAAAGACTGTTGCCTATCCTTCGACCATTAAGGTCCCTTAGTCTCCTCTTACGATATCCAAGAGAAAGGGAAGGGTGACCCATTGTACACCACACACCACACGGAAAAATAATGTGTATATAAATAGTTGAAATTATTGATATAATTGCCGTGTGGTCCCGACATAGAATAGGCCACCCTTTCCCATGGGTGTCGTAATAATCGACTAAGGGAGGGCGAGGGGTAGGCAGCAGCATCTCTATTAAAATATCTCTAAAGCATAACTGCGGTTGCCAACCCGCCAAACCAAGCGTGGCAACTACTGGCAAAACCCCCCAAGGGAGAGGCTTATGTTCAGTAGTGGACAGTTAAAGGCTGATATGATGATGACGATGATTGATATAATTACCATGTACTAGTACATATATTAATAAAGTATTTTTATCATAAACCACGTCGATATAAAATAAATTAAGCATATGGTGAATCTCATCAACATTAATTCATTAGATTTATTAACAGTATTTGATACCGTTTGTTTAGTTGATTCAGTGTTCAAAAAAAATTAAATAAAAATAAGTATATCTATATATAGACATATTTGATTGGTAAATTTTCAAATATATACGTTTCTTACATGAATAATAATCACATCTATGAAAGAACATAGAGTAGAAAACGTGATGAAATATTGCACGCGAATGCTTTAAAACTCCAGGTCATTTTACTCAATCTAATAATATACATTTTTAATGACTACTCACCGATAAATGTGTACATGCGAACTGAAGCCAAGGCTCTAAAACCTGTAGGAAATGCAAAGCCGACTGCATGCTGCTTGCAATCTTCCAAAACGTTTGAATCAATGTTTCCGCAGACTGATGACGATAGTTATCCGCTGTACAAAGATGTTCTCCGAGCGACGACAGAACTTCATTTATCAGAACTGTAAATGGATAAAATTTTAAGTACATTTTGTACTTATTCATCACTAGCTTAATGTCCGCTACTTTGTATGCGTGGATTTCAAAAGTAGAGAAAACCAATGAAATATATACTTCCGGTTATGCTATCTAGAAGTATTTAGTACATACACCAATTTTTAAGGTAGACCATCAAAAACATCACATTTCTCAATTTCGTACTCAACTCAAGTGGCTCCCTATCCGTTTTCGTCGTAATCTGCATATCCTGTCTCTTCTTTACGCAATCCTTTTTAATCCTGCTGCTCCTGATTATCTAAAAGACCGATTCTTGTTTCTCAGTGAGGCTAATGATCATTCTTTACGCAGTGTCAATAACCTCCGACTTAAATTTCCCACTCATTCTTCTTCCTTTTATTCTAAATCCTTTACTGTTCAGGCAGTTCGTCTATGGAACTCACTACCTGCCTCTATTCGGTGCGCTCAAACTCTTACTAGCTTTAAAACCTCTGTTAAATCTTACTACCTCTCACTTTAATACTATTTTCCTGTGTTCTCTCTTCGTTTTCCTTCGTCATTTTTTTTTCTGTTGTATGTGTGCTATTAAGTATGTGTATGTTATGTATATATTTAATTGTGTATATATATATATATATATATATATATATATATATATATATATATATATATATATATATATATATATATATATATATGTGTGTGTGTGTGTGTGTGTGTGTGTGTGTGTATGTATGTATGTATGTATCTATATATGTTTGTATATGATAATATTTATATAATAGTGCGCCACATACTTTTTATCTTTTTCTCAATGTCCTCTACCCAAAGGTTGTCTGGAAGAGATTGCTTAGCGATAAGGCCGCCTTTTGTATCACTTCTCATTAATATTTACTGTATTTGTTATCTATCTTTTTACTTGGTGCAATAAAGTGTAAATAAATAAATAAATAAACATCACAGGGAAAATCGCATGCAATTTGGTGCAGTAGTTTTCGTGTTATATCGAAGCAAACACACAACAGACGATATTTTTAAAATTATTGTTCTGATTCTTACTGGTCTCAAAAAAACCCACTCAATTTTTTTAAAATATCTCCGTCGTCTAGTTACAATTTTATTATATTAGTACGATTATTCTTCATATCAACCATTCGTTGTTCACCAAGGAAGAATAGATATAAGCTATCCCCTCTCCTTAAACTAATAATAGATGCTTTGAGCTATACCTAGTTTAAAACATAAAAAGGTAGTTAAATGAATGAGTATGACTAAATCATTTGCATTATATTACTGGTACAATAAGGCGGTGCCACCCTCCTAGACAATTTGTAAATGAATATGTCGATGAATAAGTTACCGTTAGTGAGATAAAATGGGACAGTTACATCCTTCTTCTTTCTTTTGCGTAATTAATGATAACTTACGCAATATCTACCGGTACAATAGATTATCACTTGTTTTGGTAGGTTAGCAAAAAGTAATCTTTCAAGTTAAGCTTTGGGTAAACATCGGGGTTTATTCTAAAGCATCATTTCTCCATCTCTAAAATTTTAGTTTAAATTTGATACCACAACGAAATCTTTATACTTAAAACCAATATAAACTAAATGTTTAATAGATTTAAACCAAAATAATTATAAATTTCATTTGTTACGACCCATAAAATAGCAAATTTGTGAAATTAAAATATTAGAATAAGGTAAATTTAATGCCGCCTCAGAATTGACCCACAATATTAACAATGAATATTATTTTATTTAAGTTGAAGAAATGTTCCATTTGTCCAATAGATATAACTATAATAATACTCGTAAAGTAAAAATATATCATAGATACAATCTAATAAGTCATCAAAATATTATTAGTGTTACTCACCCATCCTGTCAACGTCATTCTCAACCATTTCTAAGATACATGAAGATTTCTTTATAATATTTGAAGAATCAAAGGCTGATACGACGCAACAAAGTAGCAGTTCACTGAAACAGAGCAACATAAATAAATTAGCTTACTAGCAACATGAAATTGATTAAACAACCTAATATAATATAGGACAATTACTTATTTTCAATTTGTTCACATTGCGCTAGTAATTCTTCCAGAAGAGTCTGTTTACATTTACTGGAATCGTTGAGGGTACAGTACATTAACCAATCAACAGCCGGCACATAAAGGTTCAAATATTTATCCATTGTTAATAATTGTGCTTCATATTTTTTTCTCATCATTTGGTGAAATATCTGAAATAGTATTTGTGTCATCAAAGCTATATTACTAAACCTAGTGTTTATTTAAAAATATCTTCTATTTTAATAAAAAAACATATAACATATAACTACAAAAGTAGTAGTAATGCTTAATAACTTAACTTAGATTTTTTTTTATACATAGATGACTTTTTATCCCTACCTGAATTTATAACTTGGATTGACATAAAACTCCACTCCAACACTCATTGCTAGAAATTCAATATGTGGTATATTACACTACCTTTTCAAGGCAAAAGAGCAAGATGCAACTAGAGTAACAAAGCAAAATATACTATGCAGTTCAAGTGAAGGAAAACTCGAAATAAAACCTTATATCTCTTTGTCCACAATACTCAGTCATTGATTTATTTGAAGGTTGAACACAAATGTATCGGCTATTATGACAAATTTTCATTGACATAAATGCCAGCATCAGAAAATGATAAACTTTTTAGACAGAATTAGTGGTCGGTGTTTTCTGGACATGCACCTTCGCTACTAGTCAGTCATCTGCTGATGTTGCAATATCTATAGATTGAAGTACCTAATCAGTTAATACTTTGTTTAAGAAATTGTTTATGTGCTTGCATTATAAATTTACTCATAAAAAAGATTAATTGACCCAGCATACAGTGTTTTGCCCTACTAACAACTACTTTTATTTATATCGTAATAAAAAACTATACTATCTCTCAAGTATTGCTGAAAATGTTATTAAAATCGATTAAACGGTTTCGGAGATTAGTGTGAACCATCATTGTGACATGGATTTTATATATATAAATAAAAATATAAATGTACCTGTTGGTAGTCATCAAGAAATTCTTTCAAGTTATTATAATAAATGTCTTCACTATCTTGTCCTAATATCTTCGAAGCGACATTGCACAAGTAAACCCTTAAATATGCTGCTACTAATGGGTTCCCTATACCCCTAATCATTTTAGTAAGTCTCGCCACAGCAGGTTTTATCTCTTCCTTTGAAATAAATAAGTAGCATTTCAATAAGGACATTTCCATGTAAAGACGTGGAAGCAACTCTCTTATAGAGGCCATTTTAAATAACCAATTTTGACATGTTTCTTTTGCTGACTCTGGCACTTGTGCAGGATCAATGTCTTGTATATTATTTACCCCCGCCGTCCTGTAATAATAATCATCAAAGTCACAAACAATCACTATAAAATAAATTCAAAGAGAAGAAATCTATAATATTTTTAGATATATTGTACCCATAATTTTACTTACCCATAACTTTTCAACTTCAGTCTATCAAATACTAAATTACCAAAAGTATCCAATATATCTGTGATCAATACAAATTTACTTGGGTAAAATTGCATTACAGTTACGTCTGATAACAATTTTGAGCACTGTATACCTATTTTAAATGCCTTCACTCTTTGTTCAGAATCCCAGGCCTGTAACATGAAAAAATCTTAGTATATAAAATAAAAAGTATTAAAAAAACACTTCAAACTACTTATTATATATTATACTTATTACGAAAAAAAAAAAACATGAACAATAAGGAAGTGTTATTAAACATATTCATCTATAGCAATATTATAAATGTGTATGGTCCAGACATAGAATAGGCCACCTCTTCTTTTTCCGTAGATATCGTAAGAGTCGACTTAGGGAGGGCGAGGGATGAGCAGCAGCGTCTCTCTTAAAACATCTTTAAAGCCTATACACAGATAATATAATTTATATATCTTATATATCATAAACGGACGGACAAGTTGCATCGTAAGAATTCTTTTTTACCTTTTTGGTAGAGTATAAAAAAGAAGGTAATTTGAAAGTAAATAATCAACTATACCATAATTACTTTTCTGATAATTTTTGTCTTTTTGTTTGTTACGTTCAAAACTGCAATCTCTTATTACCGCAGTTACCGTGGTGGTGAAAGTAACACATGACGTGTCCACATTTTATCAATCCTAACTAATATTATAAATCTGAAAGTGAGTTTGTTTGTTACCTTATAGCACCTTAACGGCTTTAACCAATCAGTATGAAATTTAGTATACGCGTACTATTTGGGATGGAGAAGGATATAGGCTACTTTCTATCCCGGTCAGTAAACACACCCCGGTCATGCGGACGAAGTTGCGGGTAAAAGCTAGTAGGTAATAAAGAGATATAAAAAGGCAATTTTATCTATCTTATTCTATCTCTTATTTGTTTACACTCTAGTTAATTTTAATAAAACATAATTTACAGGCTTCGAACTTTAAGATCTCCAATAACGAAAAACATACAGACCTTCTTTATTTCATCGTTGAGCATATTAATTTTTACAACAAATTCTTGTTGACTCAGTCCCATAGTTTTTCGCACAGAGCCTTCATCAAAATCGTCCAATTGTTCCAGTCTATGCTTCACTTTCTCATTGAGATTTGATACCTGTCTTATAAGCGCTGAAAATGAACTAACTTAAAGAAAAAAAAAAAAGAAAAAATACCATGTTAATCATTATTAAATAAATGACGTGTTTGCTTCTTGTTTCATTGACTAGCGAGCACAATAGATTTTAGAAAGTCCTCAAAAACTGAAACAGCCCGACTAATAAATAACAGACTGTGATATACCAACGTAGAGAGTACTCTTTTTAATGCATGATAATGTATGGTAACCCCGCTATCGTTTTACGCTTGCAATGTACCAACCTAATATGAGAAGTGAGAATAAAAACAGACCAATTGGCAATTCATTTGTAATTAACCATGACGTTTTCCAGGGATAGCACCTAAATGCTGTTTTTATAAATATTTTGATATCATCTACTCTGGATCGCAATGAAAATTTATTGAGCAAATAATTTTAAAGCATGTAGTTAACCCAATAGACATGTTAAATACATTTGGCAAGAAACCGTATAAAGTACATACAGTCGCAAACCAAAACCGCATTCAGTTGTTTCAAATTCGGTCGTCAGTTTATTTCTAACTGATATACTTTTCATTGAACGGGAGAAAGAAAACAGTAGAAACTATAGCACTGGCACAGAAAAAAGTGCAACATAAACCAGAGGGTAAACCCTATCGTTCGTAAGTTTTTAGGGGCACTAAAATCGAGTATGACCATAAAAAATTATATTAATTGTCGATATACCCGCTATCAGCCCCTTACAACCCCCCTGAGGATTGAAATACCTTTTCTTTTTGAAAATTGAGATGTTTTTTGGACTGAAGCAAAGAACGTGAATCAAGATAAAAAAAAAAAAAACATAGCATTATGTTCTTTGTTTCCTTCAAATAAAAATTTATAACTTTATACTAATAGTTTGTAACAATACATACTTTTTTCACCTCCAGGTAGGAAACTGCTAATAATTGTTAACTTTTCTCCTGTTGTATATTTACTTAATATGGCTGAACGTTTTAAATTCCAAGTTTTAGAATAATTGGAAACCTTATCTATGACTTCAATATGACTCAAATCCTAAAAAAAGTTATGTTATCTTATATATATGCGTACATTATAGTGCTTTAATAAAATAATAATAATGCGGTATTAATAATTAAAAAAAAAATGTTGATATACATGCATACAAAAATTACAAATATACCAGGTCATTGAGAAAGTATTGCGAGAAAAAGTTTTATGTATGAGACTAGCCAGTTATAATTTATTTAAAAATATGAAATATATACTTATAAGTAAAAATAGGCACGTTCTAAATTCAAAACCTCTCTTGACATTTATTGCGAGCTAATTAAAATTACCGTGTCTCTTTGAAAAATGGATTTGCGTCGAGAACATTTTCGCGCTATGACTTTTTACGATTTTAAGTGTCGCCTGAAACCGGACGAATCATACCATAGACTTCAAGTGGCATTCATGGATGAAGGCAACCGTGTATCGTTGGTATAATGTATTTAAGCGCGGTCGACTAACTTTGGGGGATAAAGAAAGAAGTGGTCGCCATTTGACGGCTGTTACGGAAGAAAACGTGCTAGCAGTGAAAAATTTGATCCAAGACAATAGACGAGTTACATACCAAGAGATTCAGCATATACTGCAGATTGGATCAGGCTGCCTCACGAGATTCTACACGTGCATCTACGGGTGCGGAGGATAGTTTCACACTGGGTGCCGCACAACCCCATCGATGTTCAGAAGCAGGCAAGGGTGGAATGGTGCCATGATATAATAGACAAATTTGAAGCAGGCTCGTCTCAGCATGTTTACAACATCGTTATAGATGATGAATCCTGGATTTATCAATACGATCCAGAAACAGCGCCAAACAGAAACATCGACGGTTTCGGTGTTTCAAAACGAATCAACGCCTACCAAAGTAAAGCGACCTAGAAGCGGGGGAAAGATTTTGATCGCGAGCTTTTTCAATGTAACTGGCAACTTGGTGTCAATTCCTTTACGAAATCAAAGAAGCATTAATGCCGAATGGTATACTACCAAATGTTTGGCAGAAGTTTTCTCTGTTGTGAGCAACAAGCGACCTAACAAGGCACCGCGGACTTCTGCTCCACCACGATAATGCGCCCGCCCACACCGCAATCAAAACGAGGGACTTCCTAGACAGCACACCGGTCAAACTCCTGGGCCACCCTCCTTACAGCCCTGACCTAGCACCGTGTGACTTCTTCTTATTCCCAAAAATAATTAATCAGCTCAAAGGGATACAATTTTCGTCGCCGGATGATGCGCTCTCAGCGTTCGAGCAGGCTGTAAACGAGGCGTCTGCGGCGGACTGGAAATAGTGTTTTGAAAACTAGTTCAGACCCATGAAACTTTGTATAAAGGCTGGTGGAGAAACTTTGAAAAGATGTAATAAAAATATGTTTACCTATAGAAAATTTTTTTTAGTGTCGCAAAACTTTCCGATTGTCCCACGTAAATGAATAAATATAAGGTATAATTTTTATAAGGACCAATATTACTATCAATATACTTAGTTGCCTGAAATATATAAAGTACTAACTAAACCAACAGATATCATTCTGTCAAAAGGTATAGGGTTGTGGAATCCTCCAAAGCAAAAAAAAGTAAAAAATTTTAGTTTTTACATATTTCCAATTATTTTTTCTCTTCGTAAGAAACTTTCTTAGACACACTCTATTACATAAAGGTTAACTTTTATTTATATAGAAGTATTACGTTTTATGCGACACTTACATCTTCCATATTCATTTGTTCAAATCGCAACAATGGATCAACTTCTTCAAATGCTGAACTCCATTTACTTAAACTATCCATTAAACTTTTTCTTGCGGTGGCATTATCATTCTGTAAATTATGAAATAATAATAATATAGCCTAAAGAATAGACTTAAAAGGGTACAATCAGACATTGTGTTAGAAATTGTATTGATGTATTTAATTAAGATAAAGAAAGTGAAATATGTTAAAGGGAAAGTAAAACATGCCAAAAGGAAAGTGAAATATGTCAAAGGAAAGGTGAAACACTTCAAAGGAAAATAGAGTGGATTCATAACATGACTCAAAACGACAGTGCTTAGGAAAGAACACTCCTAATTATGCATACTCTATCAATATCTAAAATGCAATTTCTGTGATGCTAGGTTATCTATAAATAACATTTGCAATTGTAATTAATCATGCAAAAAAAGACATTGATTGCCAAGGTCGTAAAAGTGGCAACTGGTTGCAATTTTCTGCAAGGTTCAAGTGTTCAGGTCAAGTGTCTGTGCATTACAGGTTTTAAAATAACCTAAAGTCTTGTTCTTCTAATCACCATAGGCATAATTAGTGGAAGAGCCAGGTGGGCTATACCCACCACAGGATGCGAGCAAAGCTTCACAAGGACATGTCTAAATGTATTTAAGGGGACAGGGCCCCCTTGGAAAAATATTTTAAATATACTAATGTTAATCACATACAAAAGCAATCAAGAATATTCTTAATCTTACATACCACAATAGCTACATTGCTTTTCAATGGATGACTGGATACTTCAAATCTAGGATAATCTTGTTTATTGCAATTCTGTTTTTTTAAAGATGACCTGAAAAGAAATAGAAGTAACATTCTCTTATATTTATATCTTACATTCTATCAAAATTGTATTTAGTTAGCTTTTATCTATAATTTTGTCCTTATGACTGAGACAAATAGCAGCCTACTCCATCCATCTATCAATAGTCGGTTTCTGTATACCAAATTTCAAAATGATTGATCAAGCCGTTAAGGCACCAAGAGGTAATAAAAAACAAATTCACTACACCTTTATAATAAGGGCTTTGTATATTTTTCACACTTTTACCCATCACACCATCTGTTATTTAATTAAGATAATATACTTACTTAACAATATTAAATAAAATAAAAATAGCTTTTATTCCTGAATTACAGATTTCTTTTAAATTGTGCAATAAAAAATGTTGATCTACTTAATAATAGTTAATAGATGGCTTTAAAAAATAACAATTGGATCGATTTCTAGGCGCCATTTGGAGAGTAATTTTTTTAAACTTTTTATAGCCCATATGTGGCATACTGTCAAGATTTTATCACAATCAGTTCAGCTATTTTTACATAAAAGACACAGACAAACACAAAAAAGGAAAACTTTTAAGTGTCATTAATTTCAGTTCTCTAACAGATGTACTACATGACCTTAAGCTAAATTTCTAAAAATATTTTTTGAACAACTTTCCCTTCATAACGATTTTATTATAATATAAAAAAATATATATATATTTTTTCCTGATCATTTTTATACAGAGAGAAAAATAATAATATAAGTAATAAATTTTTTAGTAATGAAAGAGAGAATGTTTTTTGGTGCAAAAATAAATGTTTACAACTAGTCTTCAAAAAAGAAATGACTGCTAAAGAATAATCTCTACAGTGGGCAAATAGTGCATGTCACAGGAAGTAGCCTTTTACTTTACTTAAATAAATAAGTCAAGTCATGACAAAATCTTTGAAAAAACATATTGAAATAAAAGTACTAGAATAGGGCTGTTATCAATCAGCAATGGGATGAGGTTGGCAACTTGAAAAGGTGCATATGCACTCTCGAACATATCTTTCCAGAAGTTTCAGAATGGGATACACTGGTCAGTGAAAGGTGATAGATGAGAATGAAAACAGGCCAGTTAGCGCATCATGATGAATTCATCAGGAATTAACCATGATAGTTTCCAGGGGGAACCATGAGCAGGTCAACCTGGTTGGGTATATTGCTAGCAATGGGATTTTTAGTCTCCATTACTTACAATCCCTTTCCCCCAGTGTCTGGGGTATTTTTTTTTTATGGGTGAAAATGGTATGGTTACCCTGCCTGCGCTAAGGGGTACACTGGTGGAGCACCAATGAAAGGTGATAGATGAGAATGAAAACAGGTCAGTTAGCCCATCATAATGAATTCATCAGAAATTAACCATGATAGTTTCCAGGGAGAACCACAAGGTCGACCTGGTTAAGTATATTGCTAGCAATGGGATTCTCAGTCTCCATTACTAACAATCCCTTTCCCCCCAGTTTCTGAGGTAGGCACGGACCACAAGCCCCTCTCCTCCCCCTCCCCTCCACCCATGTCCCTCTAAATACGCCTATATCAACAAAATTTGGGGACAAAATATTTTAGTATGAAGAGCTTTTTTTTATCATCAGGTGATCCACAGACCTATTTGCCAGCCTTCCACAAAAGAATTATAATAAAGTTCTTAATACTTTAATTTATTGAAAATAACCTGTGTGTGTACAATGTGTGTGTGCATTATAATTTAAAAATTATTTCCTCCATAATGTATTCGAAATCTTAAGACAAATAATGAGACCAAAACTTGACAATTTCATTTAGAACAAATAATTTCCATATAAATCCTTACCACTGATAGTAAACCGGCATCATTTATCCTGTATGCAAGTCTTTTTAAGTAAAAAACCTAACAGAAAGGTTGTTATAGAATTTGGATAAAGAACTATTAAATACAAAATTATGTACTAAATATTATATCCATTTTAAATAACTAAAATTTGTGATAAACTCAGCTACATCCAAGTTTTATCATTCTTACACATTTACTTTCACATTTACCTAAGAAATTGTATAACCCTTTTTAATAATAGATAAATTGCAAAATATTTTAAAATATAAAACAAGAAAAGTCTAACAATTTACAATATAAACAATAATAAAAATATTTGAGGAAAAAAACAAAGTCAAATATTCAAAAACACAGACCAAGTAATATAGATGTTAAAGAGTATATAACCACAGAAAAAAAAAAGGGCACTTCATAAAAATTATATAATCAAGTTAGTCAGGAATATCTTACCAATGTACACAAAAAAAAATCCTCCTCTTGTTATATTGGCCAGCCTGATATTAAAAATAAATAGTGTCGAATAGGGTTATAGGTTTTAATTATACTATAGTTAGTTTATCTATATTAATAAAATGTTAATATTTCAATAAAACGCGAATCATGTGATGAAGGAAATACGTAAATTTGATGTCAAATTAGATGTTTCAATAAACATTTTTTTTTAACAAAAATAAAAGGATAACAATACCTTTACATTACCTTTTTATTTATTTTACGTTACCTTTTTATTAAGTTTTATAGAAATCAGGGTTCGCCGATATATATTAGCGGATATATATCAATTGATTTTTGTCTTGATAAATATCAATAGTTTTTTTTTCTGGCAACACGTAGCGAAAAACTACAATTCATAGTAATTAAGATTGTTTCCCAAAATAGCAACCTCATTTAAAGTTGGGGAAATCCCCTTTAACTTACCAGTTCATATTTTCAAGGCTTTCAACCAGTCTGCAAAGGGCATATGGACATTATAGAAAAAACAGAAACAGAGGTTGACTGGGACTGGAAGCCAGATGATGATGTCCTACTCATAGATCCTGACGTTGAATGATTACTTTTATGATTACAAATTATTATTAAAATTTGTTGATTTATCTCACAAAGAAATGAAGATTATTATTATAATAATAGCTACTTGTTTTTTTTTAATTATTCATTAAAAAATATTTCTCAAATAAACACTAATTCTTTTGTTAATTGTTAAAAAAATTTTAAATAATAAATGTACTAATAACTTGATACTTATTTTATTTTACATATTCCTTTCACATTTTTAAGCGTGTAATCTCCTTACAGAATTAAATTCGCTTCTTTTTCTTAGCTGGGATATATATCGGATATATAATATGTGTTTCGGTTTTAAGGGTGGGCCATGGCGTGAATTTACAGGGTACAGAGGAATAACATCTGGGTCCTCAGAATGGCAACGCATGGGGGGTATCGTGGGTGAAACAGCGTACTCTGTTGTGTCCATGATACTGCTCGGTAAAATCGGATTTTTGATACTTATTATAAAAATCGGATTTTTTCGATCTCTGATAGAAATAGATCACACAAAAAATTGTTTTATTATAACAGTAACATGAGTTAACATATGTAGATGTTAGACTATTTATAAAATTAGGTCTATTTAAACGTTATTACGTCTATGGGTTAAAATATTAGAAAAAAAACATTACTTCCACTAAAACAAAATCCCTCCTTTGTAACATATTAGTAACGTTATAAATTAAAAAAAAACGTTATAAATTTGTAAAAATGTTTGTATGTTAGTTCATTAGTTATGAACGGATTTGAATGACATTTGGTACATACATATCCATTACGCTAATCTTCCTTTAAGATCGAAAACAACAATGGAAATTTGGTACAATACAGACTCTCAACATATTAAATTTATTTTCATCATTACTCACGCGTTAAGTAGTATTTTATTCTTTGTTTGTACGTAGGAACGTACAAACGGTTGCGGAAAAGAAAACATATATATTTACTATGTAATTTGTGCCAATTTTTTATAATTATTTTCGTTATCATTACTTCTATATTAGTCTATTCGTCATCACCAGCCGTTAACTTTTCACTGCTGAACATAGGTGGAGAACTTATTGGGAGGTTTTGCCAGTATTTACCATGCTTGGCAGGCGGGTTGGCATTCGTAATTAGACAAGTAATGTTTTAAGAAGGACGCTGCTGCCCATCCATGAACCATTAAGTTTCCTCAGTGGCCTCTTACGACTGCCACAGGAAACAAATGAGTAGATCTTTCTATGCCGGAACCACACATCAATTACTCTCCATTTTATTATAAACTTGAGACAAGAAGTCTTTATACGATGATAATAGAATTGTAAAGTCGCCTGCGCTATCGGTATACGTTAGTAGTAGTTTGGATACCAATGATCTGTGGTTGAATAAAAACAAAAATTTGTTGTCCCATGTAATGAAACCGGAAATTAACTACGATAGTTTCCAGAGATCCAAGTGGTAATCGATCTATTAGAATATATTGCTTAATCCCCATTACATTTTTGGGGAGAAAGGGGTTGTTAGCAATGGGTCTTAACAGCCCCAATACTAACAATGTTACTAATCAGGTCGACTTCCACGTGGTTCCCCCTGGAAACCATCGTGGTTACTTCTCGTGGAATTCTTCATGATGGGCTAACTGACCTGCTTTCATCGTCATCTATCATCTATCACTGGTACCCTGCCAGCGTATACCGTTAGCGTAGGCAGGGTTACTATTGCATTATCACCCATTAAAAAAAATACCCATTACAAACAATCTAGTCTCGCCCCTTGAGAGAATAGGTAGGTAAGCATATATGTATAAATATGCTATAGGTAGGTACTTTATAAATAAACTGGTTTTTTATGTTTGTAAATATTTATTTAAAAAACTAGCGGATCACATATCTTGTTTATAACATTTTAACACCTATTTGAGGTAAATCCTTATAGATACCTATTTTTTTTTTTTAAAAATAAGGCTAATCTCGATTACCTATTTATAGGTGCCGATAATTCTCCGCAGTCTCTTATAGGTACGTAATAAACTTTTATGTAGTTTATATTAGACATTTAATGCCATCAATTAACTACCTAATTATCACAATATTATCGCAGATGAGATTAAGTATAGTTAATAAATAAAATTTCTATAATTTACTACTCTTATCTAGTTATATAATACAAGTGATTCTTGCACAGTGGTATAATAAATACATGTAACCATAATTATATATATTATTTACGTATAAAATTTTGCTACTATCATATTTAATAATTTGTCATGTATTAATTTTTAGAAATGGAACAGCTTTATTCTTAGATTTTATTGCCTCTTTATCTAAATGTTTCATATATGCAAGGAAACAAGTCCACATAAGGCTACAAACACTAATAAAAGGTACTCTGTTCCGTGGTGGTATTAAACAAAAGTTAACCATGGCAACGGCTGGCCACACAGATGCACCCACCTGAAAAAGTAAAAAAACTGTATTACAATAAGCTTCACATATTAGTTGAAATGGTAAAAATCCGTTTTTATCGCTTGACAAAACAAATGTCCGAGTAAAACACAATGCCATTATTTACGGTGAAAATATCCGAATGCGCTATAAAAATAATTATGTAATACCATGATTATTGATTTTATGAATACAAGTAAACTATTTAACCTACGTACTTATGGTACGTACTTTGTAACTCTTAACAAAAAAAAAATAGCTGTACCCTGTAGTTTTACTTGCGTGAATCAGTATATAACATAAAGTATCCTATATGTTAATGTAAATATATAATAATGTAAATTTCATTCAAATCTATTTAGCAATTTAAATATGACATAGTAACAAACACACAAGCAATCTTTGATCATGGGGGGGAGGGGGGAGATTATTAGTAATAGGGTATAAAACTCCCATTATTATCAATATACCCTATCGACCTCAACATGGTTCCTCTTGGACACCACTGTTAATTCCTGGTGAATTTGTCACGATATGGGTCAACTGGTCTGCTTTCATACTGCTTTATCATCTGTTACTGGTACCCTGTTAACATGTATCGATAGGCAGACAGGGTTATCGTTCCATTACGGGGCATCCATTAATTACGTGAGCTCAGAATAGGGGGGGAGGGGTCTAATTAATCCTCACCAAATCTCATTTAAACCGAGGGGGGGATAAATAAAAATCTCACGTCAACTTTAAAAAAATATAAAATATTAAAGATATTACTAAAATATTAAAGATAAACGTAGACGTTTCCAGTGATTGTCTTCCTGCACTACTAGAAATCCCAGATGATATGTGTCCAATTATTTCGATTGAAAAAATACACGAGTCTCCATGGATTGAGTAAAAATTTAAAAGAATGTGTTGTTTTTATGTTTCTACTTTGAATTTTATTTAATTTAAATAAATTAATTATAGTACACCTGAACGATTTATTATTTTACCGAATAATAAATATAAATTAAGGTTAAAATATTTTTTGTGTCAATCTCACTATAAGGGTCAAGGCAAATCTCACTAAATCTCACCTAAGGGGGGGAGGAGTCTAAACTGATCGAAAAAGAGCTCACGTAATTAATGGATGCCCCCTTATCATCCATTACAAAAAAAAAAAAAACAAAGATAAATCTTTCCATACTTTCACATTTATAATATTAGTAGAACATAGAAGTGAATTTGTCCTATTAGCCCTTTGACTCCTATGGAACCGCTTTTGGTATAAATGTAATATTTCGAAAAGAGAAGGGCATCGTTTAGATACTTTTTATCCCGGATAAAGAACCTATCGTTTTCATGTCGCAGATATAACATAGTATACTTATAAATGTGAAACTATTGTTTGTTACCTCTTAGCACCCTAACAGCTCATGCAATCCTCATGAAATTTAGTATACATATAAGTATAGTTGACCCATATTATTATTGTATAAAGTTGCATACAATATAAAGGTCTCTATTAAATTTAATAAATATATTAGTATTGTTTATGAAAATTTCCTCTACCTAGGTGCTACTAATATTACATGAATTAACTAATCATTACTTCAATATAACGCAATTTATTCAGTTTTATCAGGTAATTAATTGGCCTTATTCATTATCTATTAATTTATTATGATACTGTCAAGTCAAATAATTAGAAGGTAACTTCTATATTTCTATTATGTACCTAAGTCCCAATGTCATAGGATTAATCTTTGCATATAAGTCCAATCTTTATAATAATTTACCAATCAATGTAGGCAAGTGATTAAGCACTATAAATACCTTATATGTGGGCCAAAATTTAGCTTGAACTTCAGCAACAGCTTCATGAACTGGTTTCAACTCAAGTAAACTCATACCAAAATAAAAACTACACATTGCAAATGGTGTATATGTTATGGTTTCAACAAAGGTCTGAAAAAATATACATAATATTAAATGAAAATAAATTTATACCTAATAATTAGTTTTTATAATCTACTAGCTTTTTGCCAGCTGTTTGGTATCCATAAAACTAATTCAATATATAAATTTCAGATGATATATCAAGATGAAACAGACACCAGTTTTTAATGAGACCTTCAGAGACACAACTGTGAAAACCACATTCAATTAAGTGTAATACCATTAAGTAGTTTATGTGTAATGTGCAAACATACAGACAAAAAAATTGTTTTGACATCTATTGGTTTTATTAAGATCCCTTTTTCTTAAATATCTCCCATATACAGACATTGTGTAGTTACAACTTTATATTAACACAACTTTATATATTAGTAAGATGCAAGACTATATGTCATATAATGTATATATATATATATATATATATATATATATATATATATATATATATATATATATATATATATATATATATCTATATATACATTATCATCGTCTGCATAGATTCTGTGAAGTTTTTGGCAATATAAGTCTTTAGCTAAATGAGTAAAACAGGCATCATGTAATTTTTTCGTGTATGAGATTTATATTATAGGTATATGCATATCTGTTAGTATGCTATAGCAACATCTAAGATGATAACCTTCTAAGAAAGATATACACAAAAAATAGTTCAAGTATTTTTTAACTGACTTCATTGATAGACCTTTGTACTAAGACCTCATCAAGTAATGTGTCATCAAATCAAACAAAAATTTTTTTTAATTTTTATTTTAGGCTCCTGATATGTTACAGAACTAAAAAGGTTTATCTATGCCCTTTACTAGATAAACTAGACAATATCAAGTTTTCATTAAATAAGTAGATAAATATTAAATATTTTTAAAATTATTGAAAGTTTAGACAGACCACTATTAATACAAGTCAAAGATAGATATTCTTGGTCAACTTTAATTATATATATATATATATTTAGTAAAGAATATAGAACTTATAAATTAATTCCATATCACTGGCTTGACTTTCAATACCAATATAAATCTGTCACAATTTAACAATATTAAAAGACATACATTGAATGAGACTGACTACATAAACAGAAAAAGAAGACACTCTAGGACACCCTTGTAGCTAATGAGATACTGAATTAGCCGATAATAATTATTATATCTAACTAATAAACTAATAAATAATGGATGAACATTTATGTTTGCTTTATGCTTTATTAAACTTTTACGCTTTAATAAACTTACATAGTATTCTATGTTACAGCTATTATGAAACATATTCTTGCAATATTTACCTTTATTAATCCAGCACGAATTGTACTCCCAGGCCATATAATATTGGCTACTGTCAACCAAGTATACAATGTAGGAGCCACATAACAAGATCCATATAAACCATATCGTGCAGTTCTCCACCAATCATAATTATCTAAAAATTTGCGAATTATTAATGTAGACTTCATTTATATTAGATGTAACAAATGTACATGGGGGAAAAGAGATTGTTAGTAATGTGAAGTGCCAGTTCCATTGCTAGCAATATATTCTATCAGGTCAACATCCATGTGGTCCCCCCTGGAAACCATTATGCTGAATTCCAGGTGTATTCATCATGATGGGCTAACTAACCTGCTTTTTCATTCTCACAAAATATTATTAGTAATGATATCTAATTTCCTCATTACTAGCAATATAGCCTACATATATAAATGGGGAAACTAGCCTCACATTTGGTCAGGGCTCAGGTCAGGTTCTAGGGGGAGAATTGTTAGTAATGGGGGAAAGGGATTGTTAGCAATGGAGTTTGACAACCCCATTGCTAGCAATATACCTTATTAGGTCGACCTCCACGTGGTTCCCCCTGGAAACCATCATGAACAATTCTTGTTGAATTCGCTTCATCCTTCACAATGGGCTAACTATCATCCATTAAAAAAAAAAAAATTGTTGGTAATGGGGATGCTTCATCCTTCACTGGTGCCCCGAAACCATTGTAAATGAATGTACTTTATTTGCATTATACGATAGACAATTTACAAACACAATGATACAATTGTATAAGTACAGTGGGGTTACAATGGACACCTGGTTTTCATCCATTATCATCCATTCAAAAAAAAATAAAAAAAAAAATTGTTGGTAATGGGGATGTTAATACTCATTGCTAGCAACATACACTATTAGACTGACCTATGAATGGTACCCCCTGGAAACCATTGTAAATGAATGAGTATACTTTATTTGCATTATACAATATAGGAAATAAACAAGACAATTTACAAACACAATGATACAATTGTATAAGTACAGTAAGGCGGTCTTGAATCTATCACAATGGACTAACCTGGTTTTCATCCCACTTATCATCCCTCACTGGTGCTCCGCCAACGTATACCAATAGTTCAAGCAGGGTTACCATTCTATTATCATCAAGAAAGAACCCTCTTAAAGTCCTCCTAGAAACTATCATTCATCATGATAGGCTAACTGCTGCTTTTATACCCTCATCTATCATCACTCACTGATACTCCGTTAGCATATACCGTTAGCGCACGCGAGGTTATTATTCCATTATCACCCATTAGATATAAAAAATACCCTATCCACTGACCAATAATATATATTATTTTTTAAAATAATTATTTAATAAAATCAAACTCACCAAAGTTTCGCCCTTCAAATGATTGTTGTATTAAACTGGATATTGGCCATATTACACCATATGATGCCATTCCCCTTAAAAGGGGATATTTTTTAAAAACAACTCTCAATTTACTAAAAACATTCATTTTGTAAATTATATAATAAGACAGTAGGAACTAAACAGATAATTATAGTTCATTATTTATAATGTTCGACCTTACTTTACAACTAGGAAGCATCAGAAACAAAGTTATATAAAGCAATTTTTGGTAAAATGCCAACAAAAGCATTCATAACCTACGTAGAGAAATTAGCGGTGTTTGAAATCCTACCAATAGGTACATATTTCAAAAGTAATATGGACAGTACTGTAAATAGATAATGATCACAGAACACTATTACGCTACGACGTAGCGATTACTACGTAGGCGTATAGTAATAAGTAAGCATCGTAATAATAACAAAGTCTAATATAATAATAATATAGGTAGGTACTGCAAAGACAGATTAATATCTACACAGGCTATAGTATACAGATTAGAGGAAGTCCACAGATTTTTTTAATGGATTATAATTAAATGATAACCCCACCCGCGCTATCGGTATATACTAACGGGGCACCAGTGAAAGATGATAGATGAGGATGAAGCACGTCAGTTAGCTCCTCGTAAAGAATTCAACAAGAATTGTTCACGATGGTTTCCAGGGGGAACCACATGAAAGTTGACCTAATAGGGTATATTGCTAGCAATGGGGCTGTCAAACTCCATTGCTAACAATCCCTTTCCTCTCCAAGTCCATAGATTAGAGAGACTTGAGAATATTTTGACGAATTGCGGTTCAATTTATCTGACAACACAGAATTTTTAGCGCATTTCAGCAAATTCTATTTCGCAACACTAACTTTAGTATTTAACTCGAACTTTAAAAAAAGGGTTTAAATGTTGGAATCCAGATCCGTAAAACATACACATAAAAAAATAAAGTGAACGGTTGCTGGTTCATGTGGGTTTTATATTGTTTTTCTTTCTGTAGTCTGTCATTTAGCATTTACGTACACAAAATAACTTATCAGGAGTCTATTGAAATGAATTACAAAAATGATCTCTGTTACCTATCTTACCTAATTTATCAGCTACTAACCTAAATCTATGATTACCTATTGTATTACTTTGAGAATTTTCTCAAACTCCATTTCAAAATGTCTAGCAGTGGTTCTTTACTATTTTCTATTAACAATGAAGGTAAAGTTTATGCTTTATCTACTAGTGGATCATGTTGGAGGGAATTTATGTATCTAGGATTAGAGTTTAAAACTTTATCTGCAGTGCCCCACTATTTGTGGGCCGTTGGTGGTGATCGCCAGATTTATTTACACGTTCACGGATTAGAAATTCCGATTAGAGTTAAAGAAGAGTCATATGAAAACGAGAGATGGTTACCACTTGAAGGATTTAGTGGTAGACTGCTCCCTACAGATAGGTACCATTTCTCATCCCAAGACGGCACAGTAGATAAATCGATTGATCGTATCCGTCTGCCTTCGATGGCATGGCAGTGGGAAGGTGATTGGCAACTCGAACTCACATTAGATGGACAACCTTTAGACCATGATGGATGGAGTTATGCTGTTGATTTTCCAGCTCAGTTTGGTCCTGTCAAACAATGGAAGTCTTGTGTAAGAAGAAGAAAATGGATCAGATATCGCAAATTTAGTGCAATGAACTCATGGTGTGCTATAGCTCCTCTTCATAAAGATCCAACACAAGAGCCTTTTATAGATGTATGTATTGGGGGAAATCAGATCCCATATGCTGCACCTGGGACTCTCTCAGTATGGGCAATTACAGCCCATGGTAGAGTCATGTATAGAGCTGGTGTTGGTACTACTTCTCCAGAAGGATTAAAATGGATAAATGTTAGTATACCTCCTAACTGTGATATTAAACAAATTTCAGTAGGGCCTACTGGCTTGGTGTGGGCTATGCTTTGGACTGGGAGAGCTATTATTAGGAAAGGGATAACAAAGGACTGTCCAACTGGAGAAGCTTGGTTAGAAGTAAAATCTCCAAGTGAAACTAAACTGTCAGTTATGTCTGTTGGTTATAATGCTGTTTGGGCTGTGAGTTCAGATACAAGAGTATGGTTCAGAAAAGGTATTGATGGTAATATGGCAGGTAATTCGGAAACAGCTGCAATGGGTAGTGGATGGTTGGAAATTACAGGAAATATGATTAATATCTCAGTTGGAATCAATGATCAAGTATTTGCTATTGGCGAATCAGACAAGTGTATTTATTGGCGTAGTGGAATAACTCCTTCAGAATTAACAGGTAAAAGATGGAGAATGGTTCAGGCCAATATGCAGTTGAGTCGCACATCAAGTTCTGCTAGTGTTATTTCATCTGCTTCAAATGCCAAACATCACAGTCTTAGCATGTTAAGTGAAAACACACCAGAGCTCAAATCTAATATTAAATTACATAACTCCTGGGAAGAGTCACATTCTGCACCAATAGAGCACACTTTACCAATTAAACCTCCAAAAGAAATTCTCCCAAAGAATAATACAATTATTGATAATATAGATTTGACTGGGAAAAGTTATGAAACAACATTAAAAAATCCACGAGCTTGGAGTCCAGTACGCAGTGTAGGTTCAGTAGTGGGTATGGAAGCTCAACCAGACAGTGACAGCAGTGTATTTGATGTTGACTCTGGTATGTATTTTGATGAAGAAGTTAGTCAGACTGCATGGGGTACATGTGATACTACTTGGTCATTTGTAGAAGCAGGAGCTTGTTCAATAGATCCAATGCAAATACCGCATTGGTTCACTGATTCATACAATGTTCATAATTCAGACTTAACAGCTAAATGGAGGTTGCAAATTTTAGATTGTTTAAAAAATAGAAATACTTATCAAGATGTAGATTTATCAAATTATGGGGTTGCTATTGAAGAAAAAGGATGGACACGTAGCTGTGAAGCAAGATTAGTCACTACTAATAATTCTATTGAGGACTGTATACTTTCACTTTATTGGCATGCTTTAGAAAACACTGGAACTCTATCTGTTTTCCAACCTGATGGTACTATAAAATTTATCTTAAATCTAGGTGAAGTAACTAGTGTTATTTCATCATCAGAGCCTGGCTGTCCTAGAGTTAATTTATCTACACCACGACAAAATAATGAAAATATTAAAGTTCAATTTATTTCTGAAATGGAACAAGAAGAATGGTTAAGTGTTTTAGTGGATATAATATCACAAATCAATGGTCTTTCAAGCAAACCCTCTGAAAATTCAGTTTGGGCTGTAACCAGTTCTGGGGATGTGCTTAATTGGGATCTTATGCCTATGAGACAGAATCCTGAAGAAAATGAACTTCATTCCAAAGAATTTCAAGTTTTTGGGAAATATGCTTTATCTGGTTTTACAACTAATCTTTATAATAATTTTCCACCCGGCAGTATATTCAAAATTACAGGTTCTTTAAATGATGAAATAAAAAGATTTCATGTAAATTTACAAGGTCCTGAAATTAAGAAACAACGACACAAAATAGAGACAGAAGTAACTGAGATTGCTTTGCACTTTAATGTTAGATTTGATGAGAGCACTGTGGTGTGTAATACAAAAATGTTTGGTAATTGGGGTGTTGAAGAACGACATCCATTACCATTGGCTCCAGGACAGGAATTTTCAATAACCATACATTGCAACAATCAAGGATTCAAAATTACTGTTAATGATAAGATCTATTGTTTTTATGAGCATAGACTTAGCCCTGAGAGCATAACATCAGCTTCAGTCCAAGGCCCATTAAAACTTTATACCATGGTTTATTCTACAACAAATATTATTATAGATCCTGATGAAATGATTTGGAGAATGATGGGAGGATATTTGCGAAAAGTTGAATGTTGTCAAAATGGGATTACTTGGGGTATATCTCATGACCATCGTGTATGGGTTTACACTGGAGGGTGGGGAGGTGGTGCATTAAAAGGTAATACCCTTTCTTCAATTGTTCTTGCAGAATTATTAAATAGTATATATAGTACAGCTGTCTTCCTTACAATCCTATTAATTATACCAATTAAACTATGTTTTGAGTTCTTGTTGTATATATCATTTAAACGTTATCATTTATGGTTTTTTGTAATTCTAAACAAAACAAGTTTCTTAGAATAAAATTTTATCATTATGTTTCAATTACAAAAAACTAACAGTAGACAAATTGACTTTAACATAATTGGTAATCTGCACCATGAAACAGAACATTCACATGTTTGAATTTGTAAGTATTTTGAAACAATCATATTTTGTATATAATTAGAGATATATAAGGGACATTATTATTTGACATACAAAGTCTGTCAGTCCTTGCAACTGTCACATACTTGCTACAATATTTTTATATTAATTAGACTTTTCTGATTTATAGGATTAGGTGGCAATGAGGGTATCAATTCCATGACTGACACTCAAACCTATTGTGTGTATGAAAACCAAAGATGGAATCCTCTTTCCGGTTACACTTCTACTGGACTACCCACAGATCGTTACATGTGGAGTGATATTACTGGTAAACACAAAAGAACAAGAGAACATACAAAATTAATAAATCGCCATTGGCATTGGGTGAGCATTTCTCTAATTAATTACAGTGTAAATAATAGCTCTCTATCTATTATTGTCTATCCATCTTTTAGATATCTGAATGGATGATAGATTACAATACTCCAGGTGGAGTAGACAGTGATGGATGGCAATATGCAACAGATTTTCCAGCCCCATATCATGGAAAAAAGATTTTCACTGATTGTGTCAGAAGAAGACGGTGGTACCGAAAAGCGCAAATTATAACTGAAGGTCCTTGGATTCGTGCGGGTAGTACAGCACTTTTAGATATATCATTATGGGTAAGTGAATAATAGCATTGTACATAAAATTTAGTATGAAGTTTGAAATTAAATCTATTACCAAATTATAAGAATTCATACAAACCTCTTTTCATTGAATATCAATTAAATTCATTACATATACACTTTATACCTGTATACGTAATTCGGTAATAGACCATTATTTCAGCTACCACAGTGGGTAATTCCTCTAAGTCGGCACTACCATTTTGTTTTGGTCTGACTCTGAAATCTAACACTTAGTCTTCAAGAATAAATATTATAATAGTGCATGTGGTGTTCGCGTATAAAAGATTTTTACATTAGGCAAAATTATTTTTTGTGTTATTAAGTTGCATGTAAAAAGTTGTATGTGAACCTTATTAAATAAATAAATAAAGAGTATCAATGCATAAGGGTTACCACGGGTAGCACAGTAATTACATACTACAATATCCATTATTATACATTTTTATCTGGCGCCAGTTTCAGTGGTTCATTAGCTTATTCCCATAGCGTAATAATAAAATCTCATATTTGCACTGGATGAAGTAAGTATTGTAGATTATAGTTGTTTAAATTTATTTTGATTATATTAGAATGGCGAACAAGGTGTCAGCCCACCTGATCGAAAGTGGTGACTATAGCCTATAGACATAAACAGCACCACAGACATCATTTTGTGTTGTCATTCTTGAAGACAATGGTTTTATCTTTAAACCGAAACAAGGCCATACAAGGCTATAGTATGAATGGGATAGCGGTAATGAAGCAGGCGACTTTTGTACAAACTCTGATAAATAAGTCTGGTAGGTATAATTGCTTTAGATAGAAGTATTATACTGTTTTGTTTATAATTTTAGAATAATGACGATGAAGTATTGGTATGGGCTGTTACTATAGGAGGCGATGCTATTTATCGTACGTGCGTAACAACAGCAAGTCCCACGGTAATTATTTTTATACGTAGTGATTATACAAATTTTTATTTTTAAATATCTGAAATATTGTACATAACAATGTAAACGATCATGTACGCATGCAATAACAGTTACTCGCTCACAATAGGTTTTGAGTCAAAGGCCTATTTTGTATATATATATATATATGTATGTATGTATATAATTATATATATTTATGACAATTATATATATATTATATATATAAACATCAATTAAACTATATTCACGGTGTGTTAGAATTTATCTATGTTAAAATAAATGTTTTCTTTTAAAGTAGTTTAATTGTTTTGTTGTACTATTTTTACTTATTTAACTTTTTTTTAAGGGTAATCACTGGGAACATGTGAAGAATCCACAAACACTCATCGCTATCAGTACCAGCAATTATATCGTTTGGGCAGTAGGTAGAAAAGGAGAACTTTATTACAGAGAAGGAATTTGTAAAGAAAATCCTGGAGGCACTAATTGGAAATTAATAGAAGCCCCAAAGTACAACTATCCTTTCAGTCATAAAACATCTGTTGGTGCTAAATTCGTTTCTCTCAATGCCAATGCTGCGTGGGTTTTACTCTCTAATGGTGCTATTGCGATAAGAACAGATATTTCACAAGCTCAACAAGATGGCAAGCAGTGGAAGTATTTAACAGGTACTTAATATCATAATTGTTTATGTATTTAACGATTTATATAATCTGATTTTTATGTTTTGCATATTTATTAAATAATCTTGATGGTTTTATTGGAAATTAGTAATTTAGAAATAAAAAATGTCAATAAATAATATAAGACAGACAACTGATATAAGAATGTTGTTAGTGGAATATATTAATTAATCAACTATAACATATAATATTATATACTAAACAAACTAAACAAAAAAATAGTAAGGCAGAATTGAGGTGACACAGTTTATAAGGTCCAAACAAATAACACAAAATATATATAAACGAACACACAATATCACTTGATATTTAAATAAAAATAATATTTAAATCACCTACTAATTTTCTATTTTCGTAATCTCACCTCCTTGTACCACCACTTACCATGTGTAGTTCTAAATTAATAATTATCTTATTTGACCACTGTTTCCACGCATACATCCATTGAACTAACTGAAACTATGTGCATAATTATAATAACCTTACATCATCATTATGTATTACACATTTTTTATGCTATCTCTTGTCAATTTTGTGGGGTACTGACCCATATTTAGCTTTATATAGTTGTGTATATAGTTGACTCGTAATTAGTTTTATATGCTGTGAAAATTTAATCGTAATCTTTCACACGAAACAAAAAAATTACAAAAAACATCGTTTTTATTTTAGTGTCGCATGTATTGTAGTTGTGGTTAGTGTATTTGTGTGATTTATTGATAACTCTGCCTTCCCTATTAGTATACGCAGGCGGAGCACCAGGTTGAGGGATGATAGGTGAGCTTGATGATTAAAAGCATATTAGTTAGCCCATCGTGACAAATTCCACAAGTATTAACTGCGATGGTTTCCAGGATGAACCACGTGGAGGTAGACCTGATTTACCCTGTATTCCTTGGTTGCAATGGGGCTGTTAGACCCCGTCACTAATGATCCCTTTCCCTCCAGTTATGGTTAGTCTATAAGATATTGATCTTTCCGATTAATCCTCTAAGGCACTTGGTACAAATAAGGTCTATGCTTAAATAAAATCTACAGCCTCCATAAAGTCTCCCGAAAACATACTTAAATTAATAAAACGTCATAGAATCGTTTGGGTATACCCAAACGTGAAATATTTCTATATATATGATCTAGATCAGCCTTATAAAATAATATGCAGGTCGCTATCATCCCATTCTCTGTTCCTAAATCATTTACAACGCGTACATTGTAAGAAGTAGACGTGATGTCTTTTTATGCATCTTATGACCCACCTGATTGAAAATGGTAACTATCGCTTAGACATGAGCAGTACCATGGACATAACAACGAATACTGTTCCCATTGTGACGAAAGGACTGTATGGTGGTATAGAAACACGGTGTTTTTAGAAAGATAACATAATTATATAAAAAATATACAAAGCAAACCAAGGGAGCAAAAAAGCGAACGAAAACTAAACTGACATTAACTTCAAATCACAAATAAAAACTTCTTTTTAATAAAATTAAAAAGGATACTAAAAAGGTGCGTTCTGCACACCCACCCATGATAACCTCCATGCGTTGGCATTCCTGAGGGCTAAGATGCTATGCCTCTATACCCTGTAAATTCATTGCTATATCCCACCCTTCAAACCGAAATACAGCCATGCAAACACAACTGCCGCTCGGTTGGGGAAGGAATTGTTAGTAATGAAGACTAAGGGGCCCCATTGCTAGCAATATACCTCATCAGGTCGACTTCCACGTGGTCCCCCCTGGAAACCATCATGCTGAATTTCAAGTATATTCATTCCTTGGTACTATAGTGTATTCATCATGATGGGCTAACTGACCTGTCTTTTCATCCTCACCTATCATCACTCACTGATGTACGCCAGTATATACCAATAGCGCAGACGTTGTTACTATTCCATCATCACCCATTAAAAAAAACTGCCTCTCGGTTGAAACACGAATAGGACAGGTATCCAAGCAAATGATTTTTGTACAAAGTCTCCCTTTGGTAGAAAAGTCCGTTATAAAACTCTTTTACTTTTGAGGTGAGTAAAAAATATGTTTTACTAATTTTTTTAAGTAATGAATTCTTTTTGTACGTTCGCCTTTTAATTATTGTCTTTACGATTTAGGATATTTGAATTAATTATAAATTTGCGGGCGTGATTTGTTATGGTCGTTAAGATTTTTAAATAATTATTTTGCTTGTTTTTGACTTGTAATTCTGACTTGAAGAAACGATAGATAAAGAATAATATTATTTCAATTTTTGTACACATATATTTATTGAAATACCAGCGTTTCAAATTAGGCAGGTCTTAATAGAACTAAGTACCTTTTATCCACATTTCTAAAAATATTTATTGTACCTTTTTGGTAATTTGCAATTTTATTATAGCTGTTGCTGCTGTAATGTTTACCTTTTGATAGCTAGTCAAGTTATAGTATAAGTATAGCTGTAAAGAAGATTAATAATAGTTTATCTGTTGGCATAAAAACCATTAATTCTAATTATTTGATTATTTCATAATTTTAATAAAAAGCTATACCAAGATTGTTTACTAAATATGCAAAAAATTCATAGATAGAAATTTTTTGAGCTTGAAGCAAATGCCACACATGTAATAATTATTTATTTTAAATAATAAATTTTAATTTCAGATTGTGATATGTTATTCAAAGACGTGTCCAGTATTGAGCAGGAAGTATGGGCTGTTAGCACGGATGGGCACCTTCATCGGCGGCTCGGTGTAACGGCAGAGAACCCGATTGGCACTAGTTGGCAACGTGTGCTATCTAGTAGTCTAGTACATGTGTCTGCTAGAGGTAGTTCTTTATAAGAACTCCAAATTTATCATACTCTTTCATTTAAAATATTTTAAACAATTACTTGGATATTATGTCAGACATGAATTTTATTAAGTAAACTTATGTTGGCCCAAATCACTGTTATTTGTAGTTAGGTCATGTCGGTTACAGTAGAAAGATAATTATAAATACTTATATTAACCATAGATATAAGTACAAATTTAAAAGAAGTGTTTAAAATTTTAATGAAAGAAGTGTAAGATAAACCTATATTCTATTAAAAAAAAATTACTTATCCAATTAATTATTATACTTAAAGATTTTTGTTTTTGTTATTACATTGTGAATTACGAACTGTTTTCATCGATTTGCGCAAAATATTTTTAATATCCGAAATGAAATATCCATTTAACAATGTCGATGACTTTCCACTATCTGACATTAATTATATATATATCAATCGTAGATTATAATGAACATTTTATGGATTTTTTTTTTTTTTGTATTTCGGATCCAACATTTTAATAACATTAACTCTTGTAACAAAACTAAAAATGGACATAAGCTTTTTAGTAGGCTCGTTATTCCAGTTGAAAAACCAATATATTTAAAGTCGGGGACAATTATACAATGTAACACATTATTGTTCCGGGAAATTTTACCAAATGACATATGTTGAATAAATAGAAATGTTTACCAATCTGCTTACCTACTACTGGAATATTTCTAGGATGCATTAAGCCCTCCGAAAGCAGTGTATCTTGTAGGTATAGTAGTTTTATATCCTGCTAGAAATCTAACTCATCATGTTTATTTCATCACGATGGACTACCTAACCTGCCTCCATCCATCATTCATCAAAGCATAAAAATTAAACCACCTGACTTTTGTGACTCTATTCCACGCAAATAGTAATTATATGAAAAAACATTTTTTTTTAAATTCTATTTCTAATCTGCTCATTGGCAATCTGTTCCTTATAGAACAATAATCCAATATGTCAGATTTAAATTTTCTTATTATATGATGAGGCAAATCCATTCATCAGCACTCAGCCTCTGTCTGTAAATCTTTCTACCAGTCCTTGGATGTTGTCTTTTTAATCGAGAACAACTAATGCGTCCCCATCCTTGTAATTGAGCCGCCAATTTATTCCTATGTCTATTCAATTTGAATTGATATTCTGAATATCTCGATTTCCTGTTTTACCGTTTTCAGTTTGTAATCCATATTACAGAAATTTATTACTTATATACTGTGGCATACTATGTTTCTTATTGTCTTACTTTGGGACCTTTTCACTTTACTAGCTGAGCCCCAAACCTGTATGCCATATATTCAAAAAGGTTTGATGATGGTTTTGTATATGGTCATTTTGCATTCATATGTCAGTCGGGATTGTCGTCTTATCAGCCAGTACAAGCTATGGATTTTGGTGTCTAGTTGTTTGAGTTTAGTTCATATATGCTTTTACTAGATAAGTCTGCGATCTAAGTACATACCCAAGTACTTAACATCATCTGCTTGGGGAACTTGTTAATTGTCATAACCGTAATAATGTAGCGGTATATATCGCTTTGCAACTTGCCTAGGGGAGAGAGGAGCTATCTTCCTTCGCATCTATAATTCCACACTGGAATCCCGCCAGCGCAATAGCGACGGAGAATTATATTCAATATTTAGTATAATTCCAGCACAAACGAGAGACAATTCTGAGCTTACTTTTTCATCTACATCAAGCACCGTTGCATAATGAGCAAATTTGTTTTTCGCGTATAAAATATTCAGTCAGAGTTGGCTAAAAGTTAAGAGATGTCTCGGAGATACTACATATTATATTTTGTCCTTTATTACATAATCCTGAAATGTACGCGTCCCTGTTACTTATTCTTTTTGTTATTATCTTTTTTTACATTGTATAAAAGATTGTCTAATATTGCAGTAGGACCTGACGGTACATTTACTCGGAGTGTAAGGCCAACATAGGTCATCCTAATTATTATAAATATAATTTCTGTTAATAAGTATATCATGCATTTACATATGTACTCAATATTAATATTGTGATATTATTATTATATTAACTTTCTATTTCAAATTTTTATTAGCTACTTTTTGCTCGTTTATTTATTGTTTATTTAAAAATATATTTGTAGGTTTAATTATTAATAAGAAAACATAATTTTCTAGTCATTGTATTATGAACATTCCTTTATATTAAGCTAAGTGTATGTATAACTTATTCAAAAATATAAGACGAATATGAAAAATATAGCCGCTTGTGCTTAAAATAAAATTACAACACAACAATTACAATCTTTTATTTTTATATAATTAACGGGAATGACACGAAAAGTTCCTACTTAGATAAATTTTCTTGTCGTAGTAATTAAACAGCAATTATACAAACAACAAGTAATCATTGTAAAAAATGAATAAAAAGATTCACTTATTCGAAAGCGAATCATTAAATCTGCCTAATATAATAAAATTGTAACTGATGATTAAATGATGTCTGTATTAAAAAAAAAATGAGGGCTCGTAATAAGAGCAACAGAAACCAAAACAATAGTGTCTGTATATTTGTAGACAACACAAAAAAACTGCACTAAGTGGAATGCGGTTTTCAAAATTGTAGTAGTGTTCACTGATTATTTGATTATTTTGTTTAATTCCGCTACTATTAGTGTAGCATTTGTCAATACTCGAAGATGGACTATTATTATTACCAGAAGTTCTACAACCTTTCATATTTGCTAGTTTTGTCTAGGGACGCTGCTGCCTTTCTCTCGAACATCAAATTCCTTTATGATTAGTTTCTTTAAATTAAAATTATTATGACAAAATGACATTGTATTTCTTGCAGTAGTAAATTGATCATGAAAACATTTTAAATAGTAAGAATAAAACATATTAATTAAAATGTAATTAATATTTATTCTTATTTAAATTATTATTATTACTTTCTTTCCATTATTTCACTTATTATTTTTCATTATTTTATGTATTATTTAATATTTTAACAAAATTACTACGATTACTATTAATTTTAATATAAATTCTAATAATATGCACATATGCATATATCTACTATAAATCTCATAATTGAAAAAGAACGTACATACATTCATACTGCATTAAAGTTTAAATAAAATGGAGACCTCTCACTATGGAGCACCTAGAGTAGTGAAAACAAACATAAGGGATATTTTAGCCTAAAGAATACTTACGTAGTAGCATATTACGCATGGCGTGATAACGGGTATTAGCGGCATTGTGTTTGATCTAAAGCGCCAATCTAAGAAAAAGTAGAACAAAATCTAAATATTAATAAAAGTAACAATTATTAATTTTTTGATGAGCAATACACTTAATAAATGGTAGGTAACTAAATAAAGCATTTTGGTTTGGTGAACACTTATGGTGGAGGGATGGGCAGTAGCGACCCTCTTAGAATATGTAAATACTGTGGTTGTCAAGCCGTTTGCCTAACGTGGTTACTACTGGCAAAATCCGCTCTTATGGGGAAAGTTTATGTTCAACAGTGGACAGTTAACGGTTGAAAATAAATATTCTGGTTTAACAGATAACACAAATGTTGCTATTTTTAAATCGTGTCCTTAAGATAAAACGTTATAAAACGCTCGGTTCTTTATATGATTAGATCCCTAAATTAAGAACTGTACTTTAAAATCTATTGTATAAATCTTTTAAATATACCTATAAAATTCATGTTGTCTCGTAGAAATTATTAGATTGTACACTTGTTATCACAAACGTAATTTGAAACTTGAAAGTCTAAGATAAATGCATAAGCATGTATAGACATAATGTGCTACCTAAAGAAACCGTGGTCTCACTCAACTAATTATTGCCGATAAGTTGTAAATGATATAATTTCAGAATAAGTTTGTGCTTCAGTCTAAATAATGTAAAATATATTATTGCATATGATGTGAATCAAATCCAAAATGTAGAATTATCTGCTACCTTCTATGCTAATGTCGTTATTTCCTTGCATTCACTAATATAAATTACAAATGAAATCATTTAACTTTTAATTGGGCACCCTCTTTCAAATTTGACTATCAAAATTAATATTTGATACCAGTAAAGGGCACTTTATTAAGATTGTGGGTATTTTATTAAAACCATGAGACTTTCAGTAATCACGACAATTACGGTAAATACTCGATATAAATATTACATTACCAAATGAAGAAAACTTAAGACTTCAAAAGAAGTCAATTCGCTAATCGCAATCTTTTTGTGTCTCTTATGTAAACAGAAATCAAAATATAAATCGGATTTATTTATTACACCAGCTTCTTTTGACGCGGCTTTTAACAAAAATTCAGTTACTTGTTGCTTACAATAAATACACTCGACTGACAATATTTACTTTAATCTATATGTAATACTAAAAAGTTAAGAACTCTATTACAAGGATATCTCGGAAAAAAAAAAAACTGACATTAACTTAATAACAAATTATAAATTGTAATACACTTGTGTAATAATTGCGTTACAACAAATAATCTAATTCATATCTTAAGAAATGGTTGTTGGGATCATTTAATATCCTCGGATATCCAGCTACTAACGCGTCTTGTCCTCCAATATAAAGAGTGTTATAGATCTTCCAGTAGACGTCGCGAACTTTTCTTGCAGGATGGAATAAACCCTGAAAAAATAATAAATATTATTCTACTTTGATCAGCAATACATGTGTTGTGTCTAAAGGTAATATGTAATAATGTCTTTACGTGACAAAACTTGCTGATAGAAATATTAGAGATAAGTTTGCCTTTGTACATTAATTTTAAAATTAAATGTTATATTACTATTTTTGTGTACTAGAATACAGATAAAATAAATTGTAAGATATATCATACGTAAAATCATACGTTCATATAATCACATGTTGTATAGTAATTCTTTTAGCTTTTATCAGAATATGAGTGATATACTCGTTTAGAGAAATCAATATATTGGATAAGTTAATGTCCTGTAACACTAAAATTCCAAAATGTTTATTTTACCTGTAATGCATACTGAAGGATTTTAACGGGTCCGAGGGCTACCCGCATGCCCTCCACGGCATCCATAAATGCTTGCACGAGATGTGGTGATGTTTCAAAAATGTTGGGCCATACATGATTCAATAAATGTACAAGGGCATCTTCACATCCAAACCCGTACACGCCGAGCGCCATGTGCTTGATAGCGGCACACGCAGTTTGCCGATGCACAAGATCTCTGTAAAGTTGTAATAATATGAATAAACAATAGTGTCCAAATTTAAGTGCTATTCCTTAAACTTATTAAAATTAAAAAGCGAACTTTTATTAAAAGTGCTACGTTATAGACTACCAAGAATTACATTTAGTAATTCGGCAAATTTTATCTTGTCCCCTACCGCCGCTTAACATGACCATTCTTTATCAATTATTGGAATAAAATATCCTACCTGTCAATTTAGCACATAGAATACAAAAATATATTCATTAATATCGATTGAGAGGTGTCGAAGATCAACTTGAATGAACAAGAGATTTTTGTATATTAAAATCATACTGATCCTTAGAACAATAATGCCATTGTTATATTAAAATGGAATATCAATTTTAGAGATTTTTTTTATTTTTTTTATACATTGACTTTAATACACAGCATTGTAAATTGTATAAATAGATAAGAAAAATTATAACATGCTGTTCATATTTCGGTAAATTTAATGATCATGGATACCATGAATACATACCTATCCATAAGAGCGTCTTCAAGTAATGGGCAAACGGCATAAATGTAGTCTTTGCCCATTTCACCAATGTACTCAAACAAGAATGATAATGACTTCAACACTCCATTCTGTACATTCAACTCAGGAACTCTATATTCGTTCATTAAAGCAGGTAGTACTGTGAAAGGTGAACAGGTCTCCGCAACAATGGCGATAGCAACTGTAGTGCATACTCTGAAAAATATAATTGAATTTAATTGAAATATAAAAAATAAAAGTAAACTATAGACAGTCGGAAAGAAGAGTTATAAAAGATTTGAAAAAACTTAAAATCTATAAACATAATAAATATACATATTTAAAACATGAGTAGGTGGGTATTATCCAAGTCACACTCAATATTTTTCCATGATTTTGTTCGTCACTATTGTCATAAATATTTGCACTAAAAATATTTATATAAGACAGCACTTTTGGTTCATATTTTAACGAAACTACTTTTTATCCTAGTTTGAGAGCACTAAGCAGACAAATCTTATAAAAAATAAAAAATATATATCTTTTTTTATTTCGTAGGGTTTTCTTAAACTAAATATGTTTTGCATGTATAAATATGTTATAAAAACTAAATGTTACCCCAGGACGGTGTCGTTACTAAATGGCGACTGGCCGTTAATGAATTAATTACTGTCTGAAAGATTTGCTTGCCAGAGATGAACATGTAGTCTGGGAAACAACTGTGGTAGCTAAGTCATTCAAAATCAAGTCAAAATATTTAAAATCATCTATTAATAATTTAAAAACGTATGTTATAATTTATTAACATAATTATAAAATAAAATTCACTGATCTACCCATGTACAAAATTTCACTCAAATACAATTCAGCACTGCAAATTATGCATGTGTGTGCATGTGCATTCTCTTTGTATCAATCTAGAGTAAAGAGGACATTATGTGACTTATTTATAAATGTATTCTTATATTACCTGTTCTGTCGCTCTTGAACCTTCAAATTATTTAACAGTGTGGCCAAAACATCATGAGGACCAATAGCTTTGGCAATGTATCCAAATGTGTTTACAGTAGCTCGTCGAATAGCTTTCTTATGTGCTTTAAGGAGTTCCAACAATTCAAAGCATATCCTCATCCATTCCCTAGCAGATACAAATTCTGGTCCTCTATCTGCAATACGCCCAACTAAGTCTATGCAATTTTCTTGTACTTTTTCATGCCTGAAAATTATAAATAGTTAATATACAATTTTATAAAGGTATGGATATAGTAAAATGGATATAAGTGAGTATACAGTGTTGTCCATGATCTCTGTTTCATATCTTGTCATTCTTGAGGACTAAGGTTTATGCCTATGTATCCTTTAATTTCATTGCCAAAATATTACTGCTTCACGGCAGAAATACGAATGGGACAGAAGTACACAAGCAGACAACTTTTATATAAAGACTCCCTTTCGTAAAATATATACCATATATAGATATATTTGGTGGATAAAAACATATACGAGATTTTATGTTAAACCTTCAGGGACACATTTAAGAAAACTGCATCCAATTTGGTGCAGTAATTTTTGTATGACAATAGAATAAAAATTATTGTTGTAGCTTCTGTTATTCTTATTAAGACCCCATCACATGTGTGTGCTTTTCTTTCCTTAGAGGGGAGCAGAATGTGAAATAATGTAACTAATTATAACACCGGCATTCCTGCTAAAATTACGCCGGCGAAGCGAGAGAAAACACAAGATGATGTAAAAGTCCAGGAACCAGAAGTTCAACTTCTGATTTAACTTGTGTAGTTATAATAGAATCCGTAATGTGAATTGACCCTCTCATACAAATGACAAATGAATCTATGGATATGTCATCATTATCGCGTGTATAAGATAAAACGAGACAGCAACATTCGATATCTTGTTTTTTCAAACGTGCACGTCATGATAACATATCGGTAAATAGATTCACTTACTATTTGTGGAATATGTATTTACCTGTTTTTCAATATAGGTGTTAGCCTCGGAAGAAGATCTTTGATGGGTGGCGTCATTTTTGTCATACCGATTACATTCACAATAGCCTTAAGTGCGCCCAGTATCGATCCAAGGACTTCAGGGTATTCTTCACCCAAATATTCATAGAGAACTACACCAAGATGTCCCATTAATTTTTCCTAAAAAAATAAAATTAAATAAAAATGTATTAATAAGACAGTTTAAATATTAAGTATAAAAATAAAGTAAGTCAAATGTTATAGTAAACATAAAAACAAAAATATGTAGTTATTTCAAACGTGTAACCCATTAAGCTGGCTTCTTACTAAATACTTAAATATAAAGTTATACTGACCTCTTGACAAGTTTTCATTACAACAGCAATTCTAGAAATAAGATCCGCCGCTTGTTGACGTACTTTGGCAGATTTATTATTCATGCGCCATAAAATAATACCACATATCTGTGGCAGATAGGGCTTCACCCGTTTGCCCAGTTGATTCACGATTGTTCCGAAACCGTTTAACATCACTACATCCTATAAATAATACAATTAAATTAGTAAATATTTACAATAGTAGGTTTAAAATTAAATGTAAATTGCCAGTTAATTACTTAGTTGGTTCATCTCCATTCCACATTAACTAGGTGTATAACAAAGATAATATGCTTTTATGAGCTAGAAATCTATAAAAAAAAATTAAAAGATAACTGACTGACAATATGTATACAGTATAATGAAGAACCATTTGATACCGTGCATACATCATTCCTTTTCAAATTTATAAGTATTTATGTCCCGTGTAGTCCCAGCATAGAATAAGCTACCTCTTCCTTCTCATCCCATGGGTGTCGTAATAGGCGACTAAGGGAGAGTGAGGGAGGGGCAACAGTGTCTCTCTTAAAACATCTCCAAAACCTAACTGCGATTGCCAATCCACCTACCAAGCGTGATAACTACTGGCAAACCCCCTCCCACTTGAAGGACGCTTATATTCAGCAGCGGTCAGTTAAAAGCTTATATGATGATGTATGTATAAATTTGCACATAAATGTATTATTTGATTTAGTTTAATAATATATATTTTAAATTTACCTCTGTAGTCTGTTCTTGGAATGCGTAAAGGATACCATCAATAAGAGCTTCCTCAAGTTTTGAATCAATGTCAGCAGCTCCCAAGTTTGCGAGAATTTTCTCAATGGACTCCATTACCATTTTTCTGTACTGTTCATTATCGTCTTTCAAGTCATCAACTATTCTGTTTATTATTTCAGAAGCACCGACCTAAAAAAATATTCATATAGTTAAAGAATATGATAAATAATTATAGAAATTATTATGTTTTAATTTAAAATGTTGAATAATATTAATTATTGAAATAAGATTTTCATATTTTAATAAGGTTTCTACATAAACATGCAATTAGTAAATAGCCAAGTATCTAATGAATCATGAATAAAAAATGGAACTTTTGGACTTACTTTGTTAGCAATCTCAACAGTGGTGTCGACAAGTTGTCGATAGTTGCGTCTATCGAGAGCCATACGATGATTCCAGAAATGTTTGAAGAAATGTGGCAGAATTTCGTCCATTATGTATTGCGGCTCTACACCATCAGTGCCACAGCATTGTTTTACTACCTAAAACAACATCGTTAATTAAAGTGGGTATACTTCATTTACAATAAATAAAAACAATAAAAATAAATGTAACTACAAGGATACTGCTAAAGGCAATTTTTTTAAAACATCCTTTAAATGAACATGGAATGAAATAGTATGAGATTACAGAATGTAAAAGTATGTATTTTGAATTACAGATAAAGGTCTTACCTTTAATACAATCTTTTTCATTTCCTCATCAGGCGACTGGAACTCACGGATGAGAATAAGCATCACTTCACGTGTATAATAGTTAGCATATTCAGCATCCATAAGAGGGATAAGATATCCAATTGCTTTCAAAAAAGCTGCCAACCCTTTACCACGATGGGTTCTAATACCTTTCCAAAGAGGTTTCAGAACAGAATCGAAAGATTCAATACCATACGGGGTGGCGGCTTCCGCAAGGGCAGCACTCGCCAAGGCTGTGATAGTACGCACTTTTTGTTGTTCATCAACCAATCCTGCAAATAAAAATTATATTATTTTTATTTAAGTGTATATGTTAATAAATTTAATGGGATTAGACCTTTAAATAAATTTAGAAAGTAAGTAAACATACCATGTTCAATGATCTCCACAAGAGATTTGAGATGAGGCAGTATAGCACATCCCATCAGAATAGCAATCTGTTGTACAATTTTTATTCCAGTATGACGAGCTTGCCATGACTTTTTTGACCGACAAACAGCTTTCAAGAATGGCAGCAGAGACGGAATGCCTAAAAACAAATAATTCATTAGTAAAATAAAATATTGAAAATTCAGAAACCAGTTAAGTGAGTGTTGAAGTTATACGCCAAGGGTTCTATACACAAAATTACCTGTAAATAGGTTTTTGTTTCCTTTAGATAAAAATTTATTTTAATATGCAAATATGAGATAAAATAAAACCAAATGTGTTTATTGTGTTTTTTTTAATTTTGAAATAGGTACCTAATTGAATTGCTATTGCAATTCAGAATTTCTTATATTGAGCCACGAAACTGGTTAAAAACTAGACTGGACTAAATTTTGTATGTAATTTTTGATAATTTCCTATTTTTCTTGCAATATTCATGTAGTTAGAATATGCAAAGAAGTCTTTTCAGGTACTTGGACCCATGTCTATTTTGAATATACTTTAGGAACCTCTAATAAAAAAAATACAAAAAACATTATTCCCTGTGTCATATGGGTGGGTTAATAAAACTATTCCAAGTTTTAATTCGATCGTATCAGTGGAAAAATATGCTGCTGGAAAAATCTTATAATCATATTTACTTACCTAAAGCAGAAGCTACAACAGCGAATGCTCTTGCTGTCGTGTTTCTTACATATTCATCTATGTTGTCAATGTCAGGTCTCATTGTAGATATCATAGTGGCTAGGCCTGCTGCTTTAGCTAAGTTTGAGATGATCTCTCTGCCTTCAACACGAGCATAGTAATCTTCATCAATTAGAAGGGGCTCAATTACGACCAAGATCTGAAAAGAATTACCATTTATTATTCACCATATAAAATTCTAATAATATGGCTGAATATATTATTACAATAAAATAGAAATTATTTAAATATATTTATATATTTCCAATTGAATTGTTATAATAATACACAATTAGATAAAAATAATTTTATTAATTAAACTATTTTTTTTAAATAATGATATATACTTGTATAGTACATTGTATGGTAGTTTCAATTAAATAATAACAATTATTAAAACATTTACATACCTTGTGAACATAAGGACGAACCAAGTCATCTAATTTGTATAAAATCCTATCAATTACTTTAACTAGCAAGTGACGTTCTTGGTCTTCCAAAGTAGGACTCATAAGCAATGGCAGAATTTGATTAAAGAGGGGGCCTGCACCAAATTCGCGAGCTTTATCTGTTATTTGACGTAAAGCAGCTTTGCACATAGGTGGTGTTCCATTCTGAAATATTGAAATAATAAATGTAAAATAATAGAAAAAAAAAAGATTGAAATAAAGTTAATTGTTATGATAAATTCAGTTATTTTATTGTGTGTAGAATTTAAGTACATTGCACTTGTGCCCCAATATTATTCATTATAAACAAATGTTGTGAATCGATTATATATATGCATTTATTTAATTTCTATCATCGTAATGGGCTAATTTTATTAAGTTAAACATGTGATGTTACAAAATAGTACACATCCAGCCCAAATGTGTTTCTAAGGGCTGAATGTGTTGTGTGTTTTCAAATTTAACCTTTTATTATAAATAAGTGTTAAATCTTTTATTACAATAAAAGGTATAGCAAAATATTTTACTGAAGTTACTTGATAATTTTTGCCTTACAGAGAACTATCGTTGAATCAACAATATTAAATTTTATCTCTAATTATCTAAACTAATATTATAAAGAGGAAGGATTAAAATTTTTATTTGTAATGAAAAATGTCACTCAAAAAACTGATTTAAAAATTATTTCACCCATAGAAGTCTAACTTATCAGTGAGTAATATGGACTGACTGTGTTCTATTTAAAAACGATTAAAGAACTCCTTATTTACCCTTGCAAAGCTAGGATGAGAATTTGCACATTCAATTTGTAAATTGCAGATCACCTAAATTTAGAAATATTACAATTACCTTAATTTTAAGTAATAATTTCATAATTTTCCTCTCTTTCAATTCTTCAGGGGAGAGTGTGTCTTCGTCGACGTCAATGAGCAGTTTGTCAAAGTACTGAGCATCTTCCGGCTTCATGAAGGGCAGTTGCTGGCTACCCTTTGGCTGCGGATCGAGCAGGCGCGCCGCAGCGGCAGCGGATCCTCCCACTTCCTCCGTCTGCATGAAAAAGCCGATTGGGGTACCACCCAAGGGTGTAGGAGTTGCGGTCAGCTTACGAGCCGGGGTCCGAATCGGAACATAACCTGGGCAACAATATATTCAATTAACACAACTATACAGTCGTATGCCGACAAAGAAAACATAAAGCATGCTGCATATGAACTGTCTTAAAGTACACAAATCAGCAATTGAGAATAATGTTAAGCTTAATCTGGCAGTCTATCCAACGGCATGAGACTGTAAAGCCATATTGTCATCATTCATCTGAAAGAAAAAGTGAGTATTAAAATGAATATTCTGTATCATTTATAATTCAAAAACACATGTATTGAGTAATATTTCATTACGATGGCAGTATTCCACGTGAAGTTGGCTTTGTTTAATACATGTGTCCTGAAACTAAAGTGTTGATTAATAACTATGAGCCTCAGACTTTTATCTATAATATTAAGACTTCATAAGATAATAAAATAGCAAAGATTTTCTTATTATATGTACATACCGGCTGGTGGTGGCAAAACCTTGTACCCAGCTGGGAACATGGCATCCAGTTCTTCATCAGTATATGGTCTGTTACGCTCATCTATTTCCTTTTCCCAGCGATATGCTTGCAGCTGCTCTGGTGTCATAGCTGCTACATGGCCCGGTGTGGGTGTGGCCATAGCCATAGCCTTTACACCCACTGGAGTAGACTATAAAAGAAAAAAATAGAGAACAATAACTAAAAGCTTTAGATATATCCAGTACAAAAAAGGTAGCAATATGAAGAATAACTAAGAAACTAAAATACTTATAATATAAAACAATTTTAATGAAATAAAGTCTAGTTAGTAATTAAAAAGTTTATATTATAATTACCCCTCCAGGCGTGAAGACTGGCGTGTGTCCAGGAGTGGGCGTAGCGTGCGAGGGCGTGGCGTGGGACGGCGTGGCATGCGAGGGCGTGGCGCGCGAGGGTGTGGGTGTAGCCGCGGCAGGCGTGGCGCCCGGAGTCTCGTCCCAGCGCGAGCGCCGCTTGGTGCCCGGCGTTGGAGTCTCCTGGATGGTGTCCACGCCGCCGCGGTCGGTTCGTGGCGTCTCCGCCCAGCCGCTGTTGTGTCCAGGTGTCTCTGCGATTATTGTATTGAATAAAACAAATTGTTTAATCATATATAAAATTTCAAATTAATAAATAATATGTAAAATTTTTAAGACTTTAATTTATTACATTCTTTAAATTATTTTTCAATATGGTTTACCAGTTTAAATTTAAACATTGAAATCCTGATGGTGTATTAAATAATTATCTTAACACGCCTTGACAAGATTGAATTGCCTTTTACGTACTAGACCCGATTAACCATATTGGGGCCACTAGACAGTGCATGTCTCGCTCACAAGAGAAAACTGCACAATATTATTCTACATATAATAACTTGAAACATGACGATGCAATATAAAATAAACAAAGCAATAAAGGTTAATTACATATAAATCTTCAAATGTAATTATCGATTAAAGAAAATATCTAATAATTTTTTTTGTCAGTGCATAGGGTCCCTAGGCTACATTGCCTAATGGATAATCCGGTCCCGTTTATATAAAAAATATGCCTGCAACTAGAATCCCTAGCGAGATAGTCAGATGCCGTTTTATGTAAATTGATGCTATGTAAACAATTTGTAAAAATATTTTATAAGATTCACACTATCCTCCATGAATAGAAAATGAGTTATATAATTGCTATTTACCTCTGTCAGTCTTGGGAGTCTCGTCCCAGCGGTTGCGCCTGCTGGCGTGGTGCGCGGGCGTGTCGCGGCCGGGCGTGGCGTGGCCGGGCGTGGCGTGGCCCGGCGTGGCATCCCACACACGTGCCGACGGAGTCGCACCCGGCGTTTCACCACCACGCCCGCCTGCCCCTGGCGTTTCCTCCCATGCACCTCTCTAATATTACAGAAAAAGTGATTACTCTTACTAAACGATGTATCATAACCATGCCTCTATTCATATACACTGTCAGAATAACAGTGAGGGGTGACAGATGGGGCTGAAATCATAGCAGTTGATTAATAGTGGCAAATTCACCTACATTTAACTCACAATGGTTTTCAGGATTTTCTACTAATGGCGATTAACATGCCCTTTAACAATTAATGCTTTCATCTCATCCATCAAATATAGTATCATGGGTATTTGATAAACATATGTGATGCTGGGGGAAAAGAATTGTTAGCAATGGGGTCTACTAGCCCCATAACTAGCAATATCAGGTCAATCTACATGTGGTTCTCCCTGTAAGTAATCATGGTTAATTCTTGTGGAATTCCTTACAATAGGCTAGCTGTCCTACTTTTATCCTCATCTATCATTTCTCATTGACCCCAATCAGCATAAAGCGATAATGCAGGTGGGGTTAACATTCCATCTCACCCATTAAAAAAATATATATTTAACTCTCTTGTCTATCTACTCACATTTAAATTAGGAAAGTTATATACACTCTGTTCTGTACTGTATTATTATTATATATTATACTAGTTTTAACAAGCAATTTCGCATGACTAGGATACATATATTTACTAATTGGAATAAAAAGTAGTCTGAAACCCTCTCCATTTCACATAGTACATATATACCAAACTTCATAGTGATTGGTTAAACTGTTAAAGTGATATAAGGTAATAAAAATCACTTTCACATTTATAATATTAGTAAGGATATTCACAAAACTGGCAAATAAACATACAGTTCATCTTTTGATAAATGGTCACTATAACCTATAAACGCCTGCATCACCAGGGACGTCATGTGCGCATTGACGAACCTAAGGAAAACCTTAATACATTCTTTTTGAAGAACTTCATGCTATAGTAGGAAAAACATAAAGCTAAATGCGAACATATTCAGACGCTTATATGGAGCTCACGTCAGAGACATAAACGAGAGTTATAACAAGAATTAACATGCAGATTCTAGTAAACTCATTGATTTGAAGTAAACCTTGAATGTATATATAAAAGCATATGTAATTATCGATCGTGACGATGCATATAGAAACTGACAGATGCAGTAGGTATATAAAGAAATGACATTACTTTATGTAAATTCAAGTGAATATTGAAAAAAAAAAAAATGCTATGCTCATCAGACCACCTCACACATATATCATGTACTTAAAGTATAAAACATTGATTCTGATTTATAACAATATCTAATTAGGTTTTACCTCTGTATCCCAAGATGGTGTGGCTTGGGAACTGGGTGTAGCTGTCAGTGGCTTTTTAACAGAAGGTGTATCATCGGAACTTTGATCCCAACGTCCTTTGCGTTTGGTAGTAGCTGGTTTTATAGCTTCACCATTGGGCTGTGCAACAGGCTTAAGAGTTCCTTCTCGTGCTCTTTCTAGAAGTTTTTTTCTTAACTGTAAATAAATAACTAAATGTAAATACATTATTATAATCTAATATCAACATTATGGCAAAATTAAGTGGCTATACTGTGTGAAAAAATAGGCATGATTAGTAGCCCAGCACATGCCATCACAGAAGTGAGGATGTATTACTACATATGGAACCCTATGTACAATAATTATTTATCTTAATTTTTTGTTTTTTTTTTTTTCAGAATTCATAGTTTGAATAATATACCAATATAGAGAAACCTATTATTGGTCTTTCTACAAGCAATATACTATAAACATATATGCAGTTTAGATCCAGATAGCCAGAAGCCATGGCTCGTTGGCAGTGTTTCATGGTAAGGTACTGAAGACCATGTGATGGTATTGCCTAGTCTTGCTTTATATTTAATTGAATTTTGTAACAAAAAATAAGTAATTATAAATTTAATTTATTATATTAATTATATGCATGTAATTTGTAGTCAATGTTGTGTACACCTGCTATAGGTATGCATATCAGCATGCTACACAAAACATGTTATTTCATTTATGTATAATATATACACTGTTGGTGTGCCTAACTCTAAATAAATAAAAATAAATAAATAAATAATTATTTTTTTATATATTTAAATTTGGTTATTAAAAAAGAAATTAATTGTCACAGATGACTGAACAAGTATCAAAGACTGTAAGTATGTAAGACATTGATCATATTTTTTTTGCATCTCCCACAAGATTTGTATTTTCATAGTTCTTTGGAGTTGATCCTAAAATAATAATAATATTAAAACATACCTCTGTCTCTTCAGCACGAAGATATTGCTCTTTCATAATCTCTGTGTAAGTTCTAGAGCCAACATCTGGAGTTTTACCACCTGTAAGTATAATATATTATTTTAAATAATATGTTTTCTATGGTGAAGTAGTTATAAAAATATAATACTAATATATATTTTTCAATTACATATATATTTTTATTAAAAATTATAACACAATTGTAACATAATTATTTGCTATGTATAATAATGTATGAACAGTATGGTTGTTTGACACAAATGTATATAAGAAGAAAAACATTATAAAAATGTATGTATCTATCAGATGGAACAATCTATTAAAGTACTACATTACTAAGGCTATTAATGATTTATTATATGGAATACAATAATCAGAATATAAAAATTTATAGACTTTGAAATTCTATATTATCATTATCAATATAAGAAAAACTATTTCTAAAACTTTAAATAAAGCTTAGCCTACACAGTAATAGGTTAATATTTATTCTCCTTTTAAAAAAAGAAAAAAATAAAATTTTATTATAATTTTTACTTTAAGCTGCAATAATAGCATTATGGTATTATATTATTTAGTTTGACTTAAATCTAAAAAAAACAAAAATAAATGGGCCTTGGGATTAAATTTCTGGTAGAAGTAACATACATTTATATATCTGCATACTTATTACATAAATATTAATTACCTTCAGCAAATGGATCCATTCGTTCTGGAGATATAATCATCCTACGCCTCTTTTGACGATACTCATCTTCCCTATCTGCAATTGTTGGTCTACGCTTCTCAGCAAATGGATCATAATCTTTGTCACTCTAAAAATAGAAGTTCACATTATATTAACTTTAACAAATTTTATTGAATTAATAACATTCTCTAAATGAAATTGTTAACAAATTACTAACATTTTTATTAAGTTTTACAGAAACAGACTATAGTTAAAAACTGCATATTACTATATGTCTCTTCATATTTTGATATATTAAATAAATTTATGTTATAATTGTAAACCTTCAATTCTTATACATCCATTTTACCTGCCTCCCATTCAAATACATAACAGTTAAACATATTAGAAATTTTGATGCTAAATGTCAATAATTTATCACTATCAACATATTACTTAATTCTTCACTCAATGCTTATATCATCATTAAGCAATGTAGTGCATATTTTTAAAAAATGAATCAAAGACAGGTTAAATCATACTCTGCATATCACAAAATAGTGACATTACTTGATCTTAGCTAAATTATTCACCAAAATTATATTCATGAATGAATAACAATATTATTGGGACATTAGAATATTCTACCTATATATTATTTGCCAAAATGATATTTATTAATGAACTAATACCATTTGCACCTAACAGTCAACACTAGGCTTCAAAATTAGGTTGCTGCGACCTATTAATTTATGTGAAGATGTCTCATTTAGAGGTAAAACATTTGAGGCAACATGTTCATGGACTGAATAACAGTAAGATATTGATGACTAAGGTCATAGTACTTCTACTAATAATAATAGTAATCAATCTTTAAATGTTGGTAGTTGCATGCATACTAATGATAGTGGAATTAAATAAAATATTTCTATTTTATTAATTTACCATAATAAGTTTCATTTTATAGATTTCATAAAGAAACTATTCATCTGTGACAGTTTTTCAAATCCTGTATCTTTCGGGAAATCATACCCTGTTCATACTCTACTGCAGTAGTTTAAGAGTAAAGTAATTAACTAGTTATTGACTATTAACTATTTTTATTATTACATACCTGTGCAATATCATTAAGTAAAGATGCAGGAGCAGTGTAACCTGGTCTCTTTTGTGAAATTGGCACATTTTCAATATCTTCATCTTCTACTTCATCATTGGCCGCAATCGATGTTACATACCCGTCGTACCTTGATTTACCCCCTTGTCCGGCATTGTCATATATGTCGCTGTCATAATAAGTCTCACCTAGCGAAACGCCTTTATTTGCACCGTTTTCTGGGAGCTCATTTTTTTTAGACTGTATTTCTCTTATTTGAGCTTCAATAGCTGTAAATAAAACAATAAAATATATGAACGAATACAGCCAACCCAACAATGTAGGTATCGATTAATGTTATCTCTGTCACAAAATATGATGCTCTTTAATACTATATGAATATCTATGCAAATAAATACTACAAATTACAAAAAAAAACATTAATTATACTTATTATTAATTTTTATTGATAATATGTAATATAAAGTTGAAAAAAAAATAGTCGTGTTGTAATAAAATGGCTGGCGATAGAGAAGCATGTGGAAATTGTTTAAAAAAATATTACCTTCATGTGTCCTGGGTATTTTATCCATTATAATAAAATCATGTGAAAATATTGATAATTAAATAGGTCAAAATTATAATTTAATTTAGATTTTTTTTATAAATATCAATGCACACAACAAACGCCTAAAAGAACTACAGATTTCTTTATTTTTTTTTTACTCGTACAGCTTATCTAGCAAATATTATTATCTACATTTACCTTACTCTATAAATTTATTCTTTGCCAAAGATTAAAGATAGTACATATTTAATATTTTTTTATATATAGATATTGATATTTACTACCTAGTAAAAGTCGTTAATTTGTAATAAAAAGGGGATCGCCATTTATCAAACTTATTTAAGGCGCCATTTTTTTAAATTTATTTGTAAAATTAAAAATTTAAATCGCAGCGAAATCTTTAAGTGCTAATATGAGTTAAATTTCTAATATTTAATTCAAAATTATTATGAATTTAGTCCACAGACATATATAGATTTCTATTTTGCTCGCTCTTACAGTAAAATTACCGTTATTTTATTTTTCTGTGTATATTATTATATTCCATTGAATTGTAATACACGCAATTTCGCCATATTGATAGGCTATGTAAGCTGCATGGTTAAATGATATTTTTGAGAAAATTTTATGATTTTCTTCACTAAAAGTCTACACAAAAAGGATATGAAAATTGTAAACCTATTTGTGAGATAGTGTTATTTATAAAAATATACCAGCAGGAACTTTTCACAGGTTTATAAACATTTTTTTTTACGCCAACCTATCAAGAAATATAGAAATATTGAAAAAACGCATTGCTGGAGTGTGTATTTGCAAATAATCCCTAAGGATTATTTAGAAATATACATATTTTAAAGAATAATCTAAATATTTTTTTAAAACAGCATACTAATATATAGAAACTTTAAAAAAAGATCCAAATTTATTAATTTTCTGATTTAGAAGTATAGGATGTGATTTTGGCATTTTATGTACATACTTTTAAAAGAAGGACCGCATTTAGGTTTACGAAAGTTAATTTTATTTAACGATGATTATTATAAAAAAATATTATTATTATTGTAATCCTAATTTCGCTAGAAATGACTGATCATGTAGTATCTGGGTTTTCAATATGTAATAAAAAAAAAGAAAATCAACCAAAACACTGTGTTGGAAACATTTTGAAAAAGGTCTTTATATTGAAATCTAGGGATGTTTATTATAACAGTGAAGCAAAGTGTATATTGTAATAAAGATCTTGTTTAGTAAATATTCAAATTAATAAACATTTGTGCTTACAGATGAAAGAAAATAAACTGAAAACTGTTTAAGAATAGACGCAAAGAAAAAGAACAGAAGATGGCAAATATGCAAAATATATAAACTGCAAAATATATAAAATATTGAACCGCAACCATCCAAGTTACAAAAAAAAATCTGTTAACGTACACAGTCATTCAAGATTTTTGTATACTTGAAGGCAGACTTATAACACCAGATGGGGCGAATGACAATCTTGAAAATAGATTAAAAAAGAATATTATTTTCAAAAACAAAATTATTAAATGTTTGGTTTGCCCAATGGTTGACCGTTAGAGAAAACTGTCGGGTGTACATAGTGTAAATAGAATAGAAAAGAAATCCGCCAAATGTACATAGAATTTTACTGTACATTAAAGTTTAAAAAAATAAATTAAAATCACTTAGAGACAAAAATAGAAGATTAGATATTATATATATATATATATATATATATATATATCTTTCGTCGCGGGCGCTGCGGAAAAATAGTTTACCAACCAATAGGGTTGGATAGAACAAAAGTATGTGCTACAATATTGAAGAAAATATCAATAACTACAAAAAACTTCGCGATACTATATGTCCAACTATTATCGTTATGTCACAATAACCACTTTTCACATTTTAAAAGTCGATAGAAATACCGACCAAAATTACACCATGTTATTCACACTTCTGTTTAAATCCTTATCCAAATAAATCATATTGTTTTCAAAACTATTTCAATTTATGTAAATTACTTTTTGAATTGTTCAAATCGGCTATTCCATTATTATTAGATATTATAAATTTAATAAATCATAGAAATAGAAAAAATAATGTTGTTGTGCATATTATTCATACCAATTTATTAATCCTTATCCAAATAAATTATTTTGTATTCAAAATTGTTTTAATACCTGCAGATTACTTTTTGAATTTTTCAAATCGTAGGTATATTCCATTCGAAAGATACTATGTTAAAAAGTCAGATATAGAAAAGGCATCGCCCGCCGCCCACGCCGTATCAGCCGCGTGGCTAGCTAGCCAGGCATTGTAGCGGTGCGGAAGAGGGGCAGGTGGCGGCGGGCACATCTGTGAAATAGGTAGTAGGATCAGATAAAAATGTAAAATCCTGTATAAATATCTACCCCGACAAAGCTAGGACGGTTCGCTAGTATGTGATGAAATGATTTAATTTCTTATAATATCTATCCATTTTAAAGTTGATTTTTCTTAAAATCACGAATATCTATGTTTTAAAACAGTTTTCTCTAAGAACTTACTTTGAGTTTTTCAAAGTAAAATAATTAACACTAGTAATAGTAGTAGCAATTAGTAGTAAGGGCGGACATGACACACAAAATTTATTTATACTGTAGATGCGTGTAATAGGGTCTTTATAGAGTGCCACAATGCGCCATCTATAGGGATTAATTATTAGTAAGCTCTGGCTATTCCATAATTTTTTTTATCTGTATGTCACTGTCTTTCTCCTCGCGGCCGCATTGGGTATGTGTGCATTGCTTAAAAAAAAATATTTTAATTGTTTTTCTTGGTAATTTATTTTATAATAGTTCAATATTTCTATACAGGAGAAGGAATCACTGATCCTGGCGTCGAAAGGATAAACTTTCAGATTGATTTGCTACAGTACTTACGGTGAGTGTTGATATTTTTATACACGAGTTCCACGTCAAATGTGTTGGAAGGTGACACGTATTATCATAATTTGGGATGCTTAGAGAATTGTTATCACATGTATGTTAAAACTCATTTTTCATTATTTCTTTAAAAATAGAAAACATTTCATTAAAATTTATGTTTGACAATAGAGATTACGTTCTATGTACATACATCTTTTACATTATAGTTATTAGATACTTTGCTATAATAAACATAGGTGGTATTAACAATTTTGTGCCCTAACTCTAGTATTACTCTTTATTCTGTCACTAGAGGTAAGGTTTAGTTTGTACTGGATTAATTAATATTATACAGGCAGTAAAAATGTTACACTATCTACATAATTATAATCTATATTAGTATAATTGTGTCTTACATTTATATATCTAAATTATTAATTTATATATTTAGATACTTCTGATATAGTGACAATCTTAATCCACATTATCTTAATTAAAAATTATTAAAGAGTTTCATAAATATTATCAGCTTCAGCTATTCAGGGCTGTCACCTGCTACTTAATTTATTGGTCACCAGTACAAAAAAATATTGGCTGTAAGACTTTTATAGGATTATTGTTTTTCATTATCATTCCTGTTTGAAAACATAGATCTAGACCCCTGTCTTATAATGAAGGTAAAAGTGACAGTGATATTTTTTTTAATTATAACCTTTAAATGAAAAAAATATTGAATGAAATAAATTGATACATTAATATAGGGAAGAATGAAAAAAGATAAATGGTACTTACCCTTAGTCAGAAAGAACAGTTTGCTTTAGGCTGTGATATGTTGTAATATTTACCATATCTAATATTTCTATATACTCTTTTGGTCTTGGTTTCTATATATCCAATGATATTTTAAAGTATGCTCATAATAGGTGCTCTTATATGAATATAAAGTTATATGTCTTCTTTATTGTTTATAACAGAAAAATGAAAAGTCTGGTTAAATAGTAGTTGAACTCACATGCTGGGGGTTCATATATACCAGCCTTTCCCAAGGTGGGTGATAACATCCCCTTGTGGGCACGCAGACCTAAAAAACTGAGCAGTAACAGACCCAGAAAAAAATGGGGGTGTTGTGTAGAGGCTTGGGGGGTGATTTGTAATTTGAAGTAATAGTGATTTTTAAGTAGGTGAAAAATGGTGGTGCTAAAAAACAATTTATTCTCAAAGTGGGCAGTAGACAAAATAAGTTTGGGTATCCCTGATATATACAATGTTTATCTATTTAATAATTGGACTGAATGATATGCAAGTTTGTAAAGATTTTTTAATAATTTCTCAAAACTGTGATAGAAACTGTTGTAATCATATATACCTTTATAAACTGTAATTGTTTTTCAATTAGAAATATTTTTTACTTCATAATCACAGCAATAGAAAAACTTGCTACTGTGATTTTGAATGTGAAAGTGTGAAAACTATTGAATGGATTTGAATAATATTTGGTTTCACCAAAGTAAGACTATAGTATCAAATATGTAACAATAATTGTGGATGTATGTTTTATAACATTGGTTTAAATTTGAAGTTGTGAAATACATAACCATTTTAAGTGTCTTGTGAACATTGCCTTTAATGCTTTTAATGCTTTTTTTAAAGAATCCCTTTTTTAACATTTTGAGAAAATTTTGGAAGGAAACCATTCCATAATCAGTGTCATAACACTGATTGTGGAATGAGAATGAGAAAAAAATTCAAAATAATTGATTAATTTCTATTCCATTTAGATTCTAAGATGATAGGATGCATTTCTTATGGATAGTAAATTGATGGATGATAGAATATGACAGTGGATATTATGTCTATTTATTATTTACTTTACTGCTTATTTATCTTAATTATGTAAGAAAATAATTTTGAAGCAAAATATTAAGGAGGTGTAAAACTTTTAATTACATACAAATCATTCTGTGATGTGAAACATTATAGTTTGCTAACAGAGAACTTTTTAATATTCAGTCGAAACTATTGAAAATTTATACATAATTCTGATGTGCGATGTCTAATGTCACACTTCCTTAAAATTTGATAAATTTAAACCCTCTTAATAAGCTGGTATTATTTATAAAGTAATAAAAGAATTGTGTAATTAATAACAGAATATACTCATTTATAGGATTCCTGATGTCTCAAGCGAACAATAAAAACAATTCATTGTTAGAATTTTAAGTCAGAATTGAATGAACCAAAATTTTATTATTCATTTGTTAATTTTTCACATGTATATTATCTATTAAAATATGAAAAATCATAATAAATATACTCTTAAGATAACACTTAAAATAACTTTTAGATACCTAGAGACTCATCACTTTGCTATCACACATTATGGCGATTAGCCTAGATGTTATCAAAATTGTTTTATGGTTTAACAGTCTTATGTTCAAATTGCTATCATATAGATAAACTTTAACCCCCTTTATTCATAAAAACCTCAAACCTCTTATAAAACTATTTTAGCTATTGTTTTGTTTCTTTCTTTTGTGCTATATTTTCGGTATGAATGAAAGTAATAAAACAGTATAATAATTAAAATAGGTTTGTAGGAAGTTTTGCTTTTTAGGGTTCCATACCTACAAAGGAAAAATGAAACCCTTATAGGATCACTTTGTCATCTATCCATCCATCCGTCTGTCTGTAAAAACCCTTTTTCTTAGGAACGAGTGGAGGTATTAAGTTGAAATATACTCAGATCTTCAATATCTTAAAGTAGTGAAAAATCAAGCTTCTAAATCGACGCAATTAAAAGATGCGACCGCTTATGTTCCATTTATATCACATATTTTGACATTCGCAAAGGGAATTAAAACTCATAGGGTACTTCCCGTTGACCTAGAATTATGAAATTTGGTAATAAGCAATGTCAAGTAAAGAAAAAAACTGAAAACTATAAACTTATAGTTATTTCACAAAAAAATTACATAATTTTGTACGGAACTTTCGGAATATGAACTCAAATGTGATTTTCAACAACCTTAGAATCGCACTGCTTCACTTTCCGAGGGCTGTGTGTTTAATGCCCTCTCAATACTAACATTGATTATGTATTCCTGACTATATTTACTTGCGTTGGTCTTAATGTTTTCTATGTACTTATTATATATACTTACAAAAACATGTTTAAGTATATCTATCAATTCTGTAGTCCAATAGTCGGGCAATAGCAATAGCAACAAGCTTTGCTTTACTTTTTTTGAGTTTAGATTGTGCTGTGTAATATTTCCAGTAGTATTACTTATAATACATAAAGTGTTAAGTAAAAATACACTTTATTGTAAATTTTTAATAATATCTTAATATAATTCCGTCTGCCCAATTGTCTATCGGTTATGGTAACCGTATTGTTCCATAGATATTAAAAACACGTAGATTTTGCTTCACAAAAACGACTTCAATCTAACGCACTTTCTATAAGTATGACTTTGGTAGTTGTAAGTTTTATACTTTTTGAAAAAATAGGATTAGAGTTCAAAAGTAGCGGGTGGCTCGGTTTTTTTGCTGTCTAGTGTAGTTTAAAATTCATATATACATGTTATGTTTAAAGTAGAATTTTGAATTCAAAACCGTATGATAATAGGTAGAATTTGCTCTGCAAAGAAAAATATTTGCTTTAATCATGTAAAAATTCTGGCATAGAAAATTATTAATTAGGCATAGGGCAAATACGAAGGTTTATCCTGTATATTCCAAAGAGACTTATGGAAATTTGTTCCAAATTAACGAATATATAGTTTTGCTTTTGATACAGCCTTAAAATATTATAAAGTAGAATTGTATTTGTAGTAAAGGTATCAATTTTAGTTGATAGCTATAGAGTACATGTCGCGCCAAGGCCAATATCATGGTACACAATTTTCAAAAATTATTGTAAATATCTTCCTCTCAACATGCGACTTTAATTTTCAATATAATCTAGTAGTTTAAAACATTTGTTCAAATATATGATGTAAATATGAATGTACATGCTTATAAAATGACTTCATTGTTCTTGAAAACATATTTTTATTGTATTCAACAGTACTGTAACGACTTGGCGCGGACAAGGACTGCTGGAGGAGGCAAAAATGATGCATCAGCAATCCATGATGGTTGGAGATATGTTACCCGTTCATTCTGAGATACCTGTGCACGCGGAGGAGATTAATAATGTTGGATATGAGAATAGTGGAGCCGGGTACGCCTATGATGACCTGTTCCCTGCTCTGCCTCATTCTCAGCCCCCCGTGCAGCGCAACATTCAGCTGGTCACTAATAAACTACGCGTTGGCTCCTCGCTCCATACGCAGGTATGTTGGCGCCTGTTTATTATTAGTTTTTTTGTTCTTTGGCATTACCGTAGAATTACAAAAAAATATTCAAACCAGATTTCATTTTTCATAATAAAAGGTGGTGAAGCCACTGAAACAGATAAACACTGATACAATGCCATGCACTTTGATATATTTTCATCACACAAAAATTATAGAATATGATTTGCATATTCTAATAGTTTTATTTTAAAATTATGAACCATTTCTTTTTCAAGTCTTATTTATAGTAAGTTTTATATTGATTGTAAAACATGTTTTACCTATGTGAATATTCTTATAAGTATTAACAGATGTAACAATTGTTAAGCATACACGTTGCGCCACGTGTTATGATCTAGAAGTTAGTACAGATATATGTTACTTTGGAGATTATTATATTTAGTTATCATAATATTATAACATAAGTTTTAAATAACTAATTATGTCTTATCAGCCACTAGATCGTTATTTATATGACATACGTTTCAGGTATTTCATGTGCCATATGAAGAAAGGAAATTGGACAATGCTAACACCTTTGGCGAAGGCGAGTCTTTAAGGACTTGCCAAGCTATAACCAAGGACACTGGGGCCCATATCGAAATATCTACAAGCAAGGATGGCAGTCTTACTTTTCTCATTACTGGAAAGCATAGTGCTGTCCTTGAAGCAAGGCGTCAAATTTTGACTCACTTCCAGCAACAGGTACAATCTAATTTGTAAACAGTATGTATACATGTATATATCATATATATCATATATACATGCATATATAAAAAAAAATATATCAGTAATAATTTATATACGGATGTGTAGGAGTTATTTACTGTAGGTATTGTGTATAAAATACCACTTTACGTTATAAAATTACTGGTGGTTCAGTTTAAAAAAACTTGACAACGATCCAAGGTCTCAAATTCAAATCCGAGCCTCTGAATTTTTTAATTTCTTGGTCTGTCATCTAAAAATTATTGACACTTGTTTTATGCATTGGCATGGAAGAAAGCCTTTACCAGATTAGTCACGTCAAGGCCTTTCGCTTACAACGTGGACGGTCTTTTGATATCAGAGATGTTGCTCTTAGATGAGTAGTAGCATATATAGCACTAAATGTAAACCACATTATGTTATACATGCATGTGTATGGAAATAAAAATTACCATAATTCTAAGAAGACAGAGTTTTCGTTCGTTGGAAATTTCATTCGCGTGGCATTTATGGATTAAATTAAGAAACAATTAGTAGTCAGATTATAGCTTTTTCAATTAAAGTATATACACATATTTACTTAGTATTAACTGTGTTACTTATATTGTGAATATAAAATTATTTTAACTTTCAATTATATGGTCCTTATTTGTCTCTTTTAGGCTAGCAAACAAATTTCGATTCCAAAAGAACACCATCGTTGGATATTAGGTAAACAAGGACAGAAGCTAAAGGAACTTGAGAAAGTAACAGCGACTAAGATCAGTGTGCCAGGTATCGCTGACAACAGTGAAACAATAACTATAACTGGCACTAAGGAAGGGATCGAAAAAGCTGAACATGAAATCAGGGTCTGTTCAGAAGAACAGGTGAGAACTACATGCATTATTTATATGTCATGCAGTAGTTATTCATATGTCATTGATTGATTGATCTGTATGTCCACAACCACATATACATTTTTCTTTCAGTTCCATATTTCTAATATAAATCATATATTGTTTCAATTACAGTCACGTAAAGCTCTGGAGCGTATTACGGTGCCAAAAATCTATCACCCGTTCATTCAAGGACCATACGGCGAACGTGCGGCAGCTATGAGTGCGGAGACTGGCGCTCGCATACATATACCACCTGCGTCGACGCAAAGTGACGAAATTGTTATAGCCGGTGAAAAAAATGGAGTATTGGCCGCTAAAGCACAAATTGAACAAATTTATGATGATATGGTAATACACATTTGAATGTTTTAATATTATACAAAATATATTTTTCTAATTAGAGTGTGAATTCATATGAAAAGAATTTTATCCATTAATCTAGGATATTATATAGAGGTCTATCTGGAAACCAGGCGTCATTAAAATCTGTTTAACTATTTAAGCATAATTGAATTATAAACATTTAAAGATGTTAACAAAGTGTCACGTTAGTAAGAGTATTTATTAACAATTTAGGGTAATGCTAATTGAATGAATAAATTTTAATGGTTTTTTATTCTTTGTTAGGTTAAAAAATGTTCGACAGTACGGGTAGAGGTGCCCAAGTCTCAACATAAATACGTAATTGGCGCTCGTGGAACTACTATACAGGAGATATTAAAGGAAACTGGTGTATCAGTTGAAATGCCACCTCCTGATTCGCCTACTGGAACTATCACTCTTCATGGACCCCACAACAAAATTGGCCTTGGTTTGTATAATCATAATAAAATTTGCTAATCTGGTGATCTTGTTCATGGAAACATTAAATTTAATAGTAGCTCTTTATGTTATTAAGTTGTAAAGTTTTTAGTAAAATTTACATTTTGTATTTATTTTAGAAGTAGTTAGTAGAAATTAGACAGCAAATGTATTACTGTGTAATTTCTAAACATCTAATAAAATTTTGAGTTATAACTGCATCTAGACAAACTGTTATTAATATATACACATATTCTTGACAGCACATAATATTTTTTATTTATTTATATCTTACTAATATTTTTATGAATATAAAAGTGAGTGTGTTTGTTGTTTGAATGTGTGTTCTCACCTCTTGGTGCTGTTACAGCTTAACCAATCGACATGAAATTTATATACACTTATATATTTGGGATAGAGAAGAAGATAGGTTATTATGTATTCCAGTTAATCAACATACTTAAAATGTCAAGCCCTTTACCTATGTAGACATGTCCTATCAGGACATCACACTTCATCACACACTTTAACTCTTTACACATGTATATATCTTTTGAAATTGTAATAAAAATAAATTTTTTAACTGACTTCAAAAAGAGGTTTTCAATTCAATTGTATTTTTATGTTTGTCACCTCAAAACTTCAATAGTTTGAATCAATTTGGAAATTTCTCTTTTATCTGAAAGGACATATTTTCAGGTTGTCTCGTAGAAATTTTATCAAAATCGGTGCAATAGTTTTTAAATCAAGATAATTGAGTTTGCTACATTTGATGTCTTTTTTTTATGAAACTCAATCTTAAATTATATGTATTAAATATTTATATTTTATCTTGCAGCTTTATCAAAAGTATGTGAAAAAGCAAATTCTGTGAAAACCGCAACTGTAGATGCACCAACATGGATTCATAAATACATTATTGGAAAGAATGGATCGAACATTAAAAAAATCACTCAGGACTTTTCTAAGGTAGTAAATTTTTAATTGGCTTATTATTTGAGAAAATGTCTTTATTTAGATTTTCTATTGTTAATAAGTAAATACATATGTACAGGTCGTAATTGATAGCACTCTTTAAAGGGAATACTCTATCATAAAAAGATATAAAATTTAAGCATTTTAAAATAACGCAACGCGTCTGTTTAATTATCACCTACTGGATGTTTGACATATTTTGTCTGAAACTTCTGTTTTCATAGATTCTATACCATGCATAAATTCTTAGATTTACATATCCCTAATGATGAATGATATATGATGTATATCAGTGATATGACATGAATGATATATGTTTAATCATTTTTATTTATTATTAGGTGCATGTTGACATTACCCACTCTGAAGACAAAGTTAAAATAGATGGCCCACCAGAAGAAGTGGAACGTGCACAAGTGGAACTTAATGACTTTGTTAAAAATTTACTCGATACTCTGACTTATGTTGAACTCTCGGTCGACCCAAAATTTTTCAAACATATTATAGGCAAAAGTGGATCTAACAGTAAGTTACAATTTTTTATTTAAGTGTAAATGATTTATTTTCCTATAATATTCTCCTAATTACTTTTTTCTTTTTAGTTAACAGACTGAAGGATGAGACTGGTGTAGTTATTAATATTATTGAAAATGAAGGCAATCATGTAATTCGTATTGAAGGAAGCCATCAAGGTGTGGCTGATGCTGAAAAAGAGTTAAGAGAAATGGTTATGAAATTGGAAAATGAGAGAACAAAAGAGGTTTATGTTGACCATAGATATATTAAATCTCTTATTGGGGTTAGAGGAGATAAGATTAAAGAAATACGGGAAAAATTCGACCGCGTGTTGATTACTCTCCCTGATCAGGGTCAAAAAAAGAGTCCTATTAAATTAAGAGGTCCACAAGAAGACATTGAAAAATGTGAAAAACATCTTCATAAAATCCTAAAAGAAATTGCTGAATCTTCATATGTTCAGGAAGTTCCAATTTTCAAACAATTCCATAAGTTTATTATTGGAAAAGGTGGAGCAAATTTAAGGAAGATTAGAGATGAGACACAGACTCAAATCGATCTACCTGCTGAAGGAGAGGATAGTGATGTCATCACTGTTCGTGGAAAACGTGAGAATGTAGAAGAAGCAGTTAAAAGGATACAACAAATTCATAATGAGAAGGCAAACATTGTAACGGAAGAAGTAACCATACCTCCTAAATATTACAATTCCCTTATTGGAGCAGGAGGCAAATTAATCCATTCCATAATGGAGGAATGTGGAGGAGTCCTCATCAAATTTCCTCCTGCAGATAGCGAGAGTGACAAAGTTATTATCAAAGGTCCAATTGAAGACGTAGAAAAAGCAAAGCAACAACTGTTGGCGCATGCGTCAGAGCGTGAACTAACGTCTCATACTGCACATGTGCGTGCTAAACCTGAACACCATAAGTTCCTTATTGGAAAGAATGGTGCCAATATTAAAAAGATCCGTGAACAGACGGGAGCCCGTATTATTTTCCCAACTGAGAAAGATGAAGATAAGGAAGCCATTTTCATAATTGGTAAGTAATTTATTACACCTACTTACATATTTCATTTGTAATATATATCTTGTGATGGCTATATATTTAAATAACTAACATATGTTGAACCCTATTTAAAGGTGTGTTTTATATGGTGGTTTTATAAACAAAATGATGTTTTATTTTATATCGCCTTATATATTAGCCGCTCTGGGTAATTGCCCGGCTAAATGCTATTTTCCCTTCCTATATTGGATCCTGACTATGAAAGCCATGGGTACCATAATATGCAAACAACACTAGTCTATATTAACTAGAACCAACAGCAACTATAGCCTTAATAGATGTAGATGCAGTTGCGATCCATGCATATACAGTTAAATACTTTATGAATGATGACTCACAAAAATAAGAACTAATTCTATGAATGTGTTATTATTACTTTTAGTAACAGCAACATAACAAACAACAAAACTAACATAATTATTAACACATGTATGGACATTGTACTGCAACTAGAAACCGTGACGTGGCGCCATTAACGCGTACGTTTTTAAGACTGCTAAATGTAAATTGTGGTGCAGGGCGAGAGGAGCAGGTGGCGGCGGCGCGAAAGCAGCTAGAGGCCGCGGTGGCGGAGATCAGCAATGTGTCTGAGGGCGAGATGACAGTAGCAGCGCGTCATCACCGACACTTCGTGGCTAGACGTGGGGAAGTGCTGCGTCGCATCGCGGATGATTGCGGCGGCGTGCAGATCTCCTTCCCGCGCCAAGGTGTCAACAGCGACCGCGTCGTGCTCAAGGGACCAAAGGACTGCATCGAAGCAGCTAAAGCTCGTATCAACGAAATCATTGAAGATTTGGAAGCTAAGGTTTTTATTTATATTATTTTCACTGAAGTAGATAACCAAATTAAAGTAATGGATAAATGGATAGGCACTTAGAGTCATGCTAGATTTCTTAGAGAGTAAGTAGACAAAGCAAGATATCTATGTTGGATATAATCTGCTGTATCAATATATTTATAGGATTGTTAATTTTATTGTTTTTGATTGTTATTTTTTGCTTACATATATTTTACAGGTGACAATTGAGTGTGTAATTTCTCAAAGACATCATCGTACAGTTATGGGAGCGCGTGGCGCTAAAGTGAAAGATATTACAGCTGAATATGATGTGCAAATTAAGTTCCCGGAGCGCGATACAGCCGAAGCCGCTGATGTGCCATTGAAAAATGGCGAGGAGAATGCTGAGCCTGGTGCTAATGATATCATAAGAATTACTGGCCGGCCAGAAAACTGCGAAGCTGCAAAGAAAGCATTGCTTGAGCAGGTGATTTTTTTTTTTATTTAAACAATAGTGTGTATTGTAATGCAGGGTATATTTTGTAATATTATTGTGAATTACATAAATTGATCGAAATATTCTCGTCTCTTTAGGTGCCTATTACGATTGACGTAGAAGTTCCTTATGAGCTGCACCGATTACTAGCAGGCCAAAAACGAAGAGAACTGATGCAGACTTATGATGTTCATATTTTATTACCACCAAGTGAAGAGAACAGCGACCTCGTGAAGGTAACAATTAAATAATCATATATTTTTTTTAATGGGTGATAATGGAATGGTAACCCCACCCGCGCTATTGGTATACACTGGCGGGGCACCAGTGAGGGATGATATATGAGGATGAAGCAGGTCAGTTAGCCCATCGTGACGAATTCAACAAGAATTGTTCACGATGGTTTCCAGGGGGAACCACGTGGAGGTCAACCTGATATGGCATATTGCTAGCAATGTCGAACTGCATTGCTAACGATCCCTTTCCCCCCAATAATCATAGATTATATAGATGTATTAACACAAGTATTTGTATGAATACAAATGCTTGTGTTAAATTTTTTATAAATATATTTGAAAAAAAAAATAAGGTATACAAAATAGATCTGGGAAATCATTATTTTGTTTTGATTTAAAAATATTTCAAAATTCAATCTATCAAAAATGACGTTGGATTTTATTATTCAAAAAATACAACTAAATAGCATTTGTTTTCTTTAAATTTTGCAATCTTGGCTATCAGTTAATTATATTACATTTTGGTTTATTTTTGTGGTAATATTTGATTAATAAATAACTAAAAATAAATTCTTAATGTATTGTAAAGTATAAAACAAAATCAAAACATTAGAATTTATTTTGACTTTTTTATTTTATTTTTAAATGTGTCGTATTTAACTTTACATTAAAATCTCTTGTTTGTGATATAGAATGTCTAGAATGACGAGAAGTCGCTGCAAAATACAGAATTAGTGAATAATCAATAATTTAAAAATAAGTTAATTGAACATAATATATTTTTTTTATTTTTGCCTAATTGAGGCAGCTGTTTGTTCAACATTTTATACATTAATATTCTCGTCTTTAGGTAACAGGTACTCCTACTAATGTAGAAAAGGCTAAGCAAGCACTAGCTGATAAGATTGTAGAGATGGAAAAGGAGAAAGAAGACAGAATTTTGAGGTAAGGGATTGTATGATGTTAACAACTAAATGAGATTTATAGGCTCAAATATACTGCAAAAGATCTTGTAGAAGATTTGGTTTAAAATTGTTTGTCGTTTTCCAACATGTCTTTGTTTGAGAAAAATGTTCACTGATAAAAAATCCTATTTAAAGGATGCTAATGATTTCGATTTCACCCTTTATATATAACTTAATAAATTATTAACATTTTTTTTTTATATTTCTGTCTATTCTTTATTAGATCATTTGAACTGAAGTTCAAAGTGGATCCAGAATATCACCCTCTAGTGATCGGTAAAGGTGGGTCCGTCATAACGAAGATTCGTACTGACTATGGAGTGCAAATAAATCTACCGAAACGCGGTGAACCTGATGACGATACTATTACTATTCAAGGATATGAAGACAAGGCTATACAGGCAAAGGAAGCTATAATGGCTATTGTTCACCAACTTGTAAGTAATTTTATTAAATATTGTCAATTTATATCAGGTTCAATTATATTGTTGTTTGTTTCAATTATAAATTAAAACGTACAACAAATAATAGATTTTACTATTAATAATTTGAACCCTTCCTAATAAAAAATGTTTCGCCTATTTATAAAGGATGGAAGGATATATTATATATACTAGCAGTAACACGCGGCTTCGCTTGCGTAAATAAAATTTTAAAGTATCCTATATATAAACTTAAGATATAATCTATCTATGTGCTAAATTTCATTCAAATCTATTCAATAGTTTTTACGTGAAAGAAGTTCATCTTACTTCATGCAGAAGAAAAATGTGAAGAAAAACAATAGTTCTTACTGATTTGTATTATTATAATCTTTCATTCTTATAGGATAACCAGTTCAGAGAAGAGGTAGATATCGATCCACGTGTTCACCGGAGGCTTATAGGTTTGAGAGGCAAGAATATTAGACGTATAATGGAGGATTATAGGGTTGATATTCGATTCCCAAAAAATACTGAGGACAGTACAGTTATTATAACCGGTGATGAAGATAATGTTCTTGATGCAAAAGATCACCTCCTCAATTTGGCTGAAGAATATGTAAGTTAATACTCTATTATTTAAATCGTTGTTTTATGAAGCATAATACCTTATAGTATTGATTAGTTGTGATCGTGTTAAGAGTTATCGTAATAATAAAATTACTGGTTAATTCGGCACCAGTTCTATTTTAGATTGAAATTTCTCACATAACATGTAGTTGCATTTATTTAAAAGTGAAGTTAGACCAAGTTATTTAATCCTCATTCTTACTTTCAATTTTGTGTTCAGTAATATATACTAAGGAGTCATTTTTAATAAGCTCCATACAGGGCCACTCCCAATTTACCTGGTGCCTCTGAAAAAAATTATTATTAATTAATTTATTAATATTGCTTACAAACCTCGAAGAATCGATCATTTAGATTTAGAGTATTGAGGCAGTATTTTTTTTTATAATTTGATGTTGTATAGTGGTTTATTTTAATCCTGCCTGGTTATTAATGATGATTAATTTAATTTATTATGTGTGTAGTATGACATTTTAATGTATTCCATTTTCAATAGCTACAAGATGTGGTAGACCGTTACCAACGGCCGGCGGCCCCGTCACTAGGCGACTTCGGCGATATGCTGGGGTCTGAGGGCGGCGGCGCGGCGCAAGCGTCCGGAGGCACTGGTGGCACTGGAGGCGCGGGCGGCGCGGCGACCGGGTTCGTGGTTACAGGCGGTCCATGGGAACAACGAGCGCCGGACACGGCGTCCACTCACGAGTTCCCGACCATGCCAGGCACAGGCCGCGCGGCCGCTGCGCCGCAGCCATCGCCAGCCGCTTGGGGTCCACGCCGCTAAACGCTCTGGTTATCTCCTCCGAGGCCTTCGCATTGTACTGCGTCGCCCCGTGTGATTATATTATGCAAACATAATAATGGTATATAGGTACATAATATATACATATACTTTTAATAAGTCGCGCGTAGTGTAGAAGTGAATTATCGATCGATAAATTATCCATTCGTATCGGTTGCGATTGATCGGCCTATTGTTTCTATGCAATTCTCGTTATGTGATTTCAGTTTTATATTTGTTTTCAATTTTTACTATTATTATTCTGGTAATATATTCTTCTGAACATGCACTAGATTCTGTAACAGATTCAGAAGTTATTTTTAATTATATATTTTAGACATTTCCATTTGGTATGGTAAATAGATTGTTCTGTGAATTCCACATACAAATGAAGATAGATGAAGCAAGTACCTCAATTGGGCTCTAATTAATATGAAAACAATGTCAATATTAAACCACTTGATAAAAATTGATAAAAAAATACTATTTATTGATTACAAACTTTGTTTTTTTAAATACCATTGTAATACTATTACAAATCTCTTTTTTTTAATACCATTGTAATACTGTTTTTGTCTCTAAAACTTTTTCAATATGAGTTTTATATACAAATTGAAACTTAATTAGAAATTCCTAAGCTCTATTGCATATCATTTTGGGGCAAAAGTTGACATATGAAGTAAATTAATTTGTGGCTTTTTAGAATTAAAAAGACAATTACACAATAAAAGATTAACAACATGACAATGTTATTGTTTATTGTGTATTGGTTGGAGTAATATGCCGATTATTAATGTTATAAATGGGTCGATAAAAATGCGCCATAGTCTAAAAATATAAAGTAACAATAATATTGTTCAATAAGGTGCCAGCAAATTTGCTTAAAATCATGAATATATGCCATTTTACTAGCATGTTGGTACTCTCAATTCTCAATTTTATGTATGCATATTAAAATTTGTGCGTTATAGCAAGTGCATAATTATGTTTCTTTGTACTTATTGAATAAATTTATAATGAATTGTCTATTTACATATTTTTCATAATTATTTTTTCTGTACTATGTTTTAAGTGTTGCCTATGATAATAAATCGATAAATGATAAGAAAAATAAATATTTTTACAATTTGTACATAGTAAACTGTGTTTGAAATATTAATAAAATCTTTTACATGACTAACTGTAGTTTCTATAAAGTGTTGGTAAATATGAAAATTTAAATGTTTAAAAAAAATATATAGTCTACCATAGAACGTCGTGAATAAAAATAACTTGAGACCTGGTTTAGATTATTCTAAAGTTATCTATATAATAAAATTGAAAATTCGGTATACAATCCAAAAAAAAATTGTCTATTTATTATTAACTAAGACACCTGTTTGTCTTGAAATTTAAAGTGAGTTTATTTTCTATAAAAGTAGGTGTATACACCTCGAGTAAGAATGAAATGTAACTTGAACAGTATATAGTCATAGAATACGTTACATATAAATCTATCACTAAACACCGCATCCATTTCATATTATGCTTTAGAATTTTTAAATACTTTCCTATTCTATTAATGGAAATCTGAAAGCTCCAAGGGTGAAAGATCTGAAGGGCTAGCCCTTCAGATCAACCTCTACATGGTTAACTTTGGAAATTATTATGATAAATTCATAATGAATTCGTCTCCATGAGTCAATTGACCTGCTTTATTCTTTCTTGGTAGAGATGGGCTGCAGCGTACCTCTTAAAATATCCCTAAAGCCCAACTGCGGTTGCCAAACCTATGTAGTTTTTTTTAATGAGTGACAATGGAATGTTAACCCCGTCTACGCTATTAGTATACATTGACGGAGTACCAGTGATAATCGTGATGAATTTAACAAGAATTAATTACGATCGTTTCCAGGGGGAATCGCATAGAGGTCGACCTAATAGAGTATATTGCTAATAATGGGATTGTTAATACCCATGACTGATATGGATGAATGAATCCTCGCTTATCATTATCCGTCAATAATGGTCATATTAAAATTTTATTAAAACTATAATATTAATAAAAAAAAGTATAGGTTTGGGAAATAAAATGAATTCTCTTAACAAGTATTTTGTGGTCGTTACAATTGCACGGCGATGGTATCAAATTTATAACGATAGGGTTTTAAATTAATGTAGACGTTTCTGATCTAATCTAGATTGTAAGACTGTCAAGTTAACATCTATCACATGAGAGATGGAAAATGACATCGATTCCCATCGCAGAGCACAGAACTTGAAGAAAAAGGAAATTGGAATGTGTGTTACCTTACAGAAGCAACAATACAAATAGAAAAAAAGAAAAAATAAATATGTGTATAATTTATGTATGTATGTATGTATATATATATATATATATATATATATATATATATATATATATATATATATATATTTATATATATATATATATATTTTACGGAAGGGAGTCTTTTACAACACAGGGGGCAAACACTCGGCTTATCTGATGGTAAGTGAATACTGCCGCCCATGGAATGTGATTGAATACTGATGCCCATACAATCACCCACAACACTAACTATGATAATGATGATGATGATGGAATATGTATAATAATAGGGATAAGCAAATTTTGTAATATTTCTTAAGGTGCAAACTAGGTATTAATAAAGTGAAATTTGAAAATAGAAAAAGAAAAATATTATTGCTTAGTAACCTTAATATTTGTCGTTGTTCTATAAAATTGACTTTTGTCTAAAATTTTCTTTACAAATTGAATAATATTTTAATATAATAGTGTGATATAGTGTTTTATATATTTAGTATGTGTTGTGTTATAAATAAACTGTTAATTACTTGGACTAAAAAAACTAAATCTATTGTGTTACATTAGTGCTACTACTACTTTCACGCTGGTCATCTTTCCATGTATATTATTATTGTATATTATTAACAAGGTACATTATTATTCAACTGCAACTCTAACAATATTACATAGAAATGAGCTCCGCTACTCTATGAACGAGTTAATCAATAATACATACAAACTATAATTTAATTGAACTATATTAATTATAACTATTGTTTACTCAATAGTTCAAAACTATTGAAAATTGAGCTAAAACATATTTTTTTTTTATCTTTGTATTATTTCTCACCGAATACAAATTTATTAATATTTTTATTTGTTACTACGTAATTTATCATAACACATTTCATTATTAAAAATAAATCTGGATTTTAATTCAGACTGTCATAGTGCCTATTCAAGATGGTCATGATCCGCTATGATGGATTTTTTAAATTTGTGATAACATATTTTCATAGAAAATTGTCATTCCAACAACGATGTTCTAACTGTCGCAGGCCTGGTCCCCATATAGTCCCTCTAATCTGTGGCCCCATACAAAATGCTCAACATTATCCATTTCCTTCTTCATATTAGATAGGATTTTAGATATTAAGGATATATTCGCTCTTCTTCTACTTGATTGTTGCCATCAACTAATATCGGTGATTTTGTCAACGTCATGGTTGGTCAGAAACACGATGACGTATTGTGGCGACGTGTTTGTCAAGCATTCCTATACCTTATATGTTTATAATGTATAAACCCCTCATCATATTCCTAAAAAACAATCTTAATTCTAGTTAAACTGGAATAATCTTTCTAATCTGTGATCAAAAGCCTTGACTGACGAACTCGATATGGTTCGTAAGCTTGAAATTGTTGGCTATTCAAAACTGACTATTGAATTTACAAAATTTACTTGATTTTACACTACATATAAAATAGATCTTTTAGAATAGATAGATTATAAGTAGCTGTACAATACTGTTCCTATTAAAAGCTATCTAAAAAAATATTTAGGTATTCATTTTATTATTAACTATATCCTTGCTTGCTCCACCCGCATCAATACGTGTAATTGTAATTCCATTCAAATCCATGCAGTATTTTTATGTGAAGGAGTAACACAAACATTCATTCACATCATTTCATCCATCGATACAAATTTTCACATTTATAATATCACAGTTAAGTAAACTCGAGCGTCTTCACAGTTTATGTACACGGTTCATATATGGACTACGCAAATATGACCAGGATTATGGTCTTGTTTTGAAGTGATTACATACATACAATTTCCAATTTCGTCAATATAAGATCAGTGTCAACTCTTAAATAACATAATTTATTAGCGGTGCGTGAATCGAAATAATTTTGTTATTTGAGTAAATATTAATTACTAATTTCGTAATTTGATTACTAAAATAGTAATTAATATACTAAATTTCGTATTCAAATGATTTTACTAATTAGTAACAACTAATTCTATCTAATCTAATATTATGAAGTCCATTTTTTGTTTCCTGTATCACTACAACACTATACTAATAAGTAACATGATAGATGATAATGAGATGATGCTTATTAAAATTTAGCAATGTTTACTAAATATACATTGGCCACACTATGTCCATTAAAAAAAAAGACCAACTTATGACTAGGTGTTAAAAATAGTTTTATTTTCATACAGCTATAAACTACTCGCCGATTGTAATTTAAAAAGGATATGGTTTTTAAATTAAGTTGACACATTCTTAAAAACAATAGCTGTTTTCTGTATTTGCTCTTCTATTAAATTTTATCGTACTTTTATATTGTGTTTATCCTATTCCCTTTCACATCGGAAATATTAGCTGATATCTCAAGCTAAATACTAACACTAGACTGTATGGGTCACTCTCTTGTCCTTTTTGAACGAATTTTAAAATAACAACAAAAGATATCCCTGCTATCGTGTCGACTTGGCTATATTTGTACCGATTCGTACATCAACAACTACTAATAAATGAAATTAGTAGTTAAATGATATTAGTAGTCGTATGAATAAAATTAGTAATCCGAGTGATTTTCTCGGTCGAATAATTGCTAGTCGTCTAATACAACTAGCAATTATTCGAGTTAACCGAATATTCGAATTAATTAGCGCATTCCTAGCAATCATAAAACGATTTTTCGTATAAGGAAAAATTACTATTAAGTATCCTTATTAATTATTAAAAAAAAAAAAAAATCTTAAACAAATCGTTTTATATATTTCATTGAATTATAAACAATTGTCAATATAACAGCATGCATGAAATTTTTGGGCTGTTATAACGTTACCTATAAAAATGGTAGAAGAAAACGACAATAATGTGTATGTATCTTTTTGAATTTTTTATTATTTATACTAATACTACTATTTTATAATAATACTTACTCATACATTGCTCCTCCCATCCTTGATTACGCTGATTCCTGTTATTCAAATATCACTGAAGAGCAGTTAAGTAAACTTGAGCGTCTTCAAAATTTATGTATACGGTTCATATATGGACTACGCAAATATGACCATGTATTCCAATATCGTACACGACTCAAGTGGCTCTCTATCCGTCTTCGTCGTAACTGGCACATCCTTTCCCTTCTTTACTCAATTCTTTTTAATCCAGTTACACCTCATTATTTAAAAGAACATTTTATTTTTCTTAGAGAGAGCAATTCTTATTCTTTACGTAGTATTGACAAACTCCAACTCAAAATTCCTACTCATTCTTCTTTTCACTCCAAATCGTTTTCTGTGCAAACAGTTCAATTGTGGGACTCATTCTCTACCTCTATATGGTGCACTCAATCTTTGCCTATTTTTAAAAACCTTAGTTAAATCCCACTACCTATCCTTATTTATAATCACTTAGTCTTATAATCTCCTTATTTCCTACCAGTTTTATGTGTTATATACATATATATACATGTGTGTATGTATGTGTATGTGATTATGCTGTCACAGATATTTATTATTTTATATTACTTTTACAGATTTATTTATTTTTTAATGTACCATCTACCTATTTATTCTTTAATTCTTTTTACCTAAAGGTTGTTTGGAAGAGATTGCTTAGCAATAAGGCCGCCTTTTGTACTACACTATACTTATTGAAAATTGTTCAACAAATCCTGTAATGTTGGTGCAATAAAGTGTTAAATAAATAAATAAAAATAAATAATAGATTGATTTTATACAATGTAATAATTTTTTACTAACTTTTACCCACAACTTCTCTTCTCTTCTTTATGACTGAGATATGTTAATTAACTAGGGTAAATATATGCCTACGCTTTCAATCCCAATTCTTTATTTTATATCAAATTTCAAGAGGATTGCATGAGTAGTTAAGGTGTCAATAAGTAATAATCTCACATTTATAATATTAGTAATGATGTCACACAAGTACATTTTATTTTTCTAAACTGTATTCAAGACTGAGGTTGATTTGAATTATTATCATATTTATTTAAATTTAATGAAAGATCCAAAATTATCTACTTACCTAAGTTTTGTTTTCATAATTTTACAGGTGCTTAAGAATACCCTTTTCATCTAGTGAACATGCTTCAATAGCATATGAAGTATTAAATGTTGATAGAGAATTAAGGGGCAGTGGAGTGCATAGAGAAATATCTAAAGATGGAATCAACCTTGTTGTGTTAGTATACTCACTATTTATGATTTTAATTTTTACTTAAATCTATTATATTAAGATAATTCATACCAGTCTAGTAGTGTCTGCATTTTAATTAGCATTAATAACAGTAAATAATCATTTAGAAAAAATAATAGATAATACTACTACTTATGTAAGGGTGATACCAGTGGCAGATTTACCAGCAGGCTGAATAGACTGAAGCATAGGGTGGCAGACTGTAGGGGTGGCAAGTTTGCAGCCAACATTTTTTTTTTAAATAATAAAGTATTAATATTATTGACAAAAGAATTGTAATTAATATGATTGTAAAAATAGGCTATTGAATTTTAGAAGTTAATACCCTAGATAGAAGCAGTGATATTTAAATAGCTTAATAGCAGTATATGTGCAAGTCCACCACTGGGTAGTGGTTTCTAATGTCAAGAGTTTCTAGACTGTTGGCGTTGTACACAAAAGTTTTCTGATATGGCCCTGATATAAAAATCATTTTTAACAATGAAAAATTTACAGAAATAGAAATTCTAAAATCACTGCATTATCACTTATGTAGGTATATAGGCTTTTTTTAAAGGGTGATAATAGTAACCTGCTTGTACTGGGGGAGGGGGAGGATTGTTAGTAATGGGAAGGTTTTTTTAATGGATGAAAATGGCATGGTAACCCTATCTGCGCTATTGGTATACACTGGCGAGACACCAGTGAGAGGTAAGGATGAAAAGGCAGGTCTGTTAGCCCATCATGACGAATTCAATGATTCATTTCATACTTAATAGTATAAATAATAAGTATTTGGGACATAATTTTTTTTTTATTTAGTCCATAAGACCATATTCTCTACAATTTAATCTATGACCTATCATCATGAATAAAGTAGAATTAAGTTTTATATTTATATAATAGGTAATACTCATTACTTTTTCCTTGTCAAATCATTTAATGTATCAATCAGCCAATTTTCATTGAAATCATTATAACAGTCTCCACTAGATAGTCAGATTCATGATTAATATACATTAAAAGCTTACTATACATATACTTAATATACATTTAAAGCTTCAAATTTATAATATTAGTAAGATATCAAGTAATACTAAAACATTCTGATGTATTTTATTTTTTCAGAAAATTTGAAGGTGTTGACCTGAAGAAAATTAGAGTTGCTGTTAATGCTTTTCTCAGAAACGTTTTATTAGTTGTCAAGACTATAGAACTTTTTCAATTCAGTTGATATAATTTGTAACATTACAATATGCCTGAGCAAACACCAGCACCTACACCTGCCAGATCACTATATGGATTTTTTATGTATGTGTTCAGTAAAACTATGTTAGGAATATACCTCATTTGGGCTTTTGTGCCTGATGACTATTTACATTATGTAAATATATATTATTATCCTGTAAAGTATTGGTCTATTGCTGTACCTATACAATGTTTAGTAGCACTAACATTATTTGTGTTTCTTATTTATCCCAGTTTAAATATGATACTTACATTGAATATTGACAGTGAAAATACTATCAGAGATCCATTTTCTCATTATAGTAAAGAAATAATCAAGAATAATTACAAAACGGATATTTTTTGTACATGTATAGATGAAAATAAATGTTTGAAAAATAATTATACTGTCATTCCTAAAGATTACAAACAAAATACAGTGCCCGAGTTGCATGACTTAAACATTTCTTATGTTTGTAAAAAAATATACATGAACAAAGAGGACAATATGAAAGATTAAAAAAAATGTTTTATATTCCAATTAATGTTTCTTCTTATTTTAAATAAAAAAATTGATATTTTTTATAGTATTATTTGAAATCTATCCATCCTTTTTTCTTAATAATTATTATACACATGAATTTGTTATACATCAGCTTTTTTATCTCGCAGCAGTGCTGACCTTGGTCGAGCAAGAGGAGCGGTCGCTCTAAGGAGTGTATATTGATGGCGCCTTTTAAGAGGCGCAGAAAACGTGGTGATATTTGCAATAAAAGTAGATTTTTAAACAATTTAAAATTATTTATTTAACAGAATGGAAGTAGAATTTACGTGAAGTGAAAGCGGCGATTAAAGGGCGCCGAAAGACTATCCTGCTCTATCCTGATCAAGGTTGTGCTAGCGCTGTCACAGTAATTTGGATATAAAAGTATTTAAAAGAAAGCAAATACTGATGACAGTTAAGATAAGGAGGAAACCCACTTTGATTCAAACAGTGAACCAAATACCATAATAAGGAAATAATCTCTTGACTTGGCATATTCAAAGTGTACTTTCTTGTCGGGAACTTTTTTCGGAAGATACACGAATTGACCTATGGATCAAATGTTTGATTATTGGTCCCATAATTACTGTGTTGATCCAGAGTCTGACGTTTGAATACTTGATTTTTAGCAAGCAGGTAGGCAACCGCAGTTAGGCTTTTATGACGTTTAAAGAGGAACGCTGCGGCCCATCCTTCCACCATTAAGTTCCCTTAGTCGTCTTGTACGACTTGGCAACATATAATGCACAAACTTTGAGGATTGATGATTGTGGAGCTGGAATAAGAGGTGAACAAGTTACACTGGAATATTATAGGATTATCTGAAGTCCAAAGACAGGGGGAGCTTACGATGAGCCTTGAATTTGGTAATTTGTTCTACGATCGGAAATGCGACCATCCATCCCATGGTAGTATCGGATTTATCGTTCGCAAGTCCCTCGTTGATCAAGAGCATGTCGACAAGGGTACTCGGAATTGCTAATAGATAGTATTATATTATCTGTACTAACAGGTATATGTGCCGACCCTCACACACTCCAATGATGAGGTGGAAACAATGTATGAAGACAATGAGAAGAGAACAAGAATGAGAACGTTAGTCTTTATTAATCATATTCACATTATGCGAAGGCATATAATAGGAAGATAGTAATCGACAGATAGTATTGTAATGTGTGCACCTCCGCAAGATAGAATAGGGCCCTATGTCACGCTTCGTGCAATATTTATATGCAAAGGGAGCGGCGTAATTAAACTGTGATTCGTGGAAATCCGCGATTATTCCCCAACCGAACGCCGTGCAGCACGTAAAATACTTAAACACAACAGATACGGTAATAGCATTTTTAAGCTCGTTTTGATATAGACTGATAACGCAACTACTTGATGTTTTCTCGCACTCTCCTTGCGGGAGAGCCGTTTTGCCCCTCTCATGTGGTGTCTTCCCGCCGCGCTTGAAAATGCGCGGGTCGTTTGAGTAAACTTATAGTTCCATGGCTGCTATATGGTGTGTCGTCCGGTTCATTCTGCGCGGTCTTCGTCTACCGGGTGAGACCCCATGCGGAAAGACCCAGAAAACTGCCAGCGTATGAATGAGCCGGGTGGCAGTGTTGCCCTTGTCAGCACTCGTTGCACGTGCGCAAACCTCTCAGTAGCCAGGTTGGCGATGAAGTCGTCTAGCGGAGGGAACCGTAGGTCCCTCTCCAGAGCAGTGTTCCTCACATACTTATGCGCGTCGGCAATGGTACGCAGTGTGAAGCTTTGCTGGGCTCGGAGCTTCTTCCTGGTAGTTTCTGACGTGTAGATGTACTATGCCGGCGCCGCGTACGTGAGGCGCGGGTAGATGTACATCTTAAAGATGGCCGTCTTTGTGTAGACCTGTCAACGTTGGCCGTAGAAGGTGTTTGGCCACTGTGGCCTAGTTGCACAGTATTTTGACGTGGGCGTTGATGTTGAGCCGTCGATCCATGTTCAACCCTATTAGGTGACGGTGGTAGACCACTCGATCGAAATGTCGCGCAGATAAACTTGGGGGGGGGGGGGAAGGTCAATGTTGCTGGCGGAAGTAGACCGCCTGCGTTTTATGCACGTCACCATGAAACGTCTGTCCTAGAGGAAGGAGGCTACCACTCGGCCCAGCCTTCTTCATGTATCAGTCTGGGTGGTCAACTTATAAAGCAGACCGTTGTGCCACACGCGGTCAAACACCTTTTTTTTTATACCCCTGAGGTGGCAAAGAAACATACGACCCACCTGATGGTAAGCGGTTACCGTAGCCTATGAACGCTTGCAATACCAGAGGTATTACGCGCGTGTTTCCGACCCTGAAAAAACCTCTTTACCCCCCTTTTGAAGAACCCCATGCTGCAGTCTCTTGGGAAAACCTCGGCAGAGAACTCATTCCACAACCTGAGTGTTCGTGAGAGGAAACATCTCTGAAACCGCGCAGTACGCGACCATTGAGGCTGTAGGACATGAGGATGAACTCCCCGTAGATGGCGAGTCAGGTCTTTTTTTTAATGGGTGATAATGGAATGGTAACTCCACCCACGCTATCGGTATACATCGGCGGGGCACTAGTGAAGGATAATAGGTGAGGATGAAGCAGGTCAGTTAGCCATCGTAACGAATTCAACAGGAATTGTTCACGATGGTTTCCAGGGGGTACCACGTGGAGGTCGACCTAATAGGGCATATTGCTAGCAATGGGGCTGTCGAACTCCATTACTAACAATTCCTTTCCTCCCTGACTACCAGGTCTTCGTGCGGTGGCAGAGGTGGTGCCAGGTATATTTTGACGAATTTGTCAATCCTTGCAACATGCGCGGTGTCTAGTGTCGAGTTAGGCTGGAACTGGCGTTCGAGATGATCTGCGTGCATTTCCGCACGGTCTGCTGCGCGGTACCTCGGCGTCGCATCGCTCGCCAGTAGAGATCGGACTGGGGGGGGGGGGGGGGGGATTGGTCAGTCGGCGACATATGCGGTGGATACTGTTCCAATCGTCGCCGGCTTCTGCCACGTATCGGTTCCAACTCACTTTTTTTTGGAACTCGATGTCGCTCTTGATGTCGCCGGTCAGTTTGTTCAACCTCGTCTTGTGGCCTTCCAGTCTCTGCGCGCACGGCACTTGTCGGCGAGCTTCTTAATGATTCCGCCCGGTATTCCACTATTACAGTTCCACTGTTACTAGACAACGCAATTGATATTTCACTGGATATTAGCAAGGATATCTTGCTCCCTCCTTGCTGATATCCAGTTCCTTGATTACGTTTTGGGTTCATTCACAAGAAATGCCTATAATTTTGTCTACCTCTCTAATTTTTAATCTGCGGTCTAATATTTTTAGCAGTAGTCGATGTCGGAGGCCTTTTAGAGCGGAGTTTACTTTTTACACTCTTTCTACCACGATTAAATTCCGCTATCCATTTTTTTGTTGGATGAATATGATACAGTGGAATCTCTTAATATACTGACCATTATAAATGACACTTTGGTGATAACTCCTGTTTAAGCAGGTATTTAATGACAACACGCTATTCAATTTGCTCCAATTGCGGAAATTACGTTGCATTACTTGATAAAGAAATTTATAAAATCACAATAATTGTACAAGTTTCGAACTTTGCATAGTGAATTAGTTTGAAGTAAATAATTTAGATACTTTTCATTTTAAGAATTGACTAAATCTGTGTCAAGCCTGAGTATTTTTCAATCCACCGTTGTATAATATTTATAGGGTAGGTTTTATGAAAATGTAATCTTTTTGTCGAGATCCATTAGACAGAGCACTTTTTAATTAGGTACATTAAAATAAACTATACTTCCTCTCTTCTCCTTTACGAAGTCTGTATCAGATGTTGAACCTATATCTTCAGCACAATTACTTATATTGTCTATATTCTAATATTAACTATTATTTTTCGCACGTGTGGATTTTGCAAGAACATTAAAGTAGATCACTTTTAGATAACTTATCGAGATAAAGTGTACATCGGACTTTAAATTCGTTTTTTAGGAATACAACTGTGTATACCGCATCCAATTCGGTGCAGTAGTTTTTGCGTGGTGACCAAACATATAGACAAAATTCTAAAAAATATTGTCTTGGCTTCCATTGCTCTGAATATCAATAACTTTTTTTTATAAATATCTCCTTTGTACAGATATCGTCTAATTAGAATTTTATTTTTAGTAAGATTTATAAAGAGCCAAGTAGGCACCAAATTGTAATAAAAATAAACTTATTTGTAAATAAATTAAAAATGTAGATATATTTTTTATATTATGTAAGTAATATAAAAAAAAAAAACAGAGTGAAAAACATAAACTAGCTTTTTCGTTCTTTGACCTACAAAGGTCAGAGGATAAAAGGTTATCTTTGATCCAGAATCCCGATTTAAGAGTTTCTAGAGAGAATATTTCATAAGGGATGAAATGATTTTTATATAGTTTAAATTTTAATACTGATTTCATTGGCGTAATTGTTGTGTTAGCTAGGTAGGTACTTTGATAGAAATAAGACCATCCCCAGTAATCAGGATAGAAAGCATATTATTTCTTATACAATACAACTAGACACAAAATTTTAATTCAATTGGCTTATAAAAATAGTTTCCATATTTACAATATAGGTCGAATGAAGATCAGACCATTAGAATAGTGATAGTACGTTATACTACGTCTATGAAATAGAGGCAGTGTATTAAAATTTTTATGTATCTTAGATTATACACGTAACTTGTATTTCAATTCGTTTATTCGACTTAAATTTTGGTATTACCAAACAATACCTAACCTAGGGTCTAATGATGGAGCAGGAAGGTTGAGGTATATACCCAGCAACTTTATTGTCAATGAGTATAGTTGGTAGACAAATGGTGATCAGGATTTGATGATGGAGCTGTAAAGACGAATAACTAGAATCTGGGTGATAATTGGGGCGTCATTTTTCAAAACCTATCTGTATTCTATAAATGGTGTAATAAAGTGTAAGATAAATAAATATATCTCTAAAATTGAATTTCAATTTCATATCAGAGTAAATTTTTT